TCCGACATTATGTAAATCCTTGATCTGTAGAAAATTCGATAAACTTTCAATTTATTTCAGTCCCCACCCGCGCAGTGCGGATTCGTCCTCATTCAATATTTTAGTTGGTTACATCAAAGAAATTTCGTACCCTGAAGTATTTAAACGTCACCGAAATGGTCAAGTTTTCCTTTTGAACAATCCAGTCTGCTCCAATATTGAATTTGTTGGACCCTGCAGTCTATTTCTGTTAAGTCTACATGCATACCTCGTTTGACATACCTCAAATTAATCATGGATGTACTGCGAAATTGTGAAATTGGGACCAATTGGCAGCTGGAAACAAAGTTGTTTGGCTTCAACGTGGTTTTACATGTATGCCAATAATCTGGAAGTCTTTGATCTCACTTGCCCACCAAAATTTTAAACATGTCTACAACCATGTCCAAATTACTGACAAATCATGAAATGTGTGTCAATTATTCCATCAAATTTTTATCTTCAATTTATGTGAAATCATCAATTTGTTACATATTCGACAAAGTGAACATTCCAGAGAAGAAAGGACTCAAATTTTACAAACTTTCTAGCGTACGCTTTAATTTGATTAGCCAGCCTGGTTTATATTCCGCCCTCACAACCTAGTTAATTCCGTTGTTTGTTAGAAAATATACATTTGTGACACTTTGTTAAGTGGGATCAAACAATTTCTATCCTAAATTCCGGGTAAGTAAAATTGAAATCCTCCCGAAATTTGTGGTGGTAGAGAAAAGAAAGTTGTGAACTCTTAAGTAAAGAAGGCTACCCACGACTGAACCACTTGGCAAAAGTTTAACTAAAGTTGCAAATTAAAAGTTTTTAAGTTGCGAGGGGAGGAGGATACACATTGTGGTTGGTGGTGTGGTGGTGCCCAATTATTACTCACTTTCTCCGCCTGGGAAGATGATCAGCCTCTAAAAGTTTTAATTGGCGAGACTTCTCAGTTTAATAATATCACGAAAAGCTCGTCCTTCCTCCGATCCGTACCCTTCAACTCTTTGGAAATGAATGAGCTAGAAAAACACGGTTAGACCCACAGTTTTGTTTTCAGTTTCATTCAACTGTAAGCTACGACGTGACTCGTAGAGGTCAAACGTAGAATAGAATGGTGCAGCTATAAAAAGCCTAAATAACCAACAGCTTAATTACATATGTACGTGGGATGCTACCATTATTACTTTTTAAACTGTTGCGTAATAATAAAAGTGTTTAATTTTGATAAATCTTGAGTGCACTTATGTACGTACTTATAACAAGATTATAAAAATATGTGCTTCAATTATTAAATAAACACATGATCCATCCAACAAGGAAAAAGTTTTGTAATAGGATTGAAATTAGCTCCTCTGATGGAGTGGGATGGCAAAAAGTCTGTAATTGATTTTCCAAATTGAGTGATTTAAAAAAAAGTCTAATTGGCACTAGGAAAAATATTCGTTAACCTATTGTTCACCAAATAACAAGCAGAGAGCATCAAACGGAGCAATGTTTTGCTGCACGTGGAGGAGGGCATGATAAAAATATGTGGTTGACAGGAAGACAGCCTGACGATGACACTTGACCGTGGGGAAAGTGGTCTGTTGTTCCATCTCCATAACTTTTTCGACCTCTCCATCTCCACCAACCAACCAAGTTCTGACGTAAATCAGTTTTAGTTTTACTGGAGGTGGACGAGAGGGATGATGATGACGATGCTTTTCCTAGTGCTTCATCACTATCTGAGGAAGAAGAGATGTCATTCATTCTTCCAATTTCCAGGGAATTATTCCCACAAACGAGCAGGGCAGCGACTTGTATGAGGAAAATGAGTAGTACTTACACAGAGCGTAATTATGAGAGGAGAAAGTCCCAGCATTTCTATAATTTCACTGAATACCGTGTAATGTCATTCGTTCGTCCAGTCAATTCTGTTCTCTATTTGGGGTTCTTCTCCATTTGTGGAAGTGATTTCTAATAAAGGGTTGTCATCCCTCGGCTGCGTGATCCATCCTCCGACCTCGTAGCTGACAATACCATTGTGCACGTAAATTAGTTAACTAACGTGACTTGTAATTAGTGTAATTCGACACTTGTAATTAATCTAATAAGTGACCTTGTCCCGAGTCGGACTACTGACTGCCTGGCATTACTTGACATTCAAATTCATTCCATGGAATGGGAAATGTCTGGCTTAGTGGCAAAGTCAAACTTTGACGTGGCACGCAAGCCGTATTTTTCTTACGTTGCTTTCCTACTCTTCCAAGCGCAGCATCGAATAAATTCAGAGCACTTTCACTTTGAGAAATATTTTAATAAAAATATGTACAGCAAATGTTGTCTTTTCATATGTTGTAAAAGCTTTATGCGAAATATTTATACATTTTTTTCCCAGCAGATGTTTACCGTCGAGATCTGCTTAGAGAGATATGATTTCTCTCTCTTTCTCGGAAAGTAAACCAAGTACAAACATGAATGAATATTAGATGCCTTAAAAAAAATATTGCGAGACGCTGTTTGCCAAATTCGTACGGAACGTGAAAGTTTTTATAAGCTCATCTCCTAAACCTAGTCGGCATACATGCATAATTGAGACCATCCATCTAGCAGAATTTTTGGTCTTTGTCGCTATTACCGTCTATATTTATTTGTCTGAGACGGTGCTGAATGGATGGGCAACAACTGCACGTGCTAAGTCTGGCTTAATGGATTCCTGGTACATATGTCGGTTTATTTCCGACTAGAGTAACATTGTTTACGGTTATTTGCGATTCGGTGAGTCGAAAGAGAAAATCCTGCTTACTTTCTCCCCGATTATTCGACCCCAAACCAACCATTGATGCCCTTACTTTCACTTACCTTCTTCGTACGGGAGCACTTTGGTGAATGAAATGGGAAAGCAAATAATGCTTTAAGGAATGTTAAAATTTAGGGAAGGCTTTTTAATAACAATTTGTGACCAGGTCTGAAAACCTGGATCTAAGCTTTTATTTATTGCCTCCTGTCACTCGTACAATCCTTCTTTCTCTCACGCGAAGCTAATCCTTCGTCGTCATTGTGTTTGTGTGTGGACTTTCTCCGCTCGGATCTGGTCTGGAGATACGTTGCACCCGGTGGGAGAGGAAGGAAAAAGAGCATTTCTTGCCCTATTGTCTCACAAGGACGACGACGTGTTTAGGATATATGGAGACGGGGAGAGACAGAGGAATGATGATCGTCAATATTCCTTACATGTCGTCATTCTTTGTGAGGAAGGTATATTTCATTAGGGTAAAAAGAGGAGGATGAAATATTTGCAAGGGGGAAATATATAGCGAGGTGGAGGTAGAATACAGTAAGGGACATCCTCTAATATATTGGTTTACTGGAGAAAGTAGGAATTTTAGTGTCTCTGCCAAGCATCAAAGTAAATGTATGGATGGATGTAGCAGAGTATATCCTTCTTGGAATACATCAAGACCTCAAAAAAGTTAGGGAAAAGGTGAACGTTATTGTTTTAAAGGAGAAAAAGAGATTTCGAGGAATTTGACCATTTGAACTTTTAAACTTTGAGAAGATATTTTTGGTCTGTATTGGCACATAGCAAGTTTCATTTCTTTGTCTTGTCTGATTTTTTCACAAACGCGTATCACTAACTTCGACATGTTTCTAGAACGCCAGGATGGATTGTTTCACTAAAAGTGAAGTGAAATCAAATAAATAAATAACTTTCAATAAGCTCCAACTAAAGTAATTTGTCTTAATTTTCACATTCATTAGAACGTATGTATGTATTAAACGTATGTATTCCAACAAGTAATATCATACCAAAAGCATTGATTGTATTTGTTAAATGGAGAAGTTGTCAGCTAATTGCGTTAAACAATAATTTCGGAGAAAGCCTCCATCAGAGCAATTTATCTTCCACTTTAGTTTAGCCTTGTTCCAGGTATGTTATGATTAATTGTTGTTTTCAGAAGTGGATGTGACTTGATTTTTATTAAGAGAGAATTTCGAATTATCTACTGGACTTGAGTCCATCACTTACTTTCTCCAAATGGATGGATGGATGGATGGCTTACTTGCTTCAAACACAATTTTTCTTCCTTAATCATTAATCCTGTAATGCCTTCCTGTAATGCCTTTCAGTAATGCCTTCCTTCAAAGAACAGGACACAAAATTAGGGCAAAGTGCTAACCCACTGCAACTACGACGTGTAAAGAAAGAGCATAAAAAATGCAACCTTTATGCTAAAAGAAAGTCATAAACTTGTATTGACTTTCTCCCCTTTCTCCTTTACCAAGTACTTAAGATGGTCGCAAAACCCTGTAAACATTCAATTTAATTATGCATCGTGTAAACAGACGTGACTTGGCAAGAATGAGACCCAAAAACTAGCTCAACTCTTTTGAAATAGGGTCATCTCACATTTTGGCAATTTACCAAAAGTTCAATGGAGCTGTACTTCAAAAAGTGGACGTTAAATAGTTGTCCATGAAATAAATAAAGCATGAAAACCTACCCTAACCAAACTGGGCGAGTAGGAGGGGAAAAATTTGGCATCGGTCAGAATAAAGTGAATAAAGTACATACTTTGGATCAAAGAGTATGTCAGTTTTCAAAATGCCTTCAGAAACTTTCAAATTTTATTTACGATATCAAAATTGTTTTTTTCCTGATCTTGGTCAAGTGAAAGTATATCAATCTCACTCAGTGATTGACAGCTAAAGCAACTGTTGATTCCTTCCCTGATGTCCCTGATGTTCCTTGGGCCGAGATGATAAATGGACCAGATCCTCGGAAGCAGATTTTATGATCAATATATGACGAATTAAGAGCCATGCCTTTATATTGTATCCGCTGGTGACAGTTGTGACAATGTGAGATTTGAGGATATGTAGGAAGAAAAGAGGTTCGAGACGTCGATTTTTTTAGGGGACACAAAGAATAGTAAGTCTCCATCATTAATCAAACACTCGACGTGACAAATTGCGCAAGATGAAATAATTTCTAGGGAACGATCTGATTTCGATAAAAAGTAAATATACTTTATTTTCAATTTATATATGTAAGTACGAGTAAGTAAATTATCCCACGATTACATACCTGATACATAGTTGTAAAGAGGTGATTTGTTTGATATACTTGTTCTTGTAGGTAATTCTAAATCACAAAGTGGTACAACCAGATAGACAATTTCATAAATATGTGTGCTATATCGATTCTGCCCGTGGTGAATATTAGGTAAAATTACAGGTCCATATACTTTTAGGTGCTATAATAGGATAAGGATATAATTGATATATAAGTATATACATACATAAGTATCTACATAAATATGTAGATCAAACTTCAAAAATTACAGTCAACTTTAACTCTATAATAATCTTTAATGGATAAGTAGATACTTTAATTCCATATTTTTTTTTTAATTTTACTTTAATTCTTGTTCTGATAGAACTATATATTTATAATCTATGCATTTTGTTTTGTTCGTCAAGACCCAATTACTAACTACAATTTCTCTAATAAACTATGTTCTCTGGTTTGACACTTAATGTCAGGTACACAAATATTACGCAGTAAATGTGATAATAAACTTTTATATTTAGCAACGCAACAAAGTTCTTGTGATGATGGAGGCAGGCTCAATTTTTACACAGCAAGATCCCAAGTAATTTAGGACCTTGTAAATACCCTTCACTTTAATAAACTATAAAAGGGAGGATTAGGGGAAAAGAGGAATTTTAGAAGAGCCTGCCTCTTCAGTACTTTGTGATCTTAAAACATTGATACTGTATGTACATTGTAAAATCCACTCCATCCTTACAAATATGTCAATCAGTGGTGACACTACTCACTAAGGTACTCAAGAATTAATCCTAAGTACTGAATATAATATAATATAATATGGTTATACTTCACTCTTTCACAACTTGCGCCAACGTTATTCCTTAACTATGGCGCAAGTTACAAAGGAATGAAGCATAAATACAGCCTAGAATAAAAGGTATGCAAGTCCTCAAATTCTTACCCTATTAAATATCTCATCACAATCACAACAACTCTCAACTTACACAAAATTATGATATCTCTCGCACAAATAAATCAACTCAATTTTCTACAAATTAATAAAGTGTGCATTTCACACCAAAATCGTCAATTAAGTGTGATGATACATGGTTTTGTTTACTTACACCCAAGTGCTACACCCACGCCCGAACCTCCGAAGTTGAATAATGTGACGGTGGGGTTTCACATTATTTGGTGGTAGCGTAGACAACTTATCTACGACGCCACCACCGGTAAAATTAGCGTTAAAACTAGTCGAACAATTAGCCAGATTCAGACTCGTAGGTTGATTTTGGTTGTGTGAAGATACGGATTGTTTTTTGGGTGAAAGTGGGTGCGGAGGTTCGGTTAGTGTGCACTTGGATGAATTACAATGTCACAGGAGACGTTCCCGTTCTTCTTCGTCCTCAAATCCTTCTTCATCAGATTCGAAGGATGTCGTGTCAGAGCCGTAGTCGGAGACAAAGTCGTAATGATCCATCTGCTCCCTGAAAATTTTAGAGTTACAGTAGTACAAAAACAACAATCCATCCCTGTCGATGTTATACAATCGGCAATGCTAGGTTATGCATGCAGATGTCATTTTTTAAGCATTTTTAACAGATATTATGCAGATTGAGATAATAATATTCCCACAAAAATACGTACCTGTGGTGACTGAGGGCCTGAGAACTCGGAAATATCGAATCGCACTGCAGACATCTGCAAAAATAGTAAAAACGAGTTTAAGGAGAAAGTTGACACAAAAATGGAAATTTCGTAGGCAATGTTCTGCTGACGTATGTAGCTGGATGCATTCATGTTATAAAAGTCAATCTAAATTGAAATCCAATACTGATTTTGAACTCGTATTACATTTATCCAATTTCGTGGGAGGGAATTGCATACATTTTCACTGGTTTGAGTCTGACTTTGAATTTAGATTTGAGGCACATCGTCTTCCTCCAACTGGTTGAAAGTAATCGGTTCGGACATGATAAGACAGTTGGGAGTATAAAACCGAATACCAAATGAAATGACAGGTTATACAGAGAGAAAAGAGGGAACGATAAGATAAGTAAACTTCAAGGATTTCTCTCCACCACCAATCCGACCGATTTTACCAAACCAAAACTGTCCAATTTCTATTCCTGAGTTGACAGCTAATCCAAAATGTATGTGATTGATTACTTTACTCTGTTTTGATTTTGGTTTTGCTTGCCAAGTTGATTGTCAGTCGGGTCAAGCAATTTAATACATGGTTTCTAGGATGGATGGAAAGTATGTAATGCATTTACATATATACACTCAGGTGGTGGAGTTCTAAATTTCTGACAGTTCCTGAAAACGGTACTGCTATGCACACATAGCATCCAATATTTGAAATGCTCTGACAAAGCAAATATCTCCGAGGAGAGGAAAATCAGGACCAGAAGACTTCTCCACTTTCACATCCTGCCTCAGAAAATGGTTTGAACAAACATACGAACGAACGAGTTAGTCATAATCATTTCGAAATTAATTTCCGGCTCACAAATTTTTTCTCCTCGAGATAAATGAGAATCAAGTCAAACTCGGAATTTATGGATTTAAAGAGAAAGGTTACATAGATTATTGAGGAGAATAAGTGATGAAAATCCATCCATTTATGCACATATTTAAATCGTCTTTGAATTTGCTTTCTCCTTTTAAATCCTATTTCAGCAGAGAATCATTTAGATCTCATTCTATTTACTAATAATGTAACGACTTAAACAGCATGAAATTGAGTCCAAAGTCGTTGTAAGCTCTTCGAGAATCTGCCAACCCAAGATAACACATCACCCCCGGCAAGATTCTCGGTCAATTCAAACCACAAACATATTTACAAATTTCAACTAGGACAAATTAACTCAAAATTTTCCATACTATTTAACAAGCCAACCTCCCACTCAAATAGATTTCTCCAATTACGTTGAAATGCATAAATCATAAAAAAATACGATCCCATTACCCCCAACCCACCCACTTTCTCCCATTTCCACTAAAACAACAAATTACTCTCGATTGGAGAAAGCTAACTGTGCAAGCAAACAGTGGTTTCACGATCTTCATCAATATTTCAAAATGCAGCTCCCAATTAAGGAGCACTTTCACCACCCGACGAACCATGTCAAGTCAACAGTGTCCTCCTGCTCGAGTGCTCTGCGATGTTTGGAATTGTTTAAGACTAAAATCCATTTTAGCCCTCTCTCTCCTAGACTTGTATAAAATATGAATTTCGTAATCTGGTTAGATAGAGAGAGGCCACCTTTCTACGTTGGTTGCATTGAATATTGATTCAAGTTTGGTGGCGGTGGTGCCTTTTGCTCTTATCTATCGTCCTATTTACTCTCCTTTCTGTCGAGATGAACTCTGTACTGATTTAATAATTTATTACTCGAGCTAAGGTGACGACGACGACGACGGCATCGCATAAGCCAAGGAATCCGGCTGCCTGCCTGCTTCCGGTCGGTAAACAAACAAACAGGCTGAGGTTTTGGTTATTGTGGTTTTATTCTGATTCTCTGCCTTGAACAACTGACTACGGACTACGGACGGATTGCTTACATATCTCGAGAGTGAAATACTGCTCGCCTCCTCTCTCACTAAATATTTGCATTTCTGGGGAAAGCTTGAAATGAACTTGTGGTGGATGGATGGATGGATGCAGAGAATGATGAAGTGTTTGTTTGCATTATGCTTTTATTAAACTGGGAGAATCGGCGGCGGTGGGGATGAAAGTCAACATTATTTTCTCTGGATCAGTTATTCTCTCCTCGTCACCCAAGCATCCATCGACAACCTTTCACCTTTTCTCTGCGCTCAATTTATATATGAGCTACAGGCAGGACATTCCGTGTGGTAATCTGCTTTTAGACAATGCCATCGAAAACCTAATCCGTTTATGGATGGGCGCAAGGGGTGATGTTTTCTTTGAAAATGTTTACATTCACGGGGAAGAAGGCGTAATTTGGAACGAGTGAAGTGAGGGGATGACGGAAGTGTGTCGATGGTGGTTGATTTGTTCGAGTATTTGAACATATTTGTAATGAGATTATGTAACAAAACGACAAAGATTATGTTCAAAAGGGAGTCTAAAGTGGGTGACATTTGAAATTCGCCAATTTTTTTGAAAAAATACTGGAGAGAAAGTAAAAGTTTTTCAAAAGGAGGAGTAATTAGTGAAATTATATAATTTGTGTTGGATTTTCTTTTCGCCATCCCCCACGGGATGGATCAATCTAGTTCTATAGCACTTCTTTCCCCTAACACGTTTCTGCACATTCATTAATTAACAAAGGGAACAAAGTTCGATCCTATTTTTGTTCCACATTTGTTTTAATTTTCTTTAAAAAATAGAACAGAGAGCTGCTGTCTACTCCATTATGGATTGAAGTGGTGGGTGAGTCTGTTCTGGAATTAAAGAATCACTCGACTTTTTTCCCCTTTCGTCCTCCAAAAAGTGTATTTACGTTAAAGGTCTGCTCTCACTAATTTGAGATCAATCCCAAGCTTTGGAATGTACAAATAATTTACGGTATAGGCAGGTGCATGTATGCGTCTCAGTTCCATATTCCTCTTTATAATTAATGAGTTTCCCGTTGAAAAATTCCACTCTGTTCTCTTTATAAAATGTTTAAGTGGGAGGAAAGCAGCGAGTTTTTGAAGTTGGTTTGTACGTCCTCCACTAATTGCGAGACGAGATGGCTTTCTTTCCGCTCGACTTTTTGGCTCTCTCTTTATGCGTCTGATGTTTGCTTAGCTTATGCCATCTCATTTTATTACCAGATACGACGAGTAGGAGTAGTGGTGGAGAGTTGTTCTCTGCATTTGGCAGTGCCAACCAACCGGCGTCCTATTTTTAGCAGGGTTTTTGGTCCTTCTTGCCTTGGTGGAGAAAGCGGAGAAAGCTGGGAGGGACTGGAGCAGCTCGTAGTAATGGAACTTTTGGGCCTGATCCCACAAAATTAGAGCTGACCTAGCCAAAGTTGATCCTAGATTGTACACAATTTGGCTAAGACTTTCATTCGGGTGGGGGAAATAAAAGTATGACCGTGGAAAGATTACGTTCTATAAGCTTTCCCAGTCGGAAGTAGGAACGTGACGCTTAATATTCTTGGCTAGGATGTACTGCAGTGAGTGTGAAGGTGTCGTTAAGAAGGTGAAAAACTTACCCGAAATGTCGCTTTTTCTGTTGATGATCTGCTAATTTTCGGGAAGTGGGGAAAGCTCTGTCGCACACATCACAGGTCAATCCCTCGTCTTCGTCGTCTGAAATTGATAAATAAATAATTTCAGAGATAAAATACAAATTTTACACAATTTTGATTCCATGATTTTCTAAAATTTCTAAATACTCAAATCCTACTAATTAGACCGATAAATTTTCCTCTAAAGTTTTTATCAATTTATTTTTATTAAGTGAAACCGTGCTAAAGTATTTTCAGCCCTCTTCCATATTTTTACCCGAATGGAAATAGATCGAGTTAGTTTTCACTGGAGAAAGTGGAGCATGGGCAATAAAACACTGGTTTAATCAAGCGATAAATTACTCTGGGTGGGTGCGCATACATACATAATGATACAGAATGTGATCCATCCAGTTTGCACTGGTATTTTCTGTGTGGCCATAAATTACGGAAAATCATCCCACAATCCAAGGCAGATGAGTCCGCGCGGAGTAATAAGGCAAATGCGGAATGAATAATCGCTTTCTCTATCTCGCATTCCATCTTGTTGCAAAATTGAATTAAATTTGCTCCTCCTGCTCGTCCTCGTGGGTGCTGAAGTGAGACTAAAATTTGCACTTTGGATCATCTAATCTGCCCTGCCGGACGTGATGATGAGGGAGAAAGATAAATTTTATTTTTTTTGCCCATGCAAAAAAAAAATAATAGGTCAGCAATTTCCTGTCCTAATGGTGAATGGACAGTAGTAGGCAAATTGCGAGGATATGAATGCAGTGATGATGCATTAAACCGAAGCATATATTATGTTAGACCCGATCTAATATCACTTTCATCCCGTAAAACTAGCCCTGTTTCAGTTTCAGCTCCTGCCAGAGAAACGAAGTACGTGCCGCAGTACACCGCGTGGGCTGGATGTACACATAATACTAAACCGATTAGTGAGAGAGAGAGAGAGGGAGATGTCTCATAAATTACTTTTATAACGCTATTAGTTGGTAAAATGATGGAGAAAGTGGAGGTGGGGATTCCAAGTGAAAATGAGCAAGTAAGCTGAGAATGATGATAACTAAGGATGAGGTATACATACCCAGATATACACGACTGATAATAATAATGTGATCTTTTTCTACACATTTACTGCGACTATAATATTTATTTAGCCGATGAAATGAGATATAGGCAACTGCGGTTTCTAATTTGGTATTTGGTTTTTAAAGGGTTCGGGTGGTGGAAGTAATACCTTTCGTTCGACTAACACCATCACCACCACCACCTTTGGAACACTCAATATTTATTGGGGAACTGAATTTGATATCCTTTCAGACTAGCACCATCCATAAAATGGCAGACGTTGTAACCTGCATCTCTTGCTCTTTTGCGGTTGAGGAGAGAAAGTAAGTCGGGAAATCTGTCGTTTCCTCCAGAGATAAGCTCAACCTGGGTTTAACTGAACGAACAATGATGTACATTTTTTTATAGTGTGAGGAGGAGGACGATACCGTCGTCGTCTTTGGCGTGATCTATTTCTTCCCTCGTGCATTCAGGATATTAAATTCCATCAATTTAATTTCTCGGTTTTTTTACGGCGTAGTAGTGCAGACCTCTTAGTTTTTTCCCCATCTTGTCTTCAACCGAGGTTGTTGAATTGTAAGAAATTAATTTCAATAGAACACAAATGATTACCCAACCTTGGCGAAGGGCAACCTGCTCCAGACAAGAAAATAGTACACCGAGACGACGAAGCTAAATACAATGCTATGCAGACTTTGATTACGTCTCTTTACAAAGGGCATCCTCACCCAACCAACCAACCACACAACCAAAATTGTGGCATCACCACCAGACCAGAGGCAAAGACAAGAAATGATGAAAAGAGAAATTATTATGGCATGAATTTTCGCGACGAGCTTTGTGTGAAACGAGGTCGGAACGGAATTCTACTGAATACGTCATTTGATCCACAATTCCCATCATTTCATGAGCGAAGAGGAGGAGATGGATGGATGATGGCAGAGTATATTTGAAGTTATGTTGATGACGGAGAAACCGAATACTTTCTTGGGTGTCACGGAAAAATAAGGTGTTTAGTAGTTGGAGGAATCTCCACTTTTCTCCGCGCTTGGGAGAGTAGATTTCTTCCAAGTTAAACAATGGGGCTCGTAATGAAGGGAGACATGTCATGACGGATAAGTAGGAGAGAAAGTTTGGTCCAACACAGGAAAATATGATGGTGAGAAGAACGAGGGGAAAATACGGGAGAAAGTTTAGTTGTCCATTCGTCCGTCGTCCTCCTCCTCCTCTTCAACTATGTTGGTACTAACCAAGGAGGCAAACAAACTTTTTTTTCTGTGGTGGTGGGTGGGAGGATGAACAATTTGGCCCTGTTTAGCAGTTCAATGTTCAGTTGTTCGCCTCAAATTCCGGGAACATCGAGGAAAACTCTGACAATTTCATCCAGCAGAAACCCCACTTTCCTAGAGTCAGAGATACCGAGAGAGAAAGCAAATATAGAGGGCATTTTTTATCACTGGGGCTTTTTCAAAATTTTTAAGTCTCGGAAAAATTAAAAAGTTGGGTACAATTTTTTGGGAAACTTCTATTTACAAAAAGTTTTGATAAGATATTTTTCCCCTCTTCTTTTTCATCCAAGTCTCTATTGACTTGTTCATATGTTGCCAGTTTGGACTGGACTTTCTATTCTACTTTCTACCGATGCTGCTGCACTTCTTCCTTTTGTGTGCACTTCAAAGCCAGCCAGCTTTTCTTTTACGATCCCCTCTCCTCGGGCTTAGAGTACTTAGCTTTTGGCTGATGTGATGTCAATTGCAGTGACGTTTTGGAAGTGGTCAGCAGACCGGATCAGACAACAACAACACAACAACAAATGGACGAAAACTATCTGAAAGAACGGATCAAAACTTGAGAAATCTTCCGTTTCTCTGTTACCTTTACAATACTTTTTTCTCATTTCATTTTTCAACGATGTGTAATCAATTGACCCATCAATTGCAGGAAGGAGCCGATAAGTCTCCGTTTTTTTGTGAAAAAAAATTCTACGTTGTTGGTTTTGTAATAAGAATTGGCCAATATTTGGTCCGTCTCCTGCTTTACAACGATGTGGTTAATCGTGCTAATTAACTCGTTCGTAGTGAAGGTTAACACGCAGCAAACGGTCACATTTAATGAGACCAATTACGAGAATGGGTTGATACGCAGAAGGAAGTGAATTTGGTGGCGAGACCGATTTTATGTAAGTTATAAACATCAAAGTAATTAAGTAGATCCATGTCCAGTTATGTAGCCAAGTGCGATCGAGGCACTAACTTTAGCCCGATTGTACTGCAAATATTTGCTCGTTTAATAATAGTTTTAGTTGATGTATGTACGTAACATGGGAGGGAACGACATGCATAAAAGAGGTTGAACGAGACCAACTAAAAGTGAGACGCACAGATTTTCGTTTACAAACATAAATTCCACATGGAAAGAATTTGCAACCCGTTTGCATTTAATTATTCTTTCTCTTTGCCACAGCAGCTTAACTGTCTCAAAAGAATTTCTAAATTTAATTTGAAGCCTATGACCGTGTAAAAGACGTGCTAAAACCTAAACCAACGGACAGGATGGTGCTATAATAAACGTGGAAAATTGAATGACGCTGCTCTGCCCTCCCGCATATTTTGCATACTTCCACGAGATGAATGTGTTCAAAATGAATGCAATTTAATTTAACAAAGCGACGACGAATCCCTCGAAAAGAGCAGCAGCGTTGATTTGATTGCGAAATTCCACAGTTTCACAAAGAAGAAGAAACTGCCCATGAACTTGTTTTGCCCCATTTGCTAATTTATTATGTACTGTATTTAACAGAAATGGGTTTCGAGTTCATACCCCGTTTTAGTTTGAACTGAAATACGGATATTACTAAAGTAGGGTAAGACCTAGAAAAACATGATAATTAAATATTACGTCGGGAAAAACAAATTTGTATTTAATTGGTCACTTAAATATTGACATTTTACAAAGTGTGCGAATGAAAATTTCGCAATGAATGAAACTAAAATGACCCAGTTCTACATAAACTTGTGATGCAATACTTTACTACGAAAACATAATAATTCCTGCGAACTCGTTAGTTAAACTACTGGTGCAAAATAATTCTTCACATTGAATATCGCAGTAGCACTTCCTTTTAATCGGTATAAAGTCCAGCCTTGCGCGAGTTGAGTGAGGAAATTGTTTTCACTTTGCTTGCCAAACTGTGAACACGATGTATTAAATTAAATTTTGCTGTCGAGTAAGGTGAAAGTTGAACGTCCAATCAGTCGAGTAGCATATTTTGTCATGCATGAATCACCCCACGTGGATGGAAACTTGATAAATAAACAAGACAGGGTTTCCCTCTGGATAAGTCAAGCTGTAATCCCCGAAAACTAGACCCCATCCCAAGGCACAGGTCACTCTTATTTACGTACCTAATCCACGCTTGTGCTGACAAAAGCTATCCTATTAAAAGTCAACCGGTCGGAAAATTCCGAGAGTATAATCCCATCAACTTTTGTGTCAAGTTATTTACATAAATTCGTGCACAAATTTGAAAAGTTTGAGGAAAAGTTTGTAATTAACAAGCATTCCCAATTTGACAAATATGTAAGAATGAAATAGAAAACTGACATTATTAAATATTTGACTTGTGTGAGTGGATAATTGACACGGAAAAGCCGTGTAGAAACACAAGTTTGAAGGAGACTGACCCAAATCCCAAACTGAATTAAATAAGTTGCACTACTAAACTAAAATTTATTCTAATTAATATTGAAATTGGCCGAAATTATTATTTATGACGTGAAATTTATGAAATTGGGCTAATAACATAATTTTCATAACCATATTTGTAATGAACCTTGACATTCCTTCCCGTCTAATTGGCACATTCCGACCAGCCAGAAATTAAATCAGGTTCAAACAAGAGCTCATAAAACTTTACGATGCTTCTTCATGCCTCCTGCTGCTGCTGCTGAGGACTGCGGAAAAGTTGAAAAGTTCGGATTTTGAAGCCATCCAAGGCTGGTTTGGTTTGGATGGTTCACTCGAAGTGAATCTGCTACCAATCCGAACAAAGAGTGAAATGAGATTGGCACATGAGACGGGTGTACGGGTACAAGTGGATTAAAGAGAATTTACCTAATTTGAAAGTCAAATTGGGGGAGAAAGTGGCTATAAAAATGCCATGCAGCCGAGAAGACTACACAACTTTAGGCACACACATGTCCACTCTTTTTAAAATCCTATCTTTCCACTTCTTGGACAGGTTTGGATAAAAGAAAAAGTGGGATAAAAGGTATGAATATCCTACGGCTGTTGTAACAGTTTGCGAAGGATATATAAAATTACACTGACGGAGAGAATATGAGATTATGTGCTTCTGAACAGTCGCAAGTGGGATAAACCTCTCAATTTTGAGTGAATTCATCCCGGATTAAAATTTAAGAAGGCAGAAGCGAGAGAAAGCTTTCATAAAATTTATATCAGCATCAGCATAACATTTTTCCGAGTGCATTTATTTGTCTGGCTTTAAAATTCAATTTAATTTCGATGATTACGCGATTTTCATGAGAGACGAAACTACTCGGACAAAAATGTTTTACTAAATCTCACTTATTTAATTAGTATCCAAATTCTGTACGTCAGCCGGGCAAGAGTCCGTAGTAGTAATTGTTGTCGTAGTAGGTAAATCCGTCGCTTTGTTTTTCACTAACTCGTGTACGTACGTAGAATGCCGGGCTTAATCCAATCAAGGGAAGTTATCACGAGGGGAAAAGCAAACTATGCAGTATTTTGAGGATATAAAAGCAAGTGAACTTTCTCCTCTTATTTCGCTGCTGTTCGAGACATGCATGTGAGCAAATCAACCAAATTACCACTTTCTCTCGCCCCAACCCAACCCTGTCCAGTTAAATGGACAAGTTTGCGGTGTTTTTGTGCTAGGAAATGCGATGTAAAATGCAAGTCAGGAGACCAGACCAGTCGACATTTTCACTAATTACAGACTTGGTTACTTACCAAAATCGGATGATTCATCCCCACTGTCAACTGCCTGCTGTGGGGTCGCAGCATCATCGTCGTCCTCATAGTCCGAGTCCGAATCGAAGTCGTACCTCCATCCAGTCTCAATTTCCCCTCCGTCCGACCCTGGTGTTGCTGGTGTGGAGGAGGAAGAAGACGATGAAGCGGATGATCCCGGCAATTTGTTCCCATTGGTGTCATACGATGCCGAAGTGGTCAATCCTCCAGAGCTACTCCCACCTCTTGTCGAAGTCTGATTGACATCTTTTTTGCAATTCGAGCTGAGGTTCGCGGGGTGGGAACGACTCTTGTTTTGAGGTCGGAGTCGGTTATATCGGACACGTTTTTGGTCGGCTGAACCTGAAAATAGATGAATGACATCAAAGAGTGTAAAAGAACTGGAGGTTTTTGAGAGTAGGTGGATGGATGCCATACTTTTGAGCTTTAAGTTATTTACTACGGTTGAGTCGGTATCAAATTCTATTTTTATTTATACATGGCATGGAAAGAGTCCAGTGTTTGACCAGCATTATTGCACAATTAGCAGCCCAGTTGACCAAAAGTGTGCAGTTTACAGTCACAAATAGAAAGAGTACAACAACCGGACAGAATACGATATGAGGATGCGGATGCAATTTTGACATTTTGTTACTTAACATGCGGGACACACCGAGTGCAACTCTTTCATTCTGCATGATTCCCATCTCTAATTGAGAATTGTAGATTGTGGGGAGAACAATTGGATGGAGAAAGTGGTGTCGTTTTGTTAGAAGGACGGACACTCTGTATTCATTCCCTGTGTTGTAAGACTCAATTCCCAACACACCCACAGGACGAGAATGACGGGTTATTGGCTTATCACCATTTCCACATCTTCTCCGAGGAGAAGTCTTCTGTCAAAGATGTGAAGTAGAAGAAAAAACAAATGGGAATTGAGAAAGAATGAGTAAATATTGGATGATACTGACTGACCCGTCGGGTTCTGTTGTGTATGAGACGGCCCAAGGTTATAGCTACATAAATACTTCCATGGTTCTTGATAAGATGATTGCGACGAGTTTGTTTTGTCTGGGTGTAATTTTGAGAAACGTACGATTACTTCCCTACCCACTTTCTCTGACAGTTTACTGAATCAATTTCCATTGGATTATGTAGGACTGGTGAAGTATGGAGTTAACGGTTTTAGGGTATAAGATCGCCTTCCCCTATTTAACTAAACAGAGCATATATTTACGTAACAACTATGCAACCTAAAGTATGCATATGTAACCCAAAACTTGTGCTTTTATACACGAGTAAAGCGAACATTATTACGAGGGGATTGCACAAGATGTGAAATTTTATTAAATTTACCTCCACCAACAACCTCTCCTCTCTTCGGAAGAGAATGGCCTGCAGCACCTTTTTTAACTTTTTTATGCACATAGCGGACTGTTCCCCAACCGACCACCCTAGAGAAATCCTCTCAAGTTTCGTCCCACACAAATAAAAATGTCGCAATTTATTAATCAAATTGTGCTTTCTTTTCCTTTACACCGCTATTATAATATTTAGCTCCACTTTCCATTTTATTTTCTTTCTAGCCCTCCAGACTAAAATGTAAATTATGACGGGGAAAGAAAAAAGTTGGGATTTGACAAAGTTAAGTAACAGAGGGAAAGTCAAAATAACTTTCTCCTCCCTAAATTATGCGTGTTTTGCGGTTTCCTAGTTTTTTCATGTCATACTTTCTCTCTATATCTTAGCCTTGTGTAATGCAATCCCTCCAGGGACAGATTTTGTCATTTTCTCCAACATAATTCTGTTCTGTCCTTTGTGTCCTCGGTAAAATATTGCGGAGTTATATGCACGTCCATAGGTATATAGTAGAATGTTGTTTTAATCATGGAGTAAGTACGTTGTCCATGTACTAGAGAAAATTAACTGTTTACTTATTTCGTCCATAGTTTTTTTGGAGAATTTTTTTGGGCAAAAAAACTCTTGTACTACATCCATATTTTAGAGGAGGGCTTAGTTTTGATGGAAATTACGTATAAATTACGTCGCAAGTTATGCAATCTGCCAGCCTGATGAATGAAAATCTTCCATTGCAGTGAGCCGTGAGACTATTATGCAGTATTTCATCCCTCATTGAGGGACCACTACTGGGCCAAGAAAGAAAGGACTCATAAAGTATCGGAAATGTCCCTTAAATGCAGTCTGTTCAGGGACAATAAAACGATTCTCTGAACATCCCGTTTCAATTGGGGGACTCCGAACGGAGGAACCTTATTTCACGAGGACAAGAAGAGGAGATAAAAGCAGTTAAAATAAATCATGTCCTCTTTATCTCCTGCCACTTTTTGTGAGGATGTGTCCAACTGCAAGTACGGACTCGTATTGGTTTTGGTGGTGGTGGTGGTGGAGGTTAGTTGATCTTGCTGGGTGAAGCGAATAATTTAGAAATTTGGGATGCTCGATATCATCACATGGTGTAACCTTTCCATTGTTTTGGCACAACATTCTCAAGGTTTATTTTACTTTCACTCGTTCCTTCCCAGGCACCCTTCCTTCTGGGGTGCAAGTAATGGGTTCTTTGCAAATGGGGAATCTCAGATGAACAATCCATAACGTAACGTACCCCATCATCTCATGGGCACGTCGGCTCGAGACATAAAAAGGAAATAAACAAGGGCACCACGACCTTTGCTGAGATAAAATCAGAGCAACTACTTTCACCCGTGCTGCTGGTATGGGGGCGAGATGAGACTTACATAAGTTTGACATGTCCATGATTAATGTGAAGATTACGTCACCTTGTGTAATAAGAAAGGGACGGTTTGTCGCGAGAGATGAACAATTGATTTGATTTCGTAACATTAAACTCGTGAGATGTTTTTTTTATATTTGAAATCGAATCGTTCTGAAATTGTTAACAATGCTAATTCGTACTAAACGAAGGGCAATATCGTTTGTCGTAAAGAGGGTTTCACTACGTCTTAAAATTTTAATGGTGCGCATTTAAAGTGATGGGCGGACAAACATCTACGCTGTTGCCATTAAACTCTTAAACACTACGGTAAAGACGTTATTGATTGATGGAGGAGGGTAAAGAGGGAGGTTTGTGAGACTTATGGCTTCGTCTAGGACATAGTTTGCTGGCACAAGAGCGGAATTTAATCAATACGTGTATTTCTACCGCGATATACATATCTCACGAGGGATCAATCACCTATAATCAACGTATTTGTATGTACCTCTTGAGAAGGATTTGTTCGCAAGAAACCGCAAGAGAGACGTGGTCATAATGTGCATGAGCTAAATTCATGTATTTAGAACCGGCTGCTTTTTGGATCCCACTTTCTCCCACTTTTTTGATCCTAGCATCTCGTTCCTTGAAGGAAGGTGGTCGACCGAGCAGCGTGTGTTGAACTTGTACAAAAGAAGGCAACCTTTTTTGGATGCCTACCAGCCATCCATTATTATTTGTGTTGTGCAATTGATGTCGATTTTGCCATTTGTAGCTGGCTGGATATATATCCCGCCCAGACTTCAGCCATGCATGAATGAATGTATACATGTACATATACCATGATGAATATATATATATTTACAGCCGCAGGGACGTAATTTGTTTGTGGTGGTGCTTTCTTGCAGCCCAAACTCGTGGTTGGGCCGAATAAAAAGCAAGTGAGAAGAAAGTAGATGAAGGAAAACCTTGGTCTTGACAATCGTTAGCTGACTCTGCAACCCTAACTTTCTCATGAAATATTCAAATGAAAAAAAAAATGAAGAAGTTGAGAAGCCCAGTAATTTTCGAGTTGCATCAGATAACAATAATTTGATATTATACCAATAAATTGTAGAAGAAGAGTACTTATCATCCCGATTTTTTAACGGGAATATTACGCCTCTCCCCGTAATAGATTTCTCTTATCGGGCACACTCATCTCTGGCCGTACTTCTTGCCAGATTGGAGATAGTAGTAAGGATTCTCCACATTTTTTCTGGGGGAAAATGCACCATTTTTACCCGTTGTTATTATAAATGAGGAAAAGAAGAAGAACGGTGTGCACACAAAAAAAGTTAACAAGGAAAGAAAGAAAGTCGAGGTGAAGGTTGCTGAGTGCGACTCGTGGCCACTTTTCCATATTCGTGTAATGGGACCATTAATAGGAAATGATGGTTGATGGTAATAGCAATCGTGTGCCAAAGGTTTTGCAAACATGTATTTGGCGAAACTTGTGATTTATACGATTTATACGCGGAAGTGAGTGGGTACCCAAAAATTCAATCATGATCAGACTTTGATGAGTTGAGCGCCTTTCGAAAACAGATTTTGGTTCGTAAGTACATACACAACAAGGAATCCATGTGTGGATAGATTTTGTTATTTACAGCTCCCCCATAATAAATAGTAATGATGGAGGGAAAGGCGAGAGAAAAAACGAGAAAAACTTACCATTTCCATTGGAGAAGGAAAAGTTGGTCGAAAAGTTTTTCCAAAGGACCCACAGCATTTTCACAGCTACCATTTTCCCACTTTTTTTAATTTGATACTACCCGGCCGACCTTGGCGAAGACTTTTACTTTCTTCGAGACGAAGGAGAGAAGTGTGTAAACGGAAGTGATGTAGTTCGTGGTTTGGTCTTCAATACGCTGCGAAGCACATGGGCTGGTGTGCAACGTGTGATGTAATGCAATACGACTTTTTTTGCTCCCTACAAAAAAAGAAGTTAGATACGTTGAATTTCGATAAAAGAAAAGTTTGTTCGATTAGTCCTTGACTTACAATATTGGTGAATAAATGATCCAGAAAGTGAGAGGGTTGACTTCTTCTTCACTAGTAAATTGTAAAGCTCAAATCAGCTCTTTTGTCAAGATATGCTAGTGAGACAGCTATTTATTTCTGATATGATTTCCTAATAAATAACGAGTTTCAATAATTCTCTCTACAACAAAGTTTGCAGGTCAATTTCCGATGGGAAACTTGTCAAGGAAATTATAAAGTTTTGGTAGATATCTAATTTGTGGTTGGTCGCTGGTAAATCTGGTAAATTTTCTCAAGTTTTGCCGATAGATAGACCCACAAAATCAAAGGAGACTCAGTGGTTGGTAACAATTGGAGGATAAGAAAGCAGCAGCAACGGAGCGCTCCAGTCTGCAAAGCGGAATGATCCGGGTGGTGTTGCAATCTCACATTTTATACGAAAAAGGGGAGAAAGCAGTCGTGGCATGGCGTAGATATTTGGCAGAAACTTCTCGCTTGGTCGGTTGGGCTGACTTGAAGGGAACTCGTGTCCGTTGCTTTAGTAGCGTCGTGATGATCTCGTAGAGAAAGCAGGGAAACGAAATACCCGACTCGGGTATCAAAGCTGGTGGGGCTGGTGGCTGGCGTACAAAATCTGCCTGTACGGGACGTGGTGGAGTGAATTAGGAGACAGAGATTCAGTGGGAAAAGAAACCATGGCCAACCAACACAGCGTCGGGCGAGATGACAATGACATGAGTGACGGTTCCTGAAGTCTTCAAGGAGAAGGAAGAAAAGCATGTGTGGTGTGGTTTTGGGGCTAGATGTAAGTAATGAAATTGAAGAAAGAAGTCGGTAATAAAGTTGAAGTTGCAGATATGTACATACGCCACCCGACTCCTGTTGAACATTCGATAAATCGTTCATCATGCATATGTCGAGAGAATGGATGAATGGCGGAATAATAAAATGGAGAGTTGAACAGGAAGTTGATTTCTTATTCGGTATGAAGCAGAACGGATATAAAATGTGAGGACAATTTTGTTTTTGCGGGTTTCTTTTTATTTTCAGGTTATGCGTAGTATTTTGTGGACGAAACTTTTTGTAAATTTCCTGAAATTATGCTTCTTAGCTTCCAAAGAAAAACACTATTATTAAAACCAGGAAAGGACTTTAATCATCATTTTTTAGTATTTCTCGTAAAAAGAAACATTCCTAATTTTAGCCGACTCCTGCTGCTCCGTTATTTCGCTACTTGTCATGAAATGAGATTATGTCACTGGAGACCACATGTGTTTGAGAAGAAGGAAAATAAAAATAAAAATAACTGCGCATATCTGATGACACGGAAAAAATGTGTCAACGCGCTGTCAATTCAAATTGGATAGTGATAACCTTTCCACTTCCTCGAAGTGGCTTTCTCCCCGTACAAAAAAAGTAGTGAGAACCTGGTAACGACATGTTTCTCAAACTTATCTCTCTCACACTTCTTCTTTTACTTGAGAGACTCAACTTTAGTCTGAATTTTATTCCATATGTGAATGAGATCCGAGAGGTGAGAGCCAGGTGAAGTTCGAGGGCAAGAAAGGTGAAATGTCCAAGGTTGCAAAAAACGGAATGAAATTATAAATGTTGCATGTGCGTGCCCAACACATCATCACATCACACACGACACCATGAATACAGTGCTTTCTTCTCCTCCTAACAAGCTGTATCATCATCATCATCATCAACATCTTCTTCACCACACACACTACTAAATCAGGGATGAAGAAAACTCAGTCAGAATTAGATGAGTACAGATAAACCTTGTTCCTCTACCAACCCGGTTCCGCAAAGATCACAAAGTGATCCAATCAAATTCGAGGATGTCGGAGAGGTAGGGAGGCGTGGGGTTAGATAAAAGTTAATGTTGGAGACTTCAAGTAGTCAAAAAGTTTGAGATATATGTGTACAGCTCCCTTGACGCCAATCCACCTCTCGAGAAGGAGGGAAGGGAACTGTCATTTCCTTTCCTTATTTTCGATGATCTCTGGGTTGAAATACCTCAAGTGTTTCCAGGTATTTCGCAGGAAGAAAAAAACTATTTCCCAATTTCGGTCAACTCGGGGGATTTTTTTGACAAGTACAGCACGTGGGTTTGACATATGGGGAGAAAAGGTCACTTGAATTAGCATTCGTTCGTTGCTAGAGATGGGTCAACACTCCAATTAAGCATTTCTCAACATGGAATAAATTATTTCAACTCTGATCAATAAATATGTACCAAAGTCATGAAACCCTAACTTATAAATTTATTACGCTTGTGTGAACAAAATGGAAATTCCAATTTATTTTGATTGCCTTTGTTATCATTTGTTGTGGTCCAAATTGCAGTCGGACGGACCTTTTAGGTTTTATTTTATTTTCGCAAAACAATAGCTTTCTTTTTTTCGCTTGGATGATCCGCCTTCTCCGTTTTATGGATGGCCTAGAGGCAACCAGAAAAATAAGGCCGACTTTCGCTACATACAGTCACTCGTGGTATGTATACTTTGTGACTGCGATGATTTTCTGGTTTAAAGTTTAAAGCAATCAAAAGTCAAATCAAACCTGACGAGGAAAAAAAAAGTCTGAGAGAAAGGAAAAACCACGCAAGTGCATTCACTCATATATGGCATTTGTGTACGTATGTACTTTCACTGAGGCAGAGTTACTGACGGATTCCAAATAAATGGTCTCAAATCTCTCACAAGTCAGGTCTTTCATGTCTCTGGGGAAATTTACATGACGAACGGATTTTGTTTGTGGGGAAATTGTTCTCATCCAAAAACGGGAATGACTATACTCACGTAATTGCGTACAAAGGAGCCGTTAAAGTAGTACGGCGGCAATGTGGTATTTTTTAGTAGAAAATTTCTAGCCTTGTTTCTTGCCGTGTAAAATGTGTATCCATCAGCATCTTTTTTCTCCAAGATTTCAGATGACGTGGTGCTGGAACGGCCCCAAAGTCCAAATGAAGTCGTGATTTCGCTTTGTGTCGATGCTTTAAATGCATATAACGCGTAGAAAAGAGTTTGTAGGACAAATGATCGATTTATGGATGCATTTGTAGGTGGATTGTGTGCACGGGTGGAAAGAAGTATGAATATTTTCTAGGTTTTCGTGATTATTTAAACTGCGGATGAACCTACGAAAAATTTTTCAGTTTAACGAACCGACGTTAATGATTTGGTTAGCTGTCTAATCGCAAACTATGAAATATTGAGCGATGCATTTTTTTCTAAAAAGTTTTCAGAACTTGCACTTTGATAATGTAGTAACGTGTCACACTGATTATTTAGTACGTGTATCTACTTACTCCGAAAAGCTCCAAAGGGGACCAATAATTGTACGTAACAAGTTCTAGCTTCAACTTACTCTACGTAAATTTATGTAATGCAGCCTGGGGAAAGGAATAGGATTCATATTCATATGAAATGAAGATATCCTAAATTGAAACCAGCAGACCCAGTTGCATATGAGTATCACCAGAGTGATTTATCCTGGGCAATCCATTAGAGTTAGATTAGTGTGATGCATCGTGACGGAATTAGTGTTGACGAAATTTTTCCAGAGAGAATATACCTAATTTTACCTTCTCGAAGGACCTATATATGTATGCAGAGAAGGATTTTCTTTTCTCGTGGACATCGCACGGATTCACCACTACATATAAAATGACACTTTCCTTGTTTCTTATATTTCCCCTCCTCAAAGTCGATCAGATCAGACGGTTGAAGGAAGTAGGTCGAAATGTCCTTTCTCCATCCGAGCGATAATTATCAAAAACGTGATGCAGTGTCCAGTGGTGATTTGTAAATGGGTCAAATAGTGTTCTTCAAAATTTAAAATTAGACAAGGTAACCGGTCGTGGATGAGCATCATCTAAAATAAGAATGGGGGCAGTGATGTATGGTTTGGACCACTAAGCAGGTTTAAATTTCTTACTCTTATTTAAACCACTTGACATTTCTGGAAATGAGGATGCTAAGTATAAAGTTGAAATTAGGTGAGGGGCAAATAATCCGTAGGGATATAGACATGGGGTTTAATGTGGTTTTGAGTGTGGTTTCCTATCGAAATAGGTAATATCGACTTCGGCTTCAAGTTTACAGTATAAACGGAAAAAAAACCTGAAAATGATAAATGTTCCACCCGCAAATTCTAATAATATTTCAAAAAATAAAGTAGCTTGAAGTCTATTTCTCGACATTTATATAAGGAGGAAAATAAGTAGCAATTTCCTGTCGGTGGGTCGTGCTCATGAAACCCACAACAGACACATAACACCACCTCGTCACGTCGCGTGTGTGACAGTCGGAAATTAAGTTAATCAGGAAGGAAGGATTATTACTTGATTGAACAATACATACACGTAACCAATCGTTTTCCTCTGCTTTTTATGAAGGTCAAGTTCGCTCACACGGTGCAAATTGCCAAAGGACAAGTGCAAAACACGACACGAGTGACTTTATTGAATTGCTTATCCTTTCACTCGAATTAAACAATCCAACCAGCGGCAAAGGTTTATTGAGGATTTCGCTTTCTGCACAAATTTCCTTTACACGAAGCATTTTGGAAACTTCGTGATTCCCACTCTTGCGTTATTTTGGAGGAATTATGACCTGGAGAAAGGCCCCAAGTTGAAAATCCTTACACAAAGTTGTCAATCCTTCACAAATCCTCTCGAAAAACATCCACCAACCAACCATCCGGTTTTAGAAACGTCAAAGCAGGAGGAGGCGACTGGTGAAAGCAGATATATTTCATACCACCCCGACTTAAATTGAATGTGCAATGAAACGTTCTTCATCCAATCACTCCGTCGTGTGAAAAATTGCACTCTTCTTCTAATCCGGATTTATTTGAATGGAATCCTCTCTCCTCTCAATGATTCGACTGAGAAGCTGTTATATTGGTTCAAAATTTTATTGCTTTCTGACGCCCCATGAAATCATTGTGTGACATATTAGTTCGAGACATCGAAGGAGAACTCGCCGAGTTGTGAAGAACACGTATAATTTGAGAACTCAAAGAAACACGAAGGATTTTTTTTTCGGAGAAAGCGGAACAAATCAATGTTGAATTCGAGAGGAGAGAGTGGTGTGTAGCCAAAAATGTGAGGTGTTTGGGGTCCTTTTCAAAGAAAATGCGAGGTAGGACGGCCTTGTAACGAGTCGATGAAATTTGCAGCCACAAAGAAAGAAAGTCAAACGTTACTTGTCGCAAGATTCGTCATTCATGTACAAATAGAATTGTACGACCCGGTTTTACTCTATTTTTTACGAGCGTAAAGATTTTTGACACCGGTTTTGAGAAATATAATTTTGCAACGAGACAAACAATGCACGTTCGACGTGTCATGTACTCATAAATATTTTACTGATGAAAGTACATGATTTTAACTTGATGACAAAAATTTGTCAACATATTGTGCAACAAGAACATATTTACAGTAATTGGGCAACAAATTATAGTGTGTCTCCTGCGCATGCCGTAATTACGAAGAGCTCACAGATCAAAAAGTAGTCTAATTTGCCTCAGCGACTTTAATGAACATCTTTCCCTCTTTGATCATCAACTACAATGACGACTTAAATTAAAGCGTTTCTCATTGACACGAACTTCATATACAATTTATTTACTTGAGAATTAAATAAGTTTAAGTTGGAAGCAATATTTCGTAACAATTCTGCTCAAAGTTTGTTGTGTGCTTGCACATCTTGAGCCACTTGACGGATCATGAATATAATATGAACTCACTCGTACAAAAGAAATTTGATCAATCATCCTGCAAGAAACGAGGATTGGAATCGATACGTCTTTTCTTTTTCTTTGCACTGTTATGCAAACTTTTATACTTCAATCAAACCAATCGTTCAAGCAGAAGTCTGGTTCAACCAACCAGTCGTCCAGTAGGTGAAGGCTATACGTTGGTTGTCGTGAAAGTCAAACATATTCATAACTTTGGGCATGAAACTATATTTGATTTTCATTGTTACTGCTCAAATGTCGGTTAAATAATAATGACGATATCGTGGTTTTACAAGTCCAAGTTTAAAAGGTTGAAGGATTTCGTAATAGAATTTATTTTACATAAAAGTTATAGATTTCAACTTATACAATTCAAGTTTTAAAGAATGATGTCTGAGTGAGAGAGACAAGTTCATGGCCAAGTAGGAAAAGTGAACAAAGGGAGTTTTCCTCTCAACCAAGCAACCAACATCACCGTCAGGCTCGAAAAGCTAATCTGAATTTATGTCCGTTCTTATGTACTCGTACGTAAGTTATACGTATTTAAGTAAGTTGTGATTCATCTGGTAAAGAAGTCAAGTCTGGAAGTCAGACAGACATTGTAGATCTCTAAAGGAAAGTTGGTTCCCACTTTTTTCTCTCATTTTTCCTCTTCCACCTCGATTTTTGTTCTTTCATTAGAACCACCACGTCTTAAAATAGGATGGAGTAATTAACATGTTTATGACAGTTTTCTGTTGACGTCTACACCACTCTTGAGAGAGACATGCTTCGTGATTTTTGCAATTTGCTGGAATAATAACGGCGACGAAATTGCCAAGATGCATATCTGACGTACAGTAATATGTGAAGTACTGAAAGAGTATGTAAAACTATTTAAATTCGCACAAGGGAATTTTTTACGATGACATTTCCTCTCTTGATAAGGACCATTTTAGATATGCACATATATAAATCGGAGCGTTCCAAGTAAGTAACAACTTGTTTTCCAAGGGGTTTCACAGCTTGTCCCATAAAATGCCCCATGACTTGCAGGGTTGTCCTCACAGCTTTAAGTGGATTGCAAAACTTGAAGTTTTCTTATGGAAAGTAAATTGAGCGTGGCTGTGTTTGTTTCTTCATAATGTTCTATTTCATCCTCACTTTTCGGGATATGTGTTCCGTGTTGAAAATGCGAATCACTTCTCGCCAACAGTATATCCTTTTTCACCACAAGAATAGGAGTCGGCTCCCTTTAAACAAAGGCACGTTCCGTATCATAAACTCTTTTTAACTCTGCCTATACATGTGCATTTCAGGGTTCTTGGGATATGCGTATAGTCCGCTTTTCTCTGCTCTTGTCGTCTCAAGGGCGAAAGATTTATCTTCTTTTGGAAGAAAGCAACAAGCAAAAGGCTGGAAAACATTTGGTAGAAAATGGGAGTAATCAATTTGTCAAATGTTTCTGCTAAGAGGGGAGCAGTTCATCCTGCTTAAATTTAATTCCAACCGAGAAGGAGGGTTGGCTGGCATAATTAATTAGCCTGATGAAAGTTTACACTTCAATAATGCCGTATTTATAACTGGAGTAAACAACTTGAAAGCTCGTGATGCATACAAAAATTTGGCAGGGTCGTAAATAATTTCGTATTTACTAGAATCCGGTCCAATTACCGCACATCATAATTAAACCCAACCACAATTCCGCCTTAAAAATTTTATAAACTTCAAACGGAACAAGGACAATTCCGGTCCGCTTCATAAAATATTTTCATTTCAGTAATTGCATAAAATAAAATAATTAGCAATAAGCAAAACCCTACGAAAATCAGCATGTATGCAGCATCCAATTTGGTACATAGATTTATTTATATCAAAAGCTGAGCAAACTGTTTTTTTTGTCGGTGAAAGCAACTAATTCAAGCACTCTAATTCAATCCGACTTCCTTCCTTCGTTAGTCACTGTGTTGCATTAACAATGTTCAAATGGTGCCTTGATTTCGTCCATTTGTTAAATTTAATTTATGAACTTTCACCATCCGGTTTTCCATTCATTTACAAATTATGAGAGGTCTCATGTACGTACGTCAGCGAAACGGAAGGTCTGCGTATGAACCAAGACTTGACAATTGTTCGTATTTTTATTTATTTTTGGTGTAAAATCTTGTCGTTTTTTTACGTAAAAAAACTTCACAGATTCACCACCACGGTTTTATTTGAATATATGTTGAAAATCTCGTTAAAACAAAGTATCCCTACTTACATACTTTCTCTTTCGAGAAAGCCAGTCAATCTCAACAAACAGTGTTGCATCAACGTTGGAGAAAACGTGTCCGTGGGCGGTGGATAAATTGCACCAAGTTAAAAAAAAAGAAACAATAAAGGGAATAAAAGTTTACAAAGCTCGTCGTCGTCGTCCTCTTTTATTTACTCTTTTCTTTTCGATTCTCTTTACTTGCAGCAAAGTTGAAGTGGATGATTGGATAAGATCGTTTTATTGCGTCGTTGATTGTTCAACAAGTATTGAAACACAATTGAGCAAACTTTGCTGGGAATATGGAGTGGTTTCTCTAGGTTAGTCGTTTGAGTGGTTGTGTGTTGCTGGTTAGATTGAGGAATTTGTCGTTTTGCTTGCCGTCGTCTCGACCAAATGAAATCCGAGATGTCATTTGATTGAAAAAAATTCAAGGTCTTCTTCAGTTTCACATCACAAAGTGCAGGTTGGCACTTGAATGATCCATCCATAATTGAGGATCAAATATTGGCGTCGGTGCTTTTGTAGGATGTAAAATAAAATAATGCAGCTTATTTGTTTATTCTTCGCATTTTCAAAGTATTTATTTCGTCATTAGATCAAAATTGCAGTTTAAAATTACAAACTACTTACACACAGTTATTATGCATTCACAACAATTAGACATTCTCACTTTCAATAAGTTCAGTTATTGATCTAAATTCATGATAATTCATTGTAAACATGATTTTCTTAATGATTAATTAATTTGATTAGTTAATTTTCACTCTTTCAATTATCCTACTACAATTTCGATTTAAATTTCAGACACTGCGAAACGAGATATTTATATGTATGGTTCCAGCCATTCGATATTATACATAATATTCTCTCGATACATATATTTTTTAATTTCGAGCTTGATTTGCATATTTGGATAAATTTTTCATATATTTATTCCGATTCCGAATCATTCTTTCATATATCGCATTTCTCAGGATAAATACTTTCTCGATTGGATTACAATACAACAGCCAGGTAATTGTAATATCAACATGGTAGCAAGATTTTAAAGGTAAATTGTCTTATGATACATACATAAATCACTCTGAATAGGTTGTTATAATTATCTCGTCGATTACAGATCGGTTGCTGGAAGATTTGCTAAGAAATATTTTTTAGAAATATGTTTAGATATCACATTCACACACTTTTTTTGTGGCGCATTATACTTTTTTTTGTTACTGCATACATACATACCATTATTACGTACGGATTATTTGAGGCTGTGAATAAATGCTTTACAAATAAAAACGCGGATATCATATTTGTCATGTCAGTACGATCAATGAATGAATGAATATTATAGAACACAAAAGTTACAATGGGGGTAAATACATTTAAAATAAATGTAATGAATACAGGTTTACCGGATCATTATGTAAATAAAGCAATAATAAGCATACATATCCATTTATATGTATGTAATTAATCTCTGACAAGATTGTGACACGTTAAAATGCATGTAGGCAAGTACAGGTTACTGGCAATATTACTTACATATTTTTCATTAAATAGTAAATAAATCATTGTACTCGACTTAAAATAAATAAGCATTAATTGAGACCAATTTGTTGTGACATGTTAAAAAAAGGTAACTGAATATGAACATCAGTTGTTGAACAATCACGTTTCATAATGTCAATTCGATAATAAGTTTAAACATTGTTCTTTCTGAATCAGACCATGAAATGCGAACAACTTCACACATCTGCGACTATAATGAGAACCAAACGAAATTACTTCCGTGCTTAACTAACAGTACAAACTTAAGCGTATGAATAGTCGTATTTATAAAAAAAGATCCACAAACTTGTACAAATGAATGGCAAAGGTAAGTTTTTTTTTCTTTTCAGTCAAACAAACAGGCAAGAAAAATGACGACCCTTTCGACACACAAATTCCATTTCTTGGACTGATCTGCATTGCTAAAGTTTCGCCGGGGACTAGACGGGTTGCTATTTGAGGGAGATGAGAGTTGACTGTTCGAACGACTGCCCCTGTTATTCCGACGACTTCGACAACACCTGCGATGATTCCACCTCTCAATTAAGCTGAGACCACCACCGCGTTTCGACTTTTTTGCCGGAGATGGGTGACCAATTGTTCGAATGGGACATCGTGGTCGAGCCAAGTTGCGATAATAGGGCCGCAAAGTGGTCGGAATCCCGAGCGGATTGTTTGGTGGGGACGAGAGTTCATTCTGGATTTCCGCTCGGCTACCATTCTTTAAGATTCTGGTTAAACATGAGATCTCCTCGGGGGTGAAAAGGCCGGATTTTGCGGGTCCAAGTTCGCACAAGAAGGAGGCGAGGCTCATGGTCAGATAGCGTGGGAGGAAGAGAGATTCGCCCAACACGGTGCGTTTTGACTCGGTCGTCAGAGGCAGTTGTTTTCGTTTGCACTCTTTGTCCGTCCACCTAAAAAAATAAGAGTTTGATTAGAAATGTGTTTCGTAACGGAATGTTTCGTAACGTCGGAAGGAAGGAGGTATTTGTGTGACAAGAACTCACTTGAGGATCGCATTGAAAGCGAGATTTTCATCAGAAATATCAAGCGTGTCTCTGTGTAAATAGAAAATAATGACAAAATAAGTTTCAATTTCGCAAAGAGCAAATAAAATAAATTTATTTCGCAATGGAAACCTGGAGAGGATTAAGCGGAACGTGTCCACGTCCAGATCTTCCATCTCGTCCAAAAGTAGGACACTGTTTGCCTCCTTGTCCACAAAATTGAGACATTTCTGCAGCAATCGAGAACAATCAGTTTCAATACAGTCCAAGTACTCGGACTCTGGATTCTGAGCTGCTGCAAGCTGGGAGAAGTTTAAGGGATTGTCGTCTGTCGCAGACATGTGCACTTCCTGACCCCCTGGGAAGGAGGAGCTGGTAAGAAACATCTCTTGCATCATTTGCCTCTCACGTCCCCAGTTCTGCAATAAATAGGAAAATACTTCTTACTAAAGTGTCATTCACAAATGTCGCATTGTTTATTGTCACTTTAAATACCTCAAGATTTTGAACATTTCCACAAAGGAGAGGAATATTGCTCAGGATGGACAGGATGTTGTTGACATTCAGATTCTGACTGAGATAATCGACACATTTTTGGACCAGTTCGGGACACTGGTATTTGTGAGCTGCGTATAAAGTCCGGAGTGCTGTTTCTACTGATTGAAATGCCATTTCCTGTGCGTACAAGTGTCTGCAATTATTTAGACAAAGAGCGTCAGATTGGAGGATATTGAGTTGTGCGTAATTATAGGACAAAATGGACTAGCAAATGAGATCATATTCAATTCTGGGGGATACACACTGCATATGGGGTTTGTAAGTGAGGGGAATCTTTATATCCTATTTTGGGGTTAATAACGGGGATTATCAGGATTGAAGAGGAACAAGGCGTCTCATTTGCAGATGTCCAGATGACCAATAAAGTAAAGCATAATGACCTCATCCACTTACCGCAAGAGATTGTCGAAAGCTCTCCCATCAACATCAGACACTGTAATTTTGTGCGGTTCGTTGCCACCTTGTTCATTATGTTGTGGGCTAAAATATTCGGAAAACATTGCTCGAAAGACTGGGGTAGAGTTGTAAAGGATGGTTTTGTGAGCAGGGATCCTCCACTGGTCATCATAACCGACGAGGAAGACGACGTCTAGATATGGAGGAAAAATAATCTCACATACATAAATCATGGTGAAATACTCACATTTCCCCGAGTCACTACGGTAGGAATTTACTACATATGTGAAATTACTACTTCTCACACAGCAGCAGCAAGAGCTTAATTTTTTGTGCTACACTTTGTACTTTAGTTTTCTTTTTATAACAATGGAGGAGGACAAATCATTTTCGGACGACGACGATTTCGTCACAACGCAGAAGAGGCGGATGGCGACACCGAAGGTGGTTGAGAAAAAGGCAAAAATAGAGAACGCCGGTCCATCTACGTCTGCTGCGAAATCTAAGCCGTTAGTTTTTAGTTCCTCCTCCTCCTCCCACCACTACTTTGTATTCAATATTTGATCAATATTTCTAATTTATGTTGTTAGTTCCACCGCGAAAACTACTACAGCCGCCCCTCATCCTAGCAAACATTTGGCCGTGGAGACTACGAAAGCCGCAAACTGTGATGAAGGGGAGTTAAATCCCCGTGGAACGAAGGATAAGGAGAAGAGAAAGTCGGAAACCGCTACAAGTCTTGTCCGTAAAGACCAGAATTTCCTACCCGTCCCGTGGTCCTACATTCCTGATGAGGAGGAGATGGAAGTGGAGGAGGAAGAAATGCGACTCAGGGATGGGAGGGGGATTATTTATAGAGATGGGGATTTGGCTGAAGAGTTCCAAATAAGGTACATGGCTTCGTCGAATGCAAGACTTGACAAAACGTTTAAAGGTAACATAATAATTACCACTTGCATGATAATGATTAGTGCACTATTTAATAAGGTTGTCATGCTATATAGGTGAAGGGGTGGATAAAATCAGGATGACGATTCTGCGGTTAGTTGGACTAGCCCCGACTGAAACCGCTTCCCCTGACCTCGATGTTTATGAAGCCTCTCCACAACTTTTTTTGACCCAGGAGGAGCAGGGATTGACCGCTGCACAGAGGGAGGTTCTCTTCCAGGAGATTTTCCGCAGAGGAGGTCGTGTTGACGTTGAAGACAAACCGGGATGGTTTTTAATTATTCACAAGGCCCCCACCACCGGGCTAATTCATTTATGTTTGGAGAGACCTAAAATAGATAGAGGAATACTGATCTATGATGCTACAAGGCTTTGCACGAAACCAAGTAAGCATAATTAAGGTGGATGATTGTTGTATCTTGATATATATTTAAATAATGTGTCATTCTCATTAATCAGAGTGTTACCAATACTACCAAACTCTCTCAAATGATGTCCTCCCCAAGTGTATGAAGCATCAATCCAATCCCATTTATGCCATGATGAAAGTAACTGATTTCAATCGAAGGGACGTGTTGGTGCTTCTTCATATGCAGTCAGCATACTCTGCAGCATCGAATGCATCCGATCGGGATAAAGATGAAAGGATCGAATTGTGTCTTCATCAAATATGTACCAGTTACCCGCAGTGGAAAAATTATTGTGCTACGGAGGGCCTAGCAAGTCGACCGATCCCCAAATCCATATCGCGACACCACTTTAACAACGACGGCGACGCTCTAAGGATGCTGTCATTCGAATCCGTTAGTGAAATTGTCTCGAAACGAATATCTTGAGTAATGAGTTGTGATTTCATCATTATTATTATGCATTTGTAGACCATTGGAATGTTTATTAAACTTGCCCCCGGATCTCAACCCATCATCAATTTGGATGATTTAATCCCCTTGTGTTATGGATTGGAGCGTGAGATTGATGCGCGACTAAAGGAGTTGGGAATGGAACTCAAGATTCGTCGCCACTTGACCAAAGAGGAGAGGTCGGAGGTCAAGTACCCTTTTTGTGGAGAATACTTGTTAGGAACAGCTGCAGCAGCACACCAACAACCGGAGAAAGGGAAAACTTTTTTGTACACCATCATGAGTCGGGACATGTGGTATTTCGGTTGGAGTGCAACCCCCGATTTCAAGAAACGCTTGGACATAAGAGGGGGGACTGATGGTGCAAGGGAGTACAAACGAATCACAGAGAAGAGACAAAAAGAGAGAGAGTTAGAGATAGAGGGACTGCAACAGAGAGATAGAGAATTAGGTAGAGCAGAGGAGTTATCTATCTATCCACCCCCACTTAAGGCTCCTACCCTGACCCCCTACCTTGTCGCCAAATGTGAAGATGATGACAAGAAGATCATCAAGACCAAGACCATCGAAGCAAAAATGATCATTGCAGGCTATATTGCTTATTTGTTGGGATTCCGTAATCCTATTCGTCCTAATTCTGATGTAGGTTATTCTGTTAATAAGTGTGTTTCTATAAGTTTAGTTGATTCTAATTCATGGGGCGAGATATGTGAATTTGTCAAGTTATTCTGGGGGTTTGAACCAATGTTGGCGAAGTATAAGAGAAATTGAATTATGTTTATATGTTTTGTACACGTAACAATGGAGATGCAATAAACATACCACATCCTTGTTCACAGCCATAAATCCCTTGACTAATTATCTCGTCCAGTTTGGGGGCAGTTGGCTTCAGGGGGCGCATATTCGTGGGCCACATCTCACTCTTTTTTAATCAGAGTTGTTAGTGAATTTTCTTGCTATTTGTTTTTCCGTAGGATTCGATTGTCTCTTAGTTTCATTCCAAAATAAAGAATCGTCCTTCTCTTTCCCCACCGCGTCAGTAGTCTTCAGGTAAAAATCGCCACGGTCACAGAACCAGCTGCTACGCGCAGGATACGTTTTTGGCTGCGGGGTGAGAATTCACAAACTGGAAAGAATTGAATACATTAATTTTTTATTAGTAGGTAAATGGCTTGGTTTATGATTTGAGACACTGATCATGGTCCCCATTCTTTGAGTAGGGTTAGGTTTTATTTATTATACGCAAGAACTGAAAGGTCAACCTTTTCATGATCAAAACCTGGATAATGTCACCTTTTTTATGCTCCTATTGCCACACTTTGCCCATGCAATCGACGCGACGAGACAAGAATCAATCACACACACTGCGAGACACTTCCTGTCCCTGTCCAGCCACTCTCTACGTACACATTATTACGACTGACTGAACAAGTCCTCAACATTTTTTATGCCAAGAAAGTCGAGATGAAAGTGAGTGAATAATATGAGATGATGATTGATATCAACTTCGGTCTGGCCAGGCCACCGCATTTCTCTCTCCAGGTCGTTTTTTGGTACCTCGAAAAATAAATTCTATGCATTCCAAAAGTATCGCTTTGCAATGAACCCTGTAAATATTTACATTTCTCACACATTTGTTTTACTACTCTACTACTATTTACTACGTTGGTGGTTTGGTTTGGCACTATAAAATTATGAATCACCACCAAGAATTTCGAGACACTTTGCAATTTGAGACGGTTCATTTTAAACCTTTAATCGACTTCCGACCATGATCGTAAAGTCAAATGTGAGGTGATTACGGCTTGTTTTACTTGCATATATAAGTGCAAAGTTTTATATAGAAATTACATCATGAAATGAAAATAAATCAAGTAGTAGGCCTTAAATTAACCTTTTTGGAAGTAAACGTGACACAATAACCTGTCAAGTTGTTTAACCGGTGGTTTATATGTATGGCGAATTATTAGCAGCACTTCATAAAACATACCACACCCATTCCTCACTCGATGCCATTTCCATAAAAAAATTGTGGCAGGCAGATTAGTTCATATTTATTTAGTTTATGATCGCTTAGCTGGGAGTTCAGACCAATTTTTAGCATTTCACGTCGTCACGGGAAAAATGTGAGACGTGACAATCGATTAGAATCTTGAATTGATAAATATAATTGCATTTGGTAATTGCTTCACATTCTAAAATTTGGTGGTGTTAAGTGGCACTTTATTATTTGGCAGAGTTGTTATAAATAGATCTGTGCCTAAATTAATTCTTTGCTATTAGGCGGTGAAGTATGTGTATAAACAATGCTAATCTAAAGTGGAGACCATTTAGTCATATTTGTTAATAGTTTGGGCATCAAATTTCATGTCTTCCCAACACAACCAAATAAAATTCTTGGTGGTGTGTGGGATCGACGCCACATTCCGACGCCATGCATTCCAAAGAAGTACCCAAAATCGTATTATGATGCTAGCTTGAGATTTATTTACGATATTTTTCTTACCCTGAAAGGACCTAAGGACACGAAACTGAAGCATTAAGAATTTCAGTTCATGTCCCCATTCCAGGTCTTTTACCCGAATTGGTTTCACTTTTAATAGGGCACATTTCATTTTTGGTGAAAAATCGATACCCCCAATTTTACGAGAAATAGTATAAAACCGTTAATTTCATCACGACACGACACCTTTATTTGTTTGCGAAGTAACTACGTTCAACTAAATGCCAAATAAACATATATCCACCCACCTGCTTTAATAGCCTTATCAATTAAGCTTAATAATAAATTGTTTGTGGAAATGAGTGTCGGAACAGAGCGTGAAACAGAGGTAAAAAAGAATAATAATAACTACACGAATGTCAAATGTTAGATAATATTAATACCCATACTACTTATATGACTTGTCATTATTGTTATAATCGCTTTTTTAACCAGAGGAGAGAGGTTTGCTTGGTTCTCCAGAGATAAATAATATGCATGCATGCAAAAGTTATTATTTTCAAAGCGTCTTACCGAATATGAGGCAAGAGCAAATTTATCCTGCTAAGAGTGAGACGTACAAAATCATGGTGACTCTTTTCTGTGTAAACTGCACTGAACAATATATTTATGTAGTTGACAAGGTGCGATATTGGTGGGATTTGATGTGATTCTGGACCAATATTATTTAACCTGGACCAGTTTTACAGACCAGATTTAACAAAACTGAAGGAAGAAATGAGTAAAAATTATTGAAGGACAAGTTGCACAAGGAGCTTGCTTTGTATGCAAGTGCTGAATATGTGTATGTAGGAGGGGTTTATCAATGTATATATATTTTTTGTTATGTAATTGTAATCTGCAACTAATATCCATTAGTCTGCAAAACGCACTGCCAGCACAGTTCTAAAATTTAAAGGCAATGCTCCTACTAATAAATACATAACACAGAGTGCGAAACAACACAAAATAATAAATATGTGACATTTGACAACACCATATCCCGACCATGATAATAACGTTATCTTAATGTGACTCGTCTAGCGGGGGAGCGAGAAAAGTGGAAGATGCGGAAACCACAATAACCACACACTGATATGACAAATGTATGTCTTCGATTTTATGAAATACGCTCATTTTCTACATCTCCTCCAGAAATGACTCAATTACCTATGCGACCAATTTACATATGAATAGGACTGATTCCTTTATGAAATGGATGAAAATTTTCATGTTTAAGTCCTTCAGCCAAACGGATGCCGTCTTTGTCATGAAATGAAACTACGTATAAGGCGAGACTTTAGTCGAGAAAGTCGCCAACTTGATCTTAGAATTTTATAAAATCCGTATTATGGAACATCATTCATCATTTTCCGTGCTTAATTTTGTAATAAAATTACTGAACAGCCTTCAAATTTTCAGTGGAGCCAGGAAAGCAATAATCACAACAGGATTAAAAAGGTGACATTGCATTTATGTATGTCAGAAGGCACAACAGCCATGATTTTATGGACACTGGCTGTTACTCCGTTGTCGATATTAAGCATTATCGCCGATCGGATGTGTTTTTGTTTCTTCCTTAATCAGCAAAAATCAGCGATAAGCATTTATGAACACAACAACAAACGAAAGTTCTCAATGTCGTGGTGGGGGTAAAGTGAAAGAAAAAAACCTGCTGCAGTTTTTATGACCAATAATACAATTTGGCATTGTACCTATAATCTATGTATGCATGTTCTTGTGAGACAAAATATAGTCAAAATATAAATAAATCGGTGTAGTCTCAATTTATGCACCTACTGTCTGGACAGCGTTGAAAATAGGTACGATCGTGTGCCTACTTTACAAAAACCATTCGTTTCTTTGTCAGATGAGCATTATGCTTATGACTCACTTTAATTACGGAATTGAATGAAACTCGAGAAATATAATGTCCTGGGCAGATCCGGAATTTACGAGTAATAATAAAAACATTGCAAAGTCTCAATTTTCCCACAACTCTGAACTACTGCACTGTTTACAATCACAACTTGTTAAGTACATGTTTGTCCAGATATGCATATATCTGTCTTCCAAAACTATTAAAATGGCCATAAAATTTTACACAACCGCATTCTAAAGAATATGTACGTAAGTACGTCTCATGTCATTTCACACCACTAACCAACCACCCTTTGGAAATATCTTGAATATTTCTAATCGGATCGGTTAAAATCTGTGCCTACGTATTCGTGCAGCATTATAGAAAATAAGTATAAATATTTGAGAAAGAATGCTGATCAAGTTACGAATTTTAGCTTTATGTAAGTTCCTAATGGGAGGAAAGTAATGCGCTTTTAACGGCGTAAAAATGAACATGGGCTGACAACTAATGAGCTGCGCATATATAATCTTATCAGTATCACAAGATCTTGTCCAGCGTCTAGTCGGGGCTATGATAATTTAAATCACATGTCGCCGAATTCTTCATTTCCAACTTTGACGAGAGAATGAGATCATAATCACAAGACAAGACAAGTCATGTTGCATGTCATGCATGCAATGCATGACATGCAACATGTCATGTCATGTTGCTTTTGCTAAATTTAAGTACAAATGTATATGCACATGGTGAGAGAACAGTGGTTGTTTGTTTCTCTGTAATCAGGAGACAGTCGCAAAATTGAAGTCATAAATGTGACGATTTCAGGCTGCGATTGTTTTTGCAATGACAAATCACTTGTAGGATCAAGGGTTACCATCATGAAAAATATTAGTCATAAGAAGTAAGAACCTATTGAGACAAACGGAAGTACTCTGTAGCCAGATTCTGAACTTTTTTTACGCCTCTGGATTTTTAAAATTAAAACAACAAAAACATTCTACATTATTATCTGGATCTATAAAAATGCAACACATTTTGGTTATCCAAGAACAATTTGGCAAGACGAGTTTGCAATTTTTTGGAATATTTTTGAACTGAACTTACATCTTGTCTGGAAGGATGCGGAAGTTTTCTTGCGGAAGTGAATGAGCTGAGAAGAATTATTTTCATTCCTTTACTGATAATGTTTACAAAATGCTACAGACTTCATTAGCTACATACTTGAACGTACAAAAAATTAACACGTGCTAATAATTCTGGAAACGCAGCATCAGCTAAAAACACAGATACCTATTTACATCCTGACTTTTTTTTAGAGAGAATCCAATCAGAAGCATTAATCACTCTCTTCAAATTCTATTTTGATGGATTTCAACATTTCTTGTTATCAACATTTTTAGAGGAAACCACAAAACGAAATGCGAAGTATGGGAATAAATACTTACATTTTCATCGCAAAACGAATCAAAATTAATTTAACCAAATTGACCAAAAATACGTAATAATTATTACCTAAATACGGTTTGAGTACTGCACACAAAACGTGGTTAGTCAAATATTCTTAAATATTTCTCTCCATACTGAGAAAATTATGATAAGCGTCATAAACTTGGATTTTGGTTAGAAATGGCGTGACATATTTTTTATCGTCAAAATCAAATCTTTTTATTCTGGTCAATTTTACCTATCCATGTTTATAAAGATTTAGGAAATGCAGTAGTCAGCTCTCGGTTTTGGATAATCCCATGACACACATTGAATTTATGTGCATAAAGATGAAAATAAACGCAACTGAAATATCTACTACATACATATTAACATTTGTGCTTTACGAGTACCTTTTTCCACCAGTCACCCACAGCCACATTTGACATAAGCAAACCAGCCATCACATTCTGGTTAAGTTATTCCCAATCATGTCTTAATTTTGACATTGTGCCAAAACACCATAAAACGAAACAACCAAAAACTACTGCACTGAACTCACAAAAATGTCAATAACTACTTCTTATTATGAGCATCTGCTAATGTTCATGGTGCAAAAAATAGAGGAAGATGTGGAAAATGGGATCATCTTACCTCCGTGATGATTCCAGATATTCCAACAATTTCATTTAAGCAGAGCAATAAATAATTTCACTTTCAAAATATTGCCCTTCCATGCAATATGTTTCCGAAAATATAGCAGACCCTCCATGAAATTTGCTCCAGCACTTCTTTCTTAACAGGATGAACTAATTAAACCGGGCAATTTCATGATACCACAAAAACTACAACCGACCGACAATCCCTCCTCATTTCCCTTTGTTACTAGCTACTTTGTCTCTTAAAACCTCCAGTCCCACCAGGGATGCATATGCTTATTTGCGGTTGCAAATTGTGAGTAAATGCAATAAACAAATGACTTCTTAGCACAGCACTCCCCGCATGACTATCTATCTCTCTGTATGGAAATGGAATACAAATTCGCTCAGCAATGAAACGGTCATTCATCGCATTGTTGACAGCAGGCGGAGGGTTTAGTCGGGACAAATGAGACAAACATGTCAAACAGTCTTCTTATATGACTGACTACAATGTGAGACTCACAAAGTATAATCTTGTACACAAATTTTGACTATCCCCGAAATAGTAAATTGAAAAACATGCATATTCATCAACACCCCGAAGCTGGATTTGTGCTATGTACATACATAATTCTGGGTATGACATAGCAAGGTAAATATTACGGCAGAAATTTCTTGTGATAACAAAAACAACGTACTACAACACTACATCACCAATCAACAACTACATTTATACGTACAGTATACACAAATGTATGAATGTATTTTGCAACCGTAAAATGAGACCGCTTTTCATTACATAATAATAAATTGAATGAAAGAGTGAGTGGGAACCACACTTTTTATAAAAGGCATATAAACTATATGTAAAAGCGCAAAGGGGAGGGCGTAGAAAGGTTGTGAAGGTCAACACTGTTAAAGTTAAAATGTAGCATAAGCAAAAGAGGTTTGAATTCAACGTAAAGTTTGATGATGATGTTCACTGGTATAAATTGAACATGTGAAGTTGTGTATATTGTGTATTTAGTTTAGTACTGGGACATATAAGGGTTCTCCGTTTTTGTGCAAAAAAGTTGCAAAATAATGTGCAACAGGGTAGGCACAGGATGAGCCAGGTGCTCGAGCGGGGTCCCCTTTCCTTCCTTTATGCCATAGTTTTTGTTCATTTCATTGTATCAGAATGCAAAAAAACTCGAGTTTAGACTAAGGAACGTTTTTTTAAGTGGTCTGCTAAACTAATGATACACAAAATAATACACATCCTCTAAATTGCTATAAACAACCGCATAAACACAGTGAAACCAACATAGGTATACCTCATTGTACATACTAGGAAGATGAAATGCTGTGTATTTATGTGTAACATGAGGGGGACTTTGGTTTGCTAATGTATAGAGTTACGTATATATAGAAATCATGTTACTTTACTAACTTCTGATGTATAACTTTCCCCCAAATTCTAAAGTTATGTGGACTCCAATATTTTATTTTACGACCTCATGAAAACAAAGATTCTTCAACACGTTCTTAAATTTCTGGGTGAAATAAGTGCTATCTATGCTTATTGATATTAGAGCATTATACACACTCAGAATTTGGAAAGAAATTGCGTTCTCTGTAAAAGTTAACAAATCTTTGACATTTGCAGACTAAAGTGTCACAGAAAAAGTATTTAACACTGCGTCTACGTCAATTCGGCTGCAATATTGCGAAATTTATGGCGTCCCGTAGTGAAATGAAAAACTGTACCAGCGTCATAATTCTATTAAGAGTTTAAAATGAAAATTGATTTTTACATACCTGTTGTATTCCCGAAATTAAACTTTAATATTGTGCACTCAGGAGTAAAAGTGAAATGATGCTTCAAAAGTAAAAGTAAACCTTGATCACCCAAAAATCCTTATTTTATACCATTACATTTAGCTTACATTTACATATCAGCTCAAATATTAAAAAAAAAACATACATACCGATTATTAACAAATTAATTACTCATTATATTTACATTTTTAACAGAACGTGTTAAAACGTTCAAGTATGTAAACAAACACTAACATAACGTTGAATGCTTCCTGAGCTATATTTTTTTATGAGTTCATCCGTCGTCTGTAGCTCATCTTTGAATCGGTAATGACATTACATGCATAAAAGTGCGTAAAATATTTGCCTCATAATATAATTTGCAAAAGTATGAAATCACTGCTAACAAGTTTCACTATCAATGGAAAGATAACAGTATTGATATGTAAGTACATCGTTATACGACCATGAAATCATCTACTGTTCGATGGCACACAAGTTGTAAATCAGGAGGATTACACCAAACTAAATATTCCTGGTTTGCATTCTACTGTCGATTTTGACCATATTTTTATAGCAAATAACCATAAAATGGATCAAATTAATGTAAATAAAATGAGACAGACAGACTCCTAAATGAAACACATGAATAGTTGTATACTATTATAAACCTTGGTTAAACATACAATTTGACTCTCTTTTCCCATAAAAAATGTGACATCATTAATCAGAGTTCGATCAACTTTACCTTTACGTGAAAGCACCCTATATGAATGTACAATAGTAAATCTGTGGTAAGTAAATAATCGTGTCGTACCTCAAGTGTGGTAACAACGGAATTGTTGTGAGTATTAATTTTCTATGTACTACCTTATCGACGATCTGATAATGAAATTGCCTCTTTTTGAGGCAATTGTACATTTCCATGCTCAAGTTTTGGGATTGATCACGTTTTTGGATTTCCGCACCAACTCAATTATGTAGATATTACCCTCATTTTACATACGAGTATAAATTCAATTAGATAAGAAATACACGCAATAAATAATCGAACCTACCAAATAAATCAAATCCTCTTTACACGCATGGAAATCACGATAGCGCTTTCTCCACACACGATACACTCATGCACTAACTTTGCTTCCTTATTAACGTATCTATGAATCAAAATATATGTAATAGGCACCAGATCCATACGCACAAATGTTTGCCCTGTGCGTGCGTTTCGCAAAAGTATTGATCAGCTTTCTCCGTCGTTCTCCAGCATTTGTCCCACTGCCACCACTTTCACTACTCCCACCTACTTTCTCTCCACTGCCTGCTCTATCACGGGGGAAAAAGTTAGTGGAAAATGGGTCACCCACACGCAACCCTGCTTCTCCCACTTTCTTTTATGTTTTAAAAATGCACACTTTTTCCGAGATGTGACGTACTCGTACTGATGTATGTAAAAATTTAGCAACCACAATTAAGTATTATGCAATGCATGGAAATGCATTAACCCCAAACCAAAAAGAGGTTTAGTTTGATTCCAAATTTTTCCTTATTTCACAAAATTTAAGATTTGTATCAAGTTTCGTTTCAGCCAGTACGGAATAAGAATATGTTTTCCTTACAATTTTAGGATACACATTGACTGAAAAACAAACTTTTAAGGGGTTCTTTTGACACGCATGTTACAAACAATTTGACATTTACACCCTAAAATATGATGTTTCCTTTTCTCTTCCCATCCTAAAAGTTATGACTTTATGTGCAAAGGTATCTATGACATGAAGTGAAGGCAATAAGTAATAGGAATTTCGCAAAATTTTATGAAGGGGTCTTCTTCCCCAAGTGCAGGTGAATGACTCAGGTGCTTGTGATTGTTTCCCTCAACATATACGCTCACACATAAAAAATACACATCTCGCATACTTATTAGCGAGGACTTGTTCCATTTAAATTGTGCTGACTCTTACCTTTTCAGTTGGAGAATAGCAGACCCATGCACTGGAAAAGGCTTTCTGTTACGTAAAACTGATGGGTAAAGAATATCATGAAGAAAGAGAACTTAGGATGACACAAGAAGAGGACGACCAGACCAGGCAGTAAATAAATCCCAACTAAAACCAAGTTTTTGGCTACCCGAATAAGAAGAAAAGAACGCACAAGTTCTCGTTGCATTACACCACAGTCTTTTATCGATTGCTTTCGTTTACTAAGTCAGAAGAGACACACTTCTGCTGCTGCTGCTGAATTCATGCGATCTCTCTACATCATGACGATCAGAGAATGCACACAAGTAAAGTGGCACACGAGAAAATGTGCAAAGTTTTGGCTTACAGAGTCGGGCGGAACTACCCGAATTTCAGTTTTTTGCAGATTCCTTTCTGCAAATTGTTGGCAACTTGCACCAAAATGTACACATGTAGTAAAGAGAAGATCAATGTCTTTTGCTTATCTTGGCAGTACTTCATGTACACACGTTTTTGTAATGGAGAGCTTTTTAGGAGTGAAAGTATTTAGTAAATAAATAAATAAATGTTGGTATGTATCTGTTTTTGCAAATTTATGTATGATAAAAACCGGCGAGTTAAAAATAATTTGATTTTTTTTCTACACTTTTGTTATCCGTTATTGATATTATTTACCTTGCAGTCAAGGCTTGGCTGTTTTGATGCGTAATGTGTCCATCAGTTCATTGAGTTGGCATGTTATATGGTTATCGATAAGGTAAAAGTGAGCGTTATCATGTATGGATGAACTAATATTGTGGTTGTGGCTTTTGAGGCTTGGAATATTATTTGCATGCAACTTTGCGATTGTCATAAAATATGTTGTAAAACTGGGAGCATCACAATTATTCACAATCTCAGTCTTATTAGTCGGTAAAATCCAGCCAAATATGAGAACAACAAACTATTTGACATTAACACTTGGTCATAATAATTAGCAAATAATTGAATGCAATGTTCAGAAAATAGTAAAACATGCAAATGAATGAATTGTTTGTTTGAGCATACATATTTATCAATGCGGAATGAGCTGATTTATTTCCCGTATAATAAAATAGGCGACCAATTAGTAACACAATTTTATATAAAAAGTTGGAAAATTCCTTATTAACTAATTAATTATTGGTATTTGTAAGCCAAATTAATTACAGTGTATTGAACTTTGAACTACGCAGAAATCAAATTTATTTGCCCTCAATCATTAATCTCAGGTAAACTGTTGATTATTATGGTGATCCCTTTAATCAACAAATTGACGACTGCGTTGTTTTATTTTTGTGTCAAACATGAGCAGAAATACGGGAAATCGTGTAACATTAAACACCATGAAATTCTTATCAACTCGATAAACAAATGAAATTACATTTTATAGGATTACATTTGCATACAAGGAAAAAATATAGTATTTTTCTGTTAATTATTTTATTTTCTGTAAACTAATACATTCACTAACACCAATAGTGTTGTTCAATTTACCATTAGATGAAAATATTTGATACATTCGATAAATGTTTAATTGGGTAGTAATTATTATTTAAGGAAAACATTATATTCGCTTTTTTAATAAAATACAAATTTAATTTGTATATTTCAATGCACTAAAAATGAATATCAGAGTTATCAGAGTTATCTCGAATCAGGTAATAAATAACCCTACGCAAAACTGAGAAATCTAAATTACTCTAATAAAATAGAGCATTTCCAGGAAATCCTAAACGGAGGCGAAGCTCGTCAAAATAGAATATTAACAAATTTCATTCTAAAATATACATGATCTAATTCTTGTCATAATAATAATTTATTTTCGTGGCATCACCTATAACTCAATGTATTATGAAACTACCTGCTTATTTTAAAAAAATGGTTTAAATTATTAATCAAAATCAAACCTTCATACATGTATCATTCATGCCCTCAGTAATACTCTTGAATCATCTGAACACTCAAAATATTGCAAGTATCGAGAAGCGAAACACTCAGGAGGGAATACCTCAGAAGGGAATACCTCATTTCTAATAAATAACAGGCTTAAATGTTTCAATTTCAAATGCAATGATATTTCATTCAACTCAAGATTATCATACGAGAACAAAGATCGTCATAAAAACATTCAACTAAATTCAGCCCTCCGAACGAGCCAACTTCAAGCATTGTGTAGTTAGCACACATACACGTCGCACGTGTTGTTTTTTTTTGTTTCGTAAAAATTTTAAGTAAAATTTCCTAAACTAATTAATCGCTTTTAATCACCGCTGAGGAGCTGGGGAAATCCTCCTCCAAGAAGAAGGGGAACAGGCGGCTTCGTCAAAGTGACAAAAAAGATAAGAAGTCCGCCTGTCGCAGTCCGAGTCAGAATAATTTTGTCGTCTGGACTTGGTTATCTCAGATACCTTATCTGAAAAAGTGGTGGTTGTATTTTGTGTGGTGGTGGGTGGTGATTTTATGGAGAAAAATGTTCCGTCTTCTTGATAATGACGAAGAAGAAATCGCCATGCAGATTGAGTCTGCGACGACCAAGAAGGAGAAGAGGGCACAGAAAAAGGCCCAACGGCTAGTGGCTGAGTATCAAGTGACGTTGTCGAATGATGAGGTCAAGAGGGTAAGTGTACGATGAGAATAGTTAGTTGGGCTAATTAACATAAACTAGAAACTAATTGTGGTGGTTTTGCAGCCAGGACAGCTTTTGGACGCTCCTGAGGCGAAGAAGTTACGGATTGACCCTGGAGACAAAAAGACGCTTTCGCCAAGCGAGCTGAAATCCTTGAAAAAGTTGTTGGCTGATAGGAAGAAAGCTTTGACGGTAATAAGTGTTAAACTTTAGTAGTTTTAAGTTGAGTTTAATTGGAATAATTTAATAATGAAATGACCACTGGATGTGGTTTACAGCAATTACCTCGGTTTCTACTTCAAGGGGCAGGAGTAACGTCATCAATGTCAATACAACATGACGTTCGAGAGCCAATCTTTATGACAGATGTTCAAAATCTTCTTTTGTATGCGTTGGGTGGAAATCAACTAATTCAGCCTCCAAATCGGTATGACTAAACTGATCTTACTTGTATACTGCCATTTTTTTGCAAAAATTTGGCATTTATATTTTATTGCTTATTCATGTAGGTGGTGCAATCTTCAGAAGGCGAATCGATTAACGCATGTTCTTACCTTGATTGTGGAAGGTTTGACATCAAGAGATTTTGTCAGTTATGAACATTTATTCCCGAAATTAACTGGGTGAGTACTTGCTAATTTTTTAGGAACCCATAAATTACTTTATACTTACATTCACGTTTAATCAGGAATTTTACGGATCGAGTAGAAGTAATGGCTCCAGCTTACTATGATCGAGAAGTATCTCAGGAGTTGAGTTGCATTCCATTATCTAATGCTCAAAAAGAAGCAATCCTCAAGGGTATGAAGTTGCACATAAATTTCATATATAAGTAGAATAACAGCGCAAGTAACATGATACATACGTGTCTAATTTGCAGAATATGGATCAATGGAGAAAGCTGTTGCAGAGAAAGAGATTGTAAAACAGTTTCGCGCATTGTTTCCAACCAAGATGATGAATAATAGCGATCTCCCCACGAAGATAATATCTGCACCGTTGTTATCGACGAAAGCAGATCTTCCCGAAAATGATATTTTTCCCAGAACTTACTTGCTGATGGGGTTGAGCCAAATGACATACGAAGGTTATCCCATGCCATTTTGGATGAATTTGACGACAAAGTAGGTTTTTAAATCCAAATATATACATTATTGCAATTAATAGAAACAATAATTTATTTTTTTTATGCACAGCAAGTGCGCTGGGTATAAACTGTCAAAGGATGAATACAAGGAAGTCAGTGCATCGTCTCCAATGTTTGCAATAGATTGCGAAATGTGCATAACCGAAACAAATCCCAGCGAATTGACACGAATCGCCGTTATCAATGAGAACCATGAGGTAAGAAACGTTTATTCTCAAGCGAACATTTGAGCAATTTGTGTACTCATGTAAATATCTTGAAATTAGGTGGTTTATGAAAGCTATGTCAAACCAAAGGAGAAAATTATTAACTATCTGACTAAATTTTCCGGAATTACGGAAGAAATCCTTAAGGATGTAACAACCACGTTGGAAGATGTTCAAGAAGCTTTGATTCGTTTACTGCCAGACGATGCAATTTGGGTCGGACAGTCGTTAAACTGTGATCTTCATGCTCTTAAAGTGAGTAGTTATAAAATTATAAAATTATCGCCTTGTAACTTAATACGTTCTTTTGATCTTTAGATTATGCACCCGTACGTCATCGACACGAGTCTGATTTTTAATCTCAGTGGAATTGCTGGTAGAAAGTCTAAACTGTCTCACATGGCGGAAGTATTTCTTAATGAGAATATCCAGTCCGGCAATAAAGGCCATTGTCCAATTGAAGATGCGAAAGCAGCTATGAAACTTGTAAAGCTAAAATTAGCTCAAGGTGGGTGGAATACTGTGACTGACTACTATTGATGGAGCTGGGAATCGTGTGTGTTAAATGATTGTATAGAATTTGATCGGTACTAGTTGCCCATATATTTAGAGTTTTATTTAGTCAGGAAAAATTGTGTACAAATTGAATGTGGGGCAGATGAGACCGACAGTGACTGGTTCACACCAGGTAAAAGAGTGGATAGGAGTGATAATTTTAATTTGGGTTTTATAGTAGGCCAGTCCAGGTAATCAGAGTTCAAGACAAATAGATACATACATATTACATAATTGGATCATTGAATAAGTTATGAAATGAGTTTGCAATACATTGAGTTAAATAGGATTTTTAGAATGGTTCATAATTAAATAGTCTAGAGTTAAAATAAGGTAAATTAGTCAGTAGATCTTTACATAAGTATGATTTAGCATTCTTAACAACTATTAACGGAACAGATTAGATCATGAATGAGTGTTAAACTGGTCTAATTATTCTAGGTTTCCTCTTTGGGGACAGCATAGCTTCTACAGATGACCCTGCCATTCCAGAAGGTGTTCTTACAACATCAATTTTCAATCGAACGTACAAGTCTAATAAAACCGTCGCTGTAATCGGACCTGAGCGCGTCTTACAAGAATATGAGAACGTAACGATGACTCCACCTGATGGGATAGCGGCGTTCACCTCTGTAAGCTATAGAATTTTATAAATAAATGGTCCAAATTGAATACAAATCTCTAGAATTATTTATTTGTCTCCAGTTAAAAACATCAAAAAACAAGGAATCCGTCCAGAAAATTACCGAAGTTGCTGTTTCGCATCAACTCACCATCGCTCATGTCGACTTGTCTGAAAAATTACAAGAGGCAGATCGTGCCGAGAAGGAAAGGTTGTTTAAAAAAGTGGACAAATGGTGTGACAAGGTTTACCAACACGTGTCAATTAACGGAATGTGTGTAATAGTTTTCGCTGGCCCAAAGTCAGTCCCTAAGTCCCCCCCAGACAATGCAGTGACCATAAGTGATAGTTCTTCTTCTACGATGAATAGCAGTGAATCAGATCCATCTTCTTCATCTTCAAGTGTTCTTCCAGTTTTGCCAAATCCAAATCAACCCCCAAAGAAACCCAAGAAACAACGCCCACGAGAAAATGGCGTGTGTTTCGTTCGCATCAACACTCTTAAAATTTAACGGAAGAAAAGTCTAAAAGTTTTATTTGGCAAAATAATATGGAAAACACTTATACCTCGAAGATGGATAAAGAAGAAAACTCGTCGATTAATGAAGATAAAGCTGCTGCAAATCCCCTTCCCACCCTTTCGTCTACTGTAGATATTTCGCAATTAAATGAAATATTCGTTAATAAATGTGAAACAGATAAACTTGTACCAAACGACAATGTAAATACTAGTGACAATAATGGACATGCTATCGCCACAACCGTCTACGTACCAGAAACAAGGACTCCAGAGTTACCAACAGTAGACAGTCCTCCTGCCAGCAAAAAACCAAAACTAAGCTTGGCAAAGTTAAAGAATAAAATTACAATTGAAGCAATTATAAGTGACACATTCATTACTGACATTCCGCTCAGAAATGTAATATCTTGTGTAATCGGTGATAGGAAACAAGCTGCAAAATTGGTCAACTCTTTACCGCCTCTACCACAAAATCTTTTACATTTAAAGCGAATTCGTACTAGAGGTGGTCGTCTTGAAATTATAGTCTGTCCTCCACCAGATACTACCGAACAAGAAATAAATGATCCAATTTCCGCCGTGAGAGAGATGCTACAACTTCAAAATCCTGACTCTTGGCGTGGTCTGGACTTGAGCTTACTCCATCTTTCACCTGTTGCCTCGTCCCTTCCGCTGTGTCGAAAGCAATACGACGCCGTGTTTACCTACTGGCCTTGTAACTTTCACCCAGATCGACCAATCGAAGAAATAATGAGTGAAAATGCTGGATTCTCTGGAGTGGAAATTGAGGAAATTTACAACATCGTGACTACTCAAGTAATGGAACATAGCAGAAGACATGAGAACAGGCAAGTCTGCCTAGTATATGACCCTTCTGGCGACAAAGAAATTCTAGTTTGCACCCTTGGTCAGGGTGGACCAAATCCTCTTAATCACGCAGTAATGGTGGCGGTCGAACAGGTCGGTATTATACATGGTGCACCATCTACGAATTCAAATTCATCATACATTTTGACTTCCAGTTCCAAAGCCAGAAATGGACCAACCGACTATTTATGTACTGGCCTTGACATTTACTTGTCGCACGAGCCTTGTGTAATGTGTGCAATGGCCCTTTTGCATAGCAGAGCAAAGAGAGTATTTTTTGTAAAACCTGAAAGCAGTGGTGGTTCTCTTTCTGTTACAAAACTTCACTGTTTGCCTGGTATAAATCATCGGTACCAGGTCTTTCAAGTTTCATTAAAATAAATATGTACATTAGTATTTAAGTAGTTAATTATAAGTGTTCTATAATTTGTTGATGGAGCGAAGAAGGATGCAGATTTTATGAATTGTTAAAAAATGGTTAATAAATTACTTCTAAGTACTTCACTTTGTGGTTGATACCTGGATTTGTACCTAAATATGCAGTTATAGTTAGAAAAAACCTTGTGCTGCATTAGATATTTTCACCAGCAACTTTTTCCAATAAAAGGTGACGTCCACGTTACTTTATTACATACGTGCGGCTGGCTAGACCGGTTTGAAAATTTGGCTTGGCATGTGTGCCATGCGGTTAAGTTTGTAGCGAATTAGATTGTGTTTAATGGGTTTTGTTAAAAACCGCAAAAGGTAGTGGTTCGAAGCACTCTTCGTTCGTTCGTACCACACATTTCACAGAATCCGTTGTCGTGATCAAAGTCAAAGTCATATTTAGTCAGAGGCATATATTTATCCTCATCTGTACACGACAGGAGCCGTGGAGCCGTATTCAGAGCTTGAGGTAAAAAGTTAAAGTTACTTTTGTTTTCGGGTTACCTGAAAATTTTACCCTCATTCAGAGGATTTTTACCTTACCTAAAATTTTAGGTAAGGTAAAAATGGAGGTTACTCTGAGGGTTATTCGAGCAGTGGAGCTAAAAGCTGCCCTGCGCTCCGCCAAACAACAAAATTTCTTCACATTTATGTCAATAAGCCCAACTACCACAGTTACTCACTACCACCCCCACCCACTACTACCTCCACCCACTACCATTGTAATTGTCAAGGTTGTGCCATTATCTTTTGTATATTTCAAAATTATTCTAATAAATTGGAAATGAGTTATTATTAAACGAAACGAATACATTCATTAAATCACAATTTATTGTCTCTTAATTACTGGCATTGACACAGTTTGGCCGTTACACAGAAATTGACATAATTTAGGATTTAAAATAAAATCATCAACATGTTCTATTTATATCTACTCTAAATTTAATTACTAGTATTAACACAAATTGGCCGTTACACAGAAAATTACGTTAATTTAGATCAGTTGTATTCTTAGACCTCTTAAACTCGACTTGGCTAACCTATTTATGTATTTCTGTCGAAGCGAGCTACAGCAGATTCGTCGCCATTAATTACAACGCCAGTACGATAATCCTGCATTTCGAATGTTCGACTGAAACCTCATGAATGTTGCCTCTCGACATGTCACGGCCTAATGAAACAATGCATTAGTGTCACGGCTGTTGCAACTATAAAAACATTATTGTCCAAATAAATAACCTGGTAGAATGACTCCACCAAATATTCCTATCATCGTAGCAGCCTAGAGGGTCATCTGAACGTTTTGAAACCACATTTCCTCATCATCCCCTCCCCCAGTTTTCATTGTTTCCTACTTTTTGCTAGATGCGTTGGCCTTTTCTCTTCGTCATATTCTTAAATTTTTCTTGCGTCTCCTCCAAGTCCGTGTCACTGCCAAAACCGCATTTCCTGCAGCCAGAGCTTCATCCAATGTTTTGTTTTGTCTCGTCAAGTTCGTTTTCAATTTTTCAAAGAGGCATCATGTCTATCTTTTACAGCTTCGATGAGGGCCATCTTTTCACACTGAGAATATCGTCGCCCATCCTGTTAAAAAGGTCTCTTAAATTTTAAGTACAGTACACCATGTCAAGGCTATAATGTCATGGCTGGTACCTCAAACTTTGGCGTAATTACAAGGAATCTTCGAAGTGGTGGCGTTGTCGTTGAGCTCTCTAACGAGTTTGTGGTGGTGGCAGTGGGTGGTCTTCCAAATTTGGAATCACAATGTTATCCCATGGTGCCCGTCTTCAGTGAGTGGAATTTCTTTATTAGTTGTGCAAAAAAGTCCCACCAGTCCTGAAAATAACAGATTTAGCTTTACTGTTTTGTCCCAATTGGAGCATCACAGGTAGAAAGGTCGTGACACGATAGGCCCTGACACTTGCTAAAGATGCGAACAGAATGATCTTGAAATTGGTAACTTACTTGTCAATTGGTTGACGGAATAAACCTGCTTCAACCCTCGGCGATACTTTGTCTTCTGAATAGATTGGTAAATTAGAGAAGTTGCAGCGTGTCACGGCCACTGGGATTTTAAATTAATATTTACCAATACCAAACTTTCTGAATTTCTAAATCTGTGAAGTATTTTCTAAAAATTTCCTTCGTCCATAAATTTTTTTGCTTCGTAGCCAAAAATAAGCATAAACCTGCCGCACTATTTTCGTTCGTCGTTGTTAATTGGCTTATATTCCTCTAATTGGTCAGATAGTTTCTGCGTAATGCTATACACTTCAATATAGGAAATAGTTAACTTTATTATTAAATAGTATTCCTCTCGATGAATCAATTCCACATCAATTAAAAACTTAACGAAGTGAGAAGATAAGAAATGACTGTTCTGGGATTATTATTCGCTTCGCACAATTTTAATATATTCCATCCGCTGTCAGAATTGCCGAGTCTTGATCAAAATTAGACTCAAACAAGTCGCTAAACTCAATATTATTGCAGTAAAAATTATACTTCCAATATTTATATTGAATTATTCGGCCGTGGCAGCTAACACCTTGACACAAATTTTATTTCAGCTTCACTAAATCTTATATTTGCTTATTACAACACACAAAACCAATTAGTTTGAGTTATAATTAAGTAGATGGACAATTTTATGAAATTTAATGGAGCGAGAAACTATGTTTTGGAGATGGAAAATGAGGTAATATTGATTTTAACCCTGCCTCGGAGCAGGGGAGAAATTTTGCTTACTTTGGGTTACTTTTGAGTGTAACTTATTTTTTACTTTGTGCTCTGAATGAAACCATTCAGAAACCGGGGTAAAATGAAGAAAAAGGTAACTTTTTAGGTTACTTTTTGAGGTAACCTAAATTTGTGAATGGGGTAAGTGAAAATTTGGGTAACTTTCCGGGTTACCCTGTGTTGTGAATACGGCCACTGAAGTGAAGTTTTTAGTTTACAAAAGTCTGTCTCAAACTATACATAGTACATACGCAACATTTATTTATTGTCTTTACGTGTACCGTCTACGTTTACATTGCTACACGTAAAAGTACTTTGACGACGACGTCACTGCTTAATTGGAGTCATTATTCGCATCCAATTCGTTTCATGATAACTTTTATGACAAAACAATACGTACATATCTACTTATAAAAAATTCTTATTGTTCATGACGCGACAGAAATATCGAGTAAATGGCAAACGATCAGAACTTGTTTTTTTTCTATGATTTATCAAAACATGTTTTGAATCTATTATTAGTCGTCTCCCACATCAAAAACAGATTATTTTTTTCCATTCGCTTTCTCCAATCTGCACCGATGGAAAATAGAATTCTGAACGAGACGCAAAGGGGCAAAGTGATAATATGCATGTCAGAGAAAGCAATCTCTCGACGAATCCGAGAAATTCGCTACCCATGACCAAATTACGTATGCACATAGTTATCTACGTCGACAAGGAATTTGAGACACCTCATTATCCGATGGAAATGTAATCGTCTCGAGAATATGGTCTGGTCTGGTCTTCTTAAGAACCCGTGATTTTGCTTTTTCCTTAACTTCATGACTCATCTAGTAGACGTCGTGTCATCTTTTTGCCCAGTTGGCTGTGCTTACACAAGTACAAAAGTACGTGGTTTGAATGCCTCATCATCTTCTTGGTCCAACAAATGGATGACATCTGCAGATCCGTTTTTCACTGTGGAAATAAACATACACTTGACTTGACTTATCTTACACGTACGTCCTGTCTGTGTACCCACCCACCACTAACCAGCACATTAAGCTGGTCAGGTCTGTTTCTTCAATCTTCGCATCTTCTTTGTCTTCTTCCCATCACCACTTCTCCTTTCGTCGTCGACTTGTTATATAATTTTCAGCTAAAGTATGCATGACCATGGCCCACATGTATTTGTATCTGTAAGTATTTTTTAGTGAATGATTCCTCGTCTACTGACGACAACTTGAACGAACTTGTCTGACTGATATGTACCAAAGTATTTATTTATAGATTTCTGCTTCGCCCAACCGACGGAAGTCGTCATTTCTTTCTTTCATGAATGAAATTCATTTCATGGTTGAGTTCATCATCGATCAGAAGAGAGCTCAAAAGGTTCAAATTTAGTTGTTTATTTCAACTCTCTGCCAAAAAATTGTAGGTTTTTGGCCGGTCATCATCTCATCTCATTTGACATCATCATCATTATATCATCATTGTCTCGTTATTATATTTAACTACTGTTATTAAATTAAAAATGTATTCATGCCGTGATTGCGACATTTTATTTATATCGCTTTCTTTCTTTATGTCCTTGTTATTATCGAGATGATGATAAGTACTTAAAATGTTGTTGAAACTTTGCTGATTGCTGAATTTGCAGAGCTAAATTGTATGCAAAATTTGTCTCCTTTGTCCACCACAAAGACGACGAAACAAGTACGTGAATGATTGATAAGAGCCTATACATAATGGAGCGGTTGTTGTTGATGTGACCTCAATCGTTGTCATCTCCTCTTCTCCAAGTAGATAAATCTAAAACGCATTTCTCCCCCCGAGTGAAAAACGACTCGCTATAACCATTTCCAGTCAATGGTGAAATAAGTAGCAGCTTATTTAGTTTGCTCGTCTCCAGTCAAGTAGAAAGTGGAGCATGTCCTGCTTTCTCCGCCGAAATGCCGAATCAAGGTAAACTACGGCTTGTTGAGACAGTTGACGAAATTGGGAGAGAAGAAAGAACACTTCATTTAGCAGACACCGCTATAAATTCCGACCGAGACGCAGACATATGCATATCGTGGCTGAAACTCGTTTTAAGGGACAGCCAGACACAGACCCTTTTTCGCAACAGGCTCAAATTCTTATTGTGCAAGGAGATGTTGTCTCGCCTTCCGTGTCTGCAAATTTTAAGGGTCTCGCATGCTTTTTGCAGGAAAAAAAACTTGCCAGACATTCCTAACTGTCTGGACTGATAACAAAAGGCTATTAACTGATTTGGGGGAAAATAGGTATCTTCATGTACGGTGTACTTGTGTACCAGCACAGGGTCAATTTATTTACGTAACTTTTTTATAGAGTGCTTAAACCTGAACCCCTACCTACACCAAGAACTATAAAAAACTACCCATGCGTGCATGATGCTGGAGGAAAAAGAAATTATTTTTGTATTATGAACGTCTTGGACACTTTTTAACTAAAATGGGACGAAATCCAATTGGCACACTAGGAACTTCATATATTCTCCCGTCATTGTTTCATTTAACGGCCTTCACCCCTTGGCAAACAAACTAATAAAATGTTGGTGAAAGCTTGAAATGCTATTATTATTTGGCAAGATATGAGCGATAGGATTGCTGGATTGGTCGTAAATCATGTCTTTGTTGTCTGCACACATACACATGCATAATACACAAAATCTAGGTAATGTGGATTGTGGACAACATGCTGGAAATTTGAGCTTTTGGTGACACAAATAATTTCCAGTCACTTTGAGAGAGTGAAAATGAACCCAAAAATAAAAGTCTAAAATTACGATCCGTCCCAGAGTTATTGCGACTTTCTCCCTCTACTTTCGCAGAAATATTATTGTTTGTGTATATGATTGCATATTTGCCTATCTGTATGTACATATGTAAAACGTTAGTCTGTCTCGCGTCCCACCCAATTTAACTTTTTATGTACATTACACACTCATGTTTTTGTACGGTAAAGTTTGTTTTTCTCGGAATCTGGGAGCATAGACTTGCCTGCTAAACCTTCCGCCTAATGGCCGAAAACGTATGTATATTCGCACCACACACGGTTGGGTGCATGTGCAAACAGAAAATGTGCGAATTATTATCCACATTTCCAGACAGTCATTATTAAGCTTTTTCATACACAGGACCACAACAAGGTAGGGATTACACAGATATTATTTCTGCGCAGTCCCCTCTCGATCCTTTCATACGACTACGACTACTACCCGCCCTTCGTCTATTAGGTGTGCATGATAAATTGCAAAAAGTCATCGCGTTGTGCAAATTTGTATGCAAAAGTGTGTTCGTCTAGACATACATATTTGGCGTGGATGGATGTTCGTACAATGATGATGATTGCATCTGCTTGTTTTTCTGGGAATTCCCTCTCCGGTTTATTGCCTTCTTTGTGAGCAAAAAGAATTTTCATGGACGAATAACAAGACTCGAGAGGTTTGTTTGCTCATTTGTTGTGTTATTGTTTGTAAAAAGAATTACATCATGGATATTATTTCACTCTCCGAGCAGAGGGAGGGTTGGTCCGTCCGTTGATAAATTATGCATAACGTTTCAATTTGAAGCAAGGTAGGTATGTACAAGCATAAGGAAAAAATAAGAGTTTTTTCGTCATTCCGGATCTTCATTCCGAATTCAGCATCGCCAGCAGAGCGAATTGAACAACATTGTTTGAAGATAAAAGTCGCAATTGCGCTGCATCCTCCATTGTTATCTAAAATATGCGAACAATACTTGTACACATTTTCCTGAATGAGTTCTCATTTCATTCATTAAACACCAAACCACAGACAACATTTTGTGAACTCGGCGTAAAATCGGTGGAGCAGTCAGGGACACATTATTTTTTTTATGACGCTTCGTTCCTGGTGATGGCGGTGTGATAACGCATAACGAGCAATTTATTTAACATGTCAGATACTTAAATGCTATACGTTATGCTGTGACAGGTGAGTGAGTGAGTGAGTGAGTCGGGATGAGATTGCGTTTCTACTAAAGTAAAGTTTTTTTTATTCATTCAGTTTTAGTACAGACGTGATATAACAAATACAAAATCCACACATTTCTATGCACAATTGACAGTTTTCTTTACAAAGTTATGTCTGTATGGTGTTATGCACACAATGTTTTTCGTATCCTGTTTTCCTTGTTGGAAAAAAAGTTGCCCATTTTTTCACACCGTCGTACAGACTATGTACAGTAGAGATAGATGGATTTATGTAGTATGTACTATACATATCCTTCCTTTTATATTATTAGTAACAAACAGAACAGAATACCTATTACGTGGTTGCGTCTACCAGGATTTACGTCACAATTTGCTAATTTCTCCATCCTCGTCAGTCAACAGCTTATTTAACAAAAATCCGGACATAACCAAACCAAGAAAAAAAAACGCTCACTCACATGACACTTGTTTTGATTTACTTTTGGGATTATGTGTGAATCCGACCGATATAGATATCGACATATGCGAGGTTTAATAATCTATCCGTACTATCACATCATTCATTACATGATTATCTAACAACATGCTAATTGAAAGAGTGAAAGGAGGAGATAATGCATAATGTCGGGGTTATACGATATATAAGCTGTTACATAAGTCCGTATTATTTTTACATCGGCACGTTTTTGTAACAACAATGACAAAACCGCAAATCCATCCATCCATCCATCTCGTACCTGTCCATCATTATTTATTATTATAAGTGAAAAAATTATGGTTTTATCTGGGAATGTGCAATTTATTATTATTATTATGACAGCCAAATAAGTTGCATGCGCCATCATTCACTATACGTAATTCTATACTCGCAATAAAGTTGGTACGCACTAGTTGTTGTACGTAATGTAGTAGTGCTTTTTTAACGACCTCGTATTTCCATTGCAACTTAGGAGCCCATTCATATTATAAAGGAAATTCCGACAAGTTACAGGAACTAGTTAAATAAATTATGTTACTTACAACAAATACAAACAGCCAGAATTAAATGGGACTTGGTTTATAATTTATTAGTGATAAAAGACAAAAGCAATGGCCCCCGTGGTAATTACTTACGTAAGCTTTGTAATATTATTATATAAGCTCCACAAACCGAAACAAAGACCAGGCCAGGCAACAAGAGACAGACAGGAACAAATGAGTGGAAGTTAGTATGAATTATGAAAATATGAAAATTTCTTGCTAATTTCAACCCCCAGTTTTTTGTGGTGTGTTTGCATATTTATTTTAATTATTTGCCGACAGGAAAAGGAAGCAAGAGAAAAAAGAAGTATACGTATAAGAATCAGAAATAAATTGCTGATTGCAATTAGACTCGTTATTTTGTATCTCTTTTTCAGACAGACAGCTACAGCTACAGCGACATGGTCAATGTTCTTGAACAAATATATAACAACACAACAAATTAACAAGAAACGAACTCTTCTTAGGGATCAAGAACACGGAGTTTTTATATAAAAATCCTACACGTGCCTGTCTACTAGATATCTGGCAGGGTTGGATCGTAAAAATAATCAGTATCAGTAGCGCAAAATATTTTGATGTATTTAATCCACGAAAAAAACCGGATTTGTGTACGAGAAAAAGGATGGATAGATATACTATACATAGATTTGTTATTTGGTGAAGATATTATTGCCTTGTTTTTCTAAACTCTAGATTATACCAGACGGATTAGTCGTGGTTAGAAGATAGACTAAATTAGGTGCAGATTATTATACAACATAGTTCATTTTATGATATGCATTTACAGTTTGAGACAAAGACACAAAAAACGTTATGAAAGAAAGACATGGCTAAAAAGTACCAATGTCAAAGTCAAGTATTTATTTTATTCATAAACGTTTATATAACCATCATCATCATCTTCTATTACGCAAAAATAATATTTGCAATTTTTACTACAAATCTTATTTTTGTGACAAACTATGCATAACTGGAATGAAACTTATCTCCTCAACCACATCCGTTTCTTCTTCTTCTCATTCATAAAATGTTCCAAGTAATCTTATGAATACGATCCGATCCTGATAAGAACAAGACACCCTACACCCGCACCTTCTTATCTTGCATACTTATCCAACTCTCTTCATTCACAACTATTTAATTTCTCCCCTACTCTACTCTTTTAATCCTTGTTAATAATAATGAAACAATAAAAAATCATCAAGTGCAATAAACTAAAATCCCATCCTCTTCTGGTGCTATTTAACCATCAACTTTTTGTCTGTCTCCTCTTCAACTCAATAGTTGACTGACACTGTCTCTCTACTTTAAAAAAATAGAGAATCGTATCGTTTACTCGACTTGAACTTGCATGACCATCTATTTACTTATGTTATGTACCAAAAAACTTGGTACTTCTTCTTCTCGTACTAAAAAACAGCGAGGAGCTGCTGCTGCGTATATTTTCATACTATTATAAAGAGCAGCTCTGCAGATCTCATTTATCCTTTACAGAGTTGCAACTTGGTCGGGATATGCTTTGGTTCGCAGTTTTTTACTGGTGTGTGTGTGTGTTATCGTCGTTGTCGGAGAGTGAATTTTCCCATTCACACCAAGTCAGTAACGGAGGGAACATCTCACAGCAGATCCTCTCGATCTCGCTCGACTTTTGCTTTATTTGTCTCTCTCCTGCCTGACTCCTCTTCTCTCAAGGCAAGGCCACTAAATTTACAAACACAGTTAACTAACTACGATTACTTACGGCACGAAAAAATCCAGAGTGAACCCACCAGAGTGACACAAACACGACGATATTTTATTATTTTTAGTGCAATCTTTTACTGCCAAAAAAATACGGGAGGTTGGAATTTTTCCATTTTCTTCTTATTCTCGCAGAATTGTTGGTTGACTAATTGGGGGGTGACGACAATAATAGGAGGAATTAAGGTGAGCAATTTATTGATTGGTTTTTTTTGTATTATTGATAATTTAGGTAGATTGTTAATTAGATTATGGAGAAGATGTTTTGCTTGATGAAATGCTGAGTAGGCAATGTTTTGAGGTTAATTTTGATTTATTATGCCTCCTTTTCGTTGTTTACTTGTCATATTTATTTACAGCTAATAATAAGAACTGCGTATTTACCTTGTTTTGGTGGAGGTTTAAAAAAAATTGGAAAGTAGAGCAAGTTCGAGTCAGTAGTTTCAAAATTGAAAGTGTGTTATGTTATTGTATATTTATTCTATTAGGTTAATTATGTAATGGTTGATGGTTGGTGAGTGGTGGTTACTAATAATAATGTGATCAGGAAATCACAACACGGCGTTCTTTGGTTTGGAAACAATAACAACCTTACCACCTCCACAATCAACAATGACCTATTATATTGTGCTATTCGATCCAATAATCGCTTCACTCACTCACTCATCAAGTCAGGTGTTTGTTGTATTTATTTTATACTTGTTTTTATACGGTGGATTGAGTGACATTGCATAACGTACGTATTTATTATTGTTTTGTTACCGTTGCGCAGCTGTCACTTGAGTTTTTGATGATTACCATATAAAGCGCTGATTAGATTTGGAAAGGAGCAATATTAATAAATAGCGCAATTATTAATAACTTGATGATTGAATTTGTTTTCAGTACGTACTTACGACGCAGAATTTGATTGATTCTGAAAACTTGGACGCCATAAAAGTAGTCACAAGACTTCCTCCGAGTTTTACATAATGTCTCAGTGTAGTGTTTAATAATAATAAAAATAGGGTAATAATGGTGATTAGCGTTATAAGTTGATAGACAATGTGATATAGTTTGGTGGAAAAGTAGATATCTCTGGATTGGATTCAGAATTTCGGGAGTAGTGCATCATTAAACTTGTATGGATGACTACCCAAATCCAATTGATTGATCGTGATTATTGGTCCCTTAAATCAGTGCCACGGGTCGACTAGTTGCAATTTCATACCATTCTCATGAATCAGCAGTATTAAACTCACTACCAACAAAAACGATTCGTCGAGACACTTGTCTATTATTATAATTCATCATCATTGTAGAGATCAAGTGAATTCATGAGTCACACTGAACTGCTACATACTTTTCATTATTAATATCTTCATTGTTCAGCAAGCCCAGCTCATCTATCAGATCACATTGACACCAGAAACACTAAAGAGCAATAACAGTTTCATTATTCTTATTCAATTAAAACCAAGAGTTAAAGGAATTTTGTCTGTATCAACAATTTAAAGTAAGTATAAAAAAATATGCTGACTTTTGGTAATTCGATCCCATAAAAAATGGTACTCATAAAATAATGTAACATGTATTAAAAAATGCAGAATCAACAACAAAATGGAGAAAAATAGCAAAATCATTGCAGAGTTAATTAAGAAATCTGGTAATAGTTTGTGTGCAGATTGCGGAAGCAAAGGTAATAATAATTTTAATGATTAATAAGACCTCATTAGCTCAAGTTTAACCGAGTTACGAGAAGAAAACAAAAACGTTTGGTCTGTTGTGTTTAGATTTACAGTATGCGTCTTACAACATCGGCGTTTTCCTTTGTGCAAGATGTGCAAATATTCATAATGACATGGGTTCTCATATTTCAAAAGTAAAACATCTACATTTGAACCACTGGGAGGATAGTCAGATTGAGAGGTTGAAACAAGTCGGCAATGTAGAAGCGATGTACAGATATGAACAGAGAGTCCCTCCTGGTTATCGGAGACCCTTATCCAATGGGGCTGACCCACCGTAAGTAACTTTTCGTTTTATTTATTTTACTTGGTTTATATTTAGTTGAAATTTGGAATCAACAACAACGATTATCATGATAATCATCTATTGGGTTATTTTAGAAAAAAACTCTACAATTGACATGTTATACTATATTTTTTAAAAATTTATTTGTTGTTTGAACGAGGATAACAAGAAACAATTCATTTTCATATCCAGCTCGCATTTCCAACGAATGATTGTTTTTTTAGAGCTTTGTGTACGATGATTCATATCCGGTTAGGCATAATATTTATTTGTACATATTCAGTGTGCATAGCTGGACAGCAATAAGGCAGTAAATAGGATAGATGCACTTAATAAATATGTATATTGTGGTCCAGTTTTTTTGTCGGTCATTTCTGCATCTTGGTCAATTAAATGGTGTTATATTAACCACATCTCTTTGCACATCGAATTTCATACAGTACAAAAAAGCAACACACTAATCGCTGAGCTGGAGCTTGCTTCTTCATTTTATTTAACTGCAGACACTTTAATACAAGATTGGTCTCATTTGTGGACGACTCAAAGAAATGATTATACTTATTAATGGGTAGTCTGATATATTTTTTAAATTAATATACCAACTCGCTTGGGCCGGATGTTTTTGAACAAATGACAAACCTTGTTTTTTTGCTGTAAATATGTAGGTCTTATTTTTTATTTTCTTATCAGAGTTATTTATTTTTCTATTTTTTCCATTTAGCCCCAATGTCGAAGCAACGTGAGACATTTGGTGCTATATGAGAAATATATAGTATGCGTTTACCAAAGCTCAATGTGAATTTTTTTTGCCCGTGTGGTTCGACCTTATGAGCTAGGGGGATGCGGTAAAAACCATTAGAACCAGCTCACAAATATAGATATAGGGCACGCGTGCCGTTTTTCGAAATTTCAAATAGTTTTTGAAATATCCGCTAAAACGTATTTTTGACTAAAAATCACAAAATTCTATCGTGAATGAGTTGGGTGCATAATAGAGAGTTGAAGTAAATTACAATTACATCCGCAAGCAATTTATGTACAACATTTATATTGGGACCCTTTCGAATTAAGGCCACAAATTTGAAAATTCAAAATTTTTTGTTCCTCAATCTCACCGATGTACAGCCTTCATGAATGGGTTTTTATCGCCGATCACCACGGATTTCTATTCCTTAGATGTATGAGGAGTGCAACGTGGCCGTCGACTTATAAATTTGACCGTGGCGGTATTGTAATAGCAATTTTTTGAAATTTTCACTGAATAGTTTTTTACCGTATACCAGTCCCTAAATGCCCCAGATGAGTGGGAATCAAACCAAAATATCCAAGTTTTATACTTCAGCAACTTTATGCGAAGAATTTGTCCGCCCACGCCCACTCCCCTTGACCTCAGGGGAGTGGTTGTATTCAATACAGTAAAATCAAAATAATTTGTGAAGTAGTGAATATTTTTCTATTCTGCTTTCACCATGTGATATCATAAATTAATAAACCGTAGTAACGTTACAAGTAGCTCACCCTGTCATAATGATTTGCATATAACTTTCCACCAAAGGTACGGAATAAGCCGACAAAATAGATTATCACTCTCATAGATTCTTGCACCAATAGTGCAATATAAACGGAAAAATATATTTTAAAAATCCGGAATTAGTTTGCACCACTAGTGCAACATTAGCGACCAACGGGATACAAAGTTTTGAAAACTTTGAAAAAATCGTATGGTTTTTTCTCCCACATTCTGCAACATTGGTGCATAGGGCATCCCTTTCCCGATTATGTATTATCAAATGTATATATTTTAGCGTCAATGGTGCAGAATAATCGAACAAATGGACATGATTTTGGAAGGGAAATAGACGGCCCAATTGTTATGCATCATTAATTTTTGGGGGGAAATAGATGGCCCAATTGTTACGCATCATTTTTAATAACCAATTGCTCGGTACTAACGGTACTACTTATTCCAAAATTATAGTCCTATCTCGATCTATTTGCTGAATTAATTTGCACCATTTGCGCTCGGATTGTTCTATACCAATGGTGGGACCAAACAAGTCTATAATGGACAAGGGGATTTTTAATCAGCATCAATTGATGCAAAAAACTCGTCAACGGACGGACGGACGGACAAGAGGAATTCAATAGCTCCCGTGCTACGCAGGGTGAGCTAATAATGAGTCACGACGACACCCCTATGAAAATGAGGGGGTGTGGTTCAGGGTAAATTGATATTATTATTCAAATTGATGAATAGTAGCAAGATTAATGTTCTTGCGTCGTCGGGAGTGGTTTGGGGAAAAATTAAGGCATGAATACATCGATTATAATGATGACAAATAATGTCAGTTATATCCAGAAGTAGGAGGGAAACTCGCATCTCGACTGGATTTTCAGCTCTTGTAGAAGATAAAGCTAGCGCTGCAACCCGAGTCAAATTGCTGGCATAAGGGACATCGGCTCAGTCTGTAGCATAAGCACGCGGGTTCAAATCTCAGTAGAGGCTAGTTTACATTTTTGCAAGCCAGTTTTGACTAAAATGCTTTTAACTTTGCCATAAGAGGTCAAGTTCTACTAGTAGGATATTCAAACCGCACCGACAGCGTGTGGGGGTGTGGTCAGTATGAAAAAATGATGATATTGACCACTCCCCAATATCTTCCCGGGGTGGTCCGGCTATGTTGCTAGTAGAACTTTACCCCCTATACAACGGTATAACATTGTGGTCAAAACTAGGTTGCAAAAAGTAAATTTATCTGTACCGTGCTGCGGTTTGAACCTGGAATACTTGCAGTCAAGCCGAGCCGATGTCCCCTACGCCAGTGTGTTTGACCCGAGTTGCAGCGCAAGCTTTATCTTCTACAAGAGCTGAAAAATCCAGTCGAGATGCGAGTTTTCCTCGTACTTCTGGATATAACTGACATTAGTGCAATTAAATTGTTTTCCCGGAACTTGGGAGGTTGGGGCAAGTACTTTATGGAGGTTGTGACATTAGGGAAGTGTAACCATAATATGTATATGCTAATGTTAAGGTGAAAAGCATCAAATAAGTTGGGTGGTAAAACCACAGAAAAATCTATTTTTTCAATAGTACAGCCTTCAATTTTTGTAGAAAGCAGAGTATTAAGGAGAGAAAAAGAATTAAACAAGATGTAGTACCGTTTGCTTAAATTAAATATTTTTACTGAAAAAATAGGGGCAACAATTAGGTTGTGTAAGTTCTATAACTTCCATATAAATTTGCAGATCATAGCTTGCTATTTACACTCAGAATGTTTAGTTTGTCATGTTTCCTTTGCCTAAGAATTATGTACATATTTGTATTAATTAACTTGCTCTGTACATGTCCACTTCTTGAAAATAATTTATCTGTTAAAATGAATTTGGGCAATATTGAATACCACTATGAAACAAATGAGCAACGGTTGCCCCTATTTTTTCAGTAAAAATATTTAATTTAAGCAAAGGGTACTACATCTTGTTTAATTCTTTTTCTCTCCTTAATACTCTGCTTTCTACAAAAATTGAAGGCTGTACTATTGAAAAAATAGATTTTTCTGTGGTTTTACCACCCAACTTATATCATGTAAAATCAAACATTTCCAGTTCTTACTTACATTACATACATATGTATGTACAAATTCATTACAAGCATGAAACGTTGTTACAAATTTTTGCAACTTGACACAACATGTTAAGAAGATCCAACTTTCCTCATTTATCTTGTACAATGCAATACTTTGAGTGTTGTCGTCGTCGTCCGTCCCACAAACTAATTGTGTTTGTTGGAATCTCACCAAAAATAAATCTTTCCGACGCAATACATAATTTTATAACGAAAAGGACACTAATATTGCGAGACACGCATGCAGAGAGAGAGATTATGTTCGGTTTGTTTCATCATCATCATCAAGTTTGTTGGTGGGTGCGATGTTTATGATGAATCTTGTTTGGTTAAGTTCAGCTTTTTAGAGCACGCACGTATCAAATCAGACTCCGTGTCATAATAAAACTGAGTTTATTTTGTTTGCATAAGCGTTGCGTTAATCATCTCCGTTTTTCTTGATTGGGAAGACGCATTTAGTCAAAGAAATACGTTGTTGTGCAAGTTAAGCCTGTGGAGAAAGCACTTCTGGGTGTATTTTTCCTTCTGGAATTTGGTAGCTTTTTGATCTGGTCGGTGGGATAGTAATTAAGATGACATGATGCCTCTGTTTTTGTTTTTCGTTTTTCTCTCCTTATTTTTCTACTGCGTAAGTCAGATAGAAATTGGGAAACGCTGCCTAATGATGGATGAGCTCTTATTATATGCCTCATAGGGATACGTAATTTAATAAGTCGGAACAAGTCACCCAACTCTCGTCATTTTTGGTTGGAACCAGTTCTAGACCACACTTTCAGATCAAATGGGGCAATATTCCCAACAAATACTCGCATTTATTTCCATTATCCATTCTATCTCTGCTGTTTTTTCCGCAAAACAAAATTCTTCCTACAGAAAATAACTGCTTCCACATGTGCCATGTCGAGCATTACATCCAGCTAAACTGCTCATATTCTTACAGCTCAGCTCTATATGCATACATAGTTGTAGATACATAAGTAAAGGGAGATTATTATGAGGGCAAAGTTTTCGTTGAGAAATGTGGGGAGCAAAACAACAACAAACAAAACAACAGATCGATTTCTTTATCGCATTGTTGTTTTGTTGCGGAAGAGTGTGTAGAAATCTTGGTGGAAGAGTGAGCCCGTTTCCTGCGAGTAGGAGAAAGTTGGTGGTTCCCAGTCCATGGTCACAACGGAATTGCTTTCTACGATGGCATACATACGCAGTCTGTCTAGTCTGGTTTTTTGGGTTAGTTGCCCTACATATAACATTCGTACCTTGTTCCCACACTTCCTGCTAGGTAGTCAAATTTGGTGGAATGTTTACCCATTACTGTTTGTTTACCGTGAGAGAATACAATGAAATCAGGGAAGGCTATATGGAGCACAAATCACTATTTGCGTAGTAAAGTAACCTGTCTCATACGTATGTTGTATGCAATAAGGAAATTTAGTTTTGGTCCACACTTTTCATGGAGAAAGATACACGTCTACATAAATTTAAACAAAATGGTTGACGTTGTGGTAAATAAGTTCTCATAATAATAGTAAATTTTGATTGGTAGAATTAGAGTAATGTGATTAATAATGTGATGACGTACTATATAAAAGTGCAATAATAATAATAATGTTAATAATAGCATCTATGTGGGTGTGATGACGCTTGTCGTTTTAAGATATGCCAATTTATTTAATGGGTTTGTTGCTTTTTTCATACAAATTACAGGATCCTTGTGGAGCAGTGGATATTTGCGAAATATCAAAGAAATGAGTTTGTCGGTGATAGATTACAATCTTATCTAAGCGGTCATTTGGAAGGTTATCTCTTAAAGAAGGGTCGTGAAGATCCTAAGTAAGTTAAGTTTATTTTTATATTTTATTTTATTTTATTTATCTATTTTTATTTTCTCCAAGATTTTATCCGAGAAGATGCATCTTAGAAAATGGGACGTTCAGGTATTATGTAAAAGAAAAGGACCGCAATCCCAAGGCAGTTATACCTTTGGACGACTTGTCACTTTCACTGGCTCCTGAAAAGCTTGGGAATGGACGTTCAATGCAAATTAGCTATTTAAAAGATGGTTCAACTCGTCATATATACGTTTGTCATGAAGGTATGTATATATATAAATGCATGATATACATAGTTATACAACCGCAACGATTTAACAAAAACAATTATTATTTTGTAATATGCTAGATCCCGAGCAACTTATGCAATGGTGAGTTCACAACGATTGTGTCATGATGACAAAGTAACTTCAAATCATAATTGTTTCATAGGTATCAAGGACTACGAATAGGCAAACTATTACGCCTAAAGGTTATGTATCCAAATACTAGGGAGCATCAGGTACATCATTGCATAGTCATATGAGATATGAAAAATCATGTGTACGAAGCAAATTTAAAGTAAAATTTTGCTCTTTTTTTGTTTCATACAGTTGTTGTCGTTTCTACCTCAAGATGTAATGATGGAAGGGTGGTTATGGAAGGCCGGTAATTATTATAAACCAAAATTTACCAAAATACATCAAAGACTGCCATTTTTGACTGGGAAAGGTCGACAATACTAAGATTGTTTTTTTTACACATTATTGACGTGATTTTGTTTTGCTTTAAACTCTTACGACTAACATTGAACTAATTCTCGTACATTTTCTCAGGTCCCAGTCCATCATATACTCACAGAAAAAGATGGTAATACATAAAATGATGATTACTATTAACAAATACTCTGAATAAAAGCTTGACATTTTTTAATATTCTAGGTTCACATTGGACCACAGAAAACTCATGTATCATCAAGAACAAGTTGATGCCTATGCCAAAGGTGAAATATTTATAGGAAGTCGGGAGGAGTCTCCTTTCAAAAGCGAAGAAGAAATGCATGCCGCCGCACGTTCTGTCGGAGTTCATGACATTAGTCGCCTCTACGCCTTTGGTTCGTATCGAATCACTCTGGGCGGGTACGGCATGGACAAACTTGACCCTCCACGACACAGTTTCTCACTCCACACTCCTTGGAGGTAGGTATTTCGATAGGGACATTGGAAAATTATTTATTTATTTATCTATACTCGTGAAATGATTTGACTCTACAGAACATTTGTAATGGCTTCTGAATCTCTGTCCGAGCGAGATCGATGGGTCGAAAAAATTACGGAAGTTTTAAACAGGGAATTTACAGCCAGAGATATTGCACGTAAGTCACAGTAATCACACACAAACTTATTTAATGTAGAAAAATTTCTTATAATACTTATTATTATAATCATTTTCAGTCTGTGCCAACTTGGTACGTAAACGATTGAACGGGTTGAACGCCTTACTGCAAGGAAGATGAGATTCGCTGAACGTCCTCCCAAAACTAAAAGCAAAACTTTTTCTCCTCACAAAACGAACCATGTAATCTAAAAGACGCATCTACTACTATACATACACACCACATACATATTTAACATTTAATTTAGTACCGATTTCTATTTAATGTCTTCGCAAAATACGTTGTTGATTTTCGATTCAGACTTTTTTTTGTATTATACGTTTGTTATATTTGTTACCTTATAATATTCGTATTTTTTTTTCAAACGTATCAGTTACTGCTATCAATATACTCCTTTGTATTGTATTAAATTAGGGGCATCCACTAAAACATAATATCTAGTGAATATATTTCAGACTTGGTTTAAATTATCGTTAGCATCCTAGAATTGTGGGAAAATGGAAGGTAGTTAGTTTGTTAGCAGTAGTAATAATAAAATCTCAGCTTAATAATTGTGTTATAACGGAATGTACCGTTTATTGAAACGCAACGGAGAGGTTTACAATGAGTACAAATAGTAAATCGAAATACACGTATAAATAAAGAAACGTTGTTTTTAAAACTAAACTATCAAGTCAAATTATATCTCCAACTTATTTGCATATTAACTAAATATGAGGGAGACACACCTTTCCAACAAATAACTCCGAGATCACAGTAATCCACAATGCCAACACAAACAAGATGTAGGATATCCCAACTTCTACATTGTGTGGGAGTTGATAAGGTTCCCCACCTATAAATTGATTAGATTTTATATTATACGAGAGACTATAAGACATTAATCAACCTAATCTTCACTAACCTATTTGGGGAATGTAGAATCCCATTGGGAATATTACCGCAGCAAAGCAGTATAAGATCACTGAAGAAGAAACACACAAAATAAATAATTCAGAAATACTGCTACTGAAAATGAAATTGCATTGCATTTAATTTCTGTCATTACTTGAAATAAAACCAATATATCGAGCGTGCACGACGCAACTTCTCTCCCACGTCGAAACAATTAGTAAAACAATAGTTGTGGTCAACCCCACAGATCCAATGAATATGGCGAGTAAACAAATACCCCATTCGTATGGCAGGGAGCTTGGAGGTATACAAGTCTGGGGTCGGTTATATATCGTTAAGCATTCTTGCATAAGGCCAAGACGCATCTCACCTAATTCAAATGTACATACGAGGGATAATAAATTAGTCAAGGTTGGGGCTTTCTCCACATGAAACGAACAAATTTCTACTCACCCCCAACATTGGAGACTATCCAGTCCGGCTTGATAAGACTGACTATCGCTAAACAATCCGCAAGGGCGAATAGGATTCCGGAAGTTATTGTAAATTTATCCATCCTAAATTGATCTACTAAATTGCCGATTTCTCTCAGCAAAAATTAGATTCACCCAATGCACCCTGTCGCCATTGCTCTTTGCGACTGTTAATCTACTTATCACATTTCGATATTACTAAATACTAAATAATTAATTAGATTTAAAACGAAATCAGATGTAAACTTTGTTTGTTTACTCCGCTGTTTGTATGTACACAAAAATTCATATTTGGCAATATTTTGGAATAGTCTACTGCGAGGATATTTGGCAATCAGACAACTCCAATCAGACAACTGGCTATTTTCTAACAAGCTCAATTTTACCGTGGTGAAGCAATAGATAATTGACTTGTTTTCCAAGCGTCGTGTTATGTATAATTATTTATGCGGACAGTTATTTCGAATTTTCTTCGTTAGCTGTTTTTTGTGAGCTTTTCCAAGAATTTTAAAGAATGCGACTTTTTAAAAAATTTGAGATTCGACGTGGATGCTAATTGTCTGATTGAAGATTCCCGAATATCCGCGCAAGATTGTTAATCCCCGCGAAATTGATTTTTTCCTCTAATTTATTGCATTCTTCGTCATCCAACAGCGTTTAAAACTAAACATGGATTTTTTATTTCAATTTCTGTAATAATTGATTTTTAAACTAGTTCGGAATCATGGTCCATAGAAATTTGTTAAAGTTTTAAATAGCTTAGTAGAAGGTAATAAACACTTTTCCTGTACTTCGTAAATGTTGCAACTTGCAAATCATGGTTTATTTTTTAAAAATTTGTAACTTTTTCTAGCAACGGGTATCTTATTCACTAATCTTTAGACAACGATTTACGACTTACATACGTAGAACAGTAGGTAGAAGGTAATTTATTATTCAAGAAGATCATACAGATGTCCATAAAATTTATTGTATTTTTTCAAAAACTTTGACAGCAAGCTAAAGTTCTTATTATGGACCGTTCAAACTCAAACTCCAGCAGCGATGAACAGGCTGCTGAAAAAAAGATGAAGGTGGACTTGGAAGACGTGGATACTGAAATGACTCCAGTGGATTGTCCAGATATTGTTCAACCTTCGCCACCAGAAACTACAGTAGCCACCTCAGATAGTTCAAATGGTGCTGGAAACAACCATGGTCAAGAGGACAAGATATTATCGTCGGCAGAGACGAAAACTCAATGTGTTGCATCTACAACAACGACAGAAGACGACGCTGCAGTGGTATCATCAGATTTGGGAAAATCAGAAGTTGTTGACTCTACAACGACTGAAGAAGAGGCCGTTTTGTCCGAGGAAGATGTTAGCGAATTGGTCGAACTGAAAGTAGTATTTAACAAACAACAGTTAAAAATTAAAATGTCGCTCAAGAAGACAGTTGGTAATTGAAGTATAAAATATCTAGCATATGGTTGCAGGCCCTCAGTTATGACAAGGTATTGATTATGACTTATAATTCTATTCAGGTGACTTAAAGCGTTTAATCGAAAAAGAGACCAAAGTTGCTCCCGAGCTACAAAAAGTAGTTTTGAAGGGAATCCCTAAAGACGATGTCAGGTACTATTTAAGATCAAATTTTGAATCTTAAATTTTTACGTAACCGTCTACGTGTAAAGAAAGTCCTCTTGAACTTTAAACTACAGTGATATTTCTTATCCACCACAATGCACAATAAAAATCTATTCAAATATAACGTAGGTTGGAGACGTTGGGTGTTACCAGACTGACGAAAATTATGGTCATTGGAACCACGTTGAGTGATGTCATGGCCATTAGTACGAAACCTACAGATCAAGACGCACATGCAGCTGAGGATGTCAGTACAGGAAAGGATGCTGCCAACTGGTGCAGCTTAACGCAACACAAAAAAGTTATTGATAAGGTGAAATCTATAACTTAGCTAATAACCAGTTGTTATCTTAATAATTAACTAACTCCTAAATTAAAGGGCGTCCCTCTGGACGCCATGCCGGGCATACTCAATGAGGCTGAACCACTACCTGAAATCCCTTTGTTTGGAATGCTCAATTCGAAAGGTGGTAAAGTTCGATTAACATTTAAGCTGGAGTTGGATGAGGTAAACATCAACCAATCTCAAATTTATTTTGTTAAATTGTAACCAATTTTTAACTGGAATTGATGTTAAAATGAACCAGCTGTGGATCGGGACGAAGGAACGAACGGAGAAAGTCCCGATGGGGTCAATAAGGAATGTCGAATCCCAAACGATTCCTGGCTATGAGCATTATCATATTGTCGCTATTCAATTAGGACCTACTGTCGCTTCTCGTTATTTCGTGTACTGGGTTCCCGCACAGGTAGATCGGAAGCTTAATTTTTAGTAGTTTTTAACAATTTTAAGTACATGTACAATTCAAATTCATTTTATTTCCATCTTGCAGTACATCCAAGCCATCAAAGATGCTCTCGAAAACTAAAAAGTCAACCCCACGGACTACTTTATAATTATTATAATGACGCATTTACACAGATCGGTTTCTTCGTAATGAAATTTTGAATACAGTTTTGCACAATTGAATGAAGTCGAGCATGGGGAAATAATAAATCTAGTTGCGCAACGTGTTCTGAATGTTAAGCAAATTTATTTGTATGTATTTATATTTATTTGGTTATGAAGTATGTAAATTCTATATTTACGGATCTATGTATTATTCTTCAATACGTGAGTCACGTCCAATTTTTCCGGGGATAATTAATTACTAGTTGGAGTTCCAATTTTTACGGAAAGAATAATTTAATTAATTTAATCAAAGCTTATCAACTGAGCAGTGGAAGCTTCGTGTTGGGGTGGTGGCGCTGGGGCTTGTTGTGGCTGCTGAAGTTGTTGCGAGACAGGAGGGGCATTCGGATCGGAAGAAGTTGGAGGAGGGGGTGGTTGTTGCTGTTGTTGATAGACTATTGGTTGATTCTGCGGAGGCATGCCACCTTGTTGTTGCTGCTGCTGTTGTTGTTGTTGAGGGGAGGGAGGCATCATGGCGTGTTGTGGAGACATTGGAGTTGATACCGGGATTTGTTGAGGAATGTGCGTAGATATTGGGGGCATATATTGCTGCCCTCCCTGGTTAGGAATAAATTGACCCATGGGTATTTGACCTTGTTGTCCAATAGTGACATTGGGAGGAATCATTCCTGGTTGTATCCCTTGCTGTTGTTGTTGCATGTAAGCCATATTATCCGGTCCAGGCGGCATGTATCCTACAAATTTTTTGACGATTGAATTAGCAGACTTGAAGTTGAATCTCTCATAATGTAAATATTATATTATACTCACCTCCGGGAGGAACTTGATAACCACCATATGGATTTTGCACGGCTCCCATTTGCCTCGTTTGTTGTTCAATTCTCATTTGCATCTCCCTTTCTTGATCTTGCATACGCTGCATGGCTAGTTGTCGCTGGTACTGAAGATACTCTTGCTTTTTCTGTCTCATAATTTGAAGCTTTTGTGCCATCTAGAATAATTATAAACGTATTAAACTTATTCTAAATCGCTAAAAGGGTAATGACGATTGTATGCAAATCTTGTTGGACATACTTGATACTGTCGCATTCGTTCTTGCTCTTCAGCCTCAAGTCGAAGTTTTTCGGTATGCTCAAATCTTAGATCATCCAAAGCGGCTCTTGCATCCCGAATCTGTCCCAATTTATCTTGAAGTCCTTCGTAATACGCTAAAATTCAAGAAAACTAAACGCATTAGTTTAGATCTAAATAAAAGATTAATCTTAAAATATTAAATTACTTCTCGCATTGTCCTGAGCTTGGATAAAATTCAAAAGTTGTGAATGCAATGCTGTTATATTCATAAAAAGTCCTTGCACAGAAGTATCGTAGGCGATTGGGCGACCCCGACTGGAATTTGACTTCATTCGATTCACAAACATTTCAATCTGACATCTCAAATTCTCCACAAACGTGTCAATCCCCTCGGCCTGCTCACTCTTGTCCTTGTTGTTATCCTTGATGGGCGCGGAAGGAAGGAAGGAGTATCCGCTCATAGAATTCCAAGATTTATTATTTGCAGCCGATTTGTCCACGGAAGACGTGCCTCCTGATTTACTCATCATGGTCCCAGTTCCACCAACGCCACCCGTTTCTTCTTTGGAGTTCTCGTCCTTTGATCGATTCTCCCAGTACCCTCGATTCAAATATCTAGCTAGTTCAGGATCTTCAGACTCTACAGACTTTTGCGGCGATCCTTTCTCATTGATCCTTTCGCGATCATGACTGTTCTGAGAGGAATTATTCACTTCAGCAGCAGGAGTATACGCATAAGCAGACATGTTTCGTTTTTTAGCCTCTTGTTCTTTTGCTTCCGCTTCCGATTGGGATATAGCAAGGGCGAGTTGGAGTTGCTCTTCCTCGGCTAGCTCTTCTTCCGTTTTGGTTCGAGGTGCCTGCGACTGTGGAGATGATTGTGCCTATGCGAAAGTGTTTAAGTAAAAGTGCTATTACTTATTATTAATAGAAAATTAAGTTATCCAGAATCAATCAAAACCAGAAGCTTAAATATTACTCCATAAAACGCCACCAGACAAATAAAACCGCAAGCATTGCCAAAAAACCGTAAATGAATGAATAAACAAATGGGTGTTTTCGTTGGGCAAAATCTGACGAGATTTTTAGCGTGATGATTGATCTCTGGTTGGTTGGTTGGTTGATTAGTTCGGAAAAGGGTGGAAGTCTATGATGGGAAATTTCCATTGGAAATTAAGTCGAGGAGAAAGAAGGTATAAACCTACTTTAGCTTCAGATTCTGCTAACGAAGCAGCCAACACTTCGTTGAGGATTTGTTGGTCCAAAGATAAAGCCGTAGATGTTTTTGAATTAGTTTTGCGAGGCAGTCTAAAAAGCAAGACAAACAAAAGGGGTGGTAAATAATGAGTCAAGAATTAAAACCAACCGGTGTTTGTCTCAACGGAGGCTGAGCAGCCCGTGTTATCATATCGTCGGGGTCGCTCGTGGAAGAGCCATCCCTACATATACGCACAATATGTGTTATCTTATTTGAACAACTTGGCTTATCAGACCAGAGCCAGAGTACTCAATATTCAAGTTTAAAGTTCAATTCAATCAGCAAATATTAATTATATTACTCATTAGTCAAACATTATATACGCTGCTTACTTTCCGTATTTTTCAAAGCAGGAGTCACAAACACGAACTTCTTTCTCGATCCCAAACTTTGGAAGAGTGCATATTTTGCTGGAACATTTATTACAAAATATCTGTCCACAGGCACGGCAATGATGCTAAGAAAATGTAGATAAATACCATGTAAAATTATTTCCTCACAAACTTACATGTGTACAAAACAGTACAACAACAGTACAATAACCGTACCTTTCGCACCACGATACCAAACTCGGTTCGACAACGATGACAACACTCTCCATCAGCCCACTCTGGAGCAGTATCAGCGACGAACATGGCATCCGATTCCTGCAACGGTTTGAAAGCTGCCCCTACAGATGGAATTAATATTAAATCATTTATGGGCTCTTTTGATATGATCTCTTCTGGTTTTGTTATTTGTAAGTTGATAATTTACCTTCCGCCTTCATAATATTTACAACGTCCTGAACAGCACGATACGTGGGAATTTTCCTACAATATGCAAAAAAAATTGTAGAACTGAACTATCATGTTTTAAATAATGCAAAAATTCATATTATAATAAACACCGAAAAGCGTGAGCCCAAGTAAGAATCAGTTCCAATATCTTGTCTTTCACATTCTCATGATGAGTAGTTTTTGCCAATTCTCGCAATTCTTCCATAAATTGCTTCGTAGCGACTTCATCATGAACAGGACTTCCACAATTTTTCACGACCGATTCAATCACCTGAATAAATGAAGTAGAAAAATTAAAACAACTTCACAAACGGCTTAAATATCTAACACTCGTCACCCACCAAAAGACCAAACAGAGCAACATGCGGATTTTGATGATGGAGCTTCTTCTTAATTGCAGCAACTCCATATTTTGCCCTGTAAATTAATTAATTACAATTATCGCTTACGAATAGTTGAAATCTACTCAAAACCATGTTCATCCTTCGTTCAACTTACTGGCAATCTTTCTGTCTAATCAAATCACAAATTGTCATGATGGATGTCCAATCAGGTTCCAGTAACAAATTACTGGTGGCTTTTTCTGAAAAGTAAAGATATAAACAATTACTTCATTGAAACCTTGCAATAATACCAACATGTTTAAGATTAGGAGCTTTCACTATGATCTATATTCGAAACTTACCCAGCAGTTTATCAAATTGCGCGTGACCACTGGTCTTAAACATCTTGCTTTTTGATAGTTATTGTATCAGTAACACAGGAATTACTTCAAATTAATTAGAATTATTTGTAGCAATCTAAAAACAAATCAAATAATAGTTAAAGAATCAACCATTTACGCTAATATTTTAGTGTGCTGCCTCACCCAATATTAAGAAAAATAGTCAATTTCGTGACTCAGCTGCTCTGTCGATCTCTACAAATCCAACTTTTTTTTACTTCGCTCTCCTTGCACGAATCCTTATCTTTTATCTGGATCCTCGCAGGAACAGAATTTCAAGTGGGGATGACAAAGAATGTGACGATAGTTAAAGTTAATTAAGTGACGAATTAAAACAGATATTAAATTTTGTTGACTTGTGTGATTACAAAACAAAACTCAAACAAACTGTGAACTGCTGTCAGCTCAGACGCGAATGAATCATCAGCTGTCTCAAACATGCCCCAATCCAACGCGTGGCGCAATTCACTTCACAACTGCTCTCACTCAACCGTTGCTCGCATCATCAACAACGATAAACAAGAAAGAAATAGTTAACTAAATTTTAATTAAAATTTTTAATTGTTGAGAAATTTAGTTGAATTTTTTTAAAACCGTGGGTCTCTTTCTTTTATGGAACGTGCACTGTGCGAACGGGAAATCGGTGGTTTCGATTTAATTCTATGTGGGTTAATAACATTAAAAATAATTATCTAGTAAATTTTGTTATTAAGTTTAAACCTCATGAGTGTATTTAATTTTAGAAATACTGCTGTTAATACTTGCCACAGAAATGGCGGATGAAGGAGGAACTCGACTTAATGAGACTTTTGAAATAGACACTGATGATAAAGGAATTGAATTTGATTTACCAATTGAAAGTAAGATCAAAATCAAAATTGCAATTAACCTAAATTTTTATTTACAGAATTAAGTATAATGAGTCAATATGGTGGATTGTTTTGTTGGAGTATTAACGTTGTGAATTTGTAGGCGGGGGGTTATATCGTGAAAGGGTCAAATCATTTACCGATACAAATTGGCCTTACGTAGATCCTACCACGCATTCCTGTACTCCGGAAGAGGTAATGCCAAAAGTCATAACGAATGACTATATGTAGAATACTTTGTGTGATTTATGATATATTTATAACAATTGACAGCTATCCATGTCCGGGTTCATGTGCTGTACGGATGAAACCACACAGGAAAAGGTTATCAAATGTTTTGCATGCAATATTGCAATATCTGCTCATGACCTCGGTCCGGATTCGGAGCCTTGGTAAATATTCTAATAACAATGTGTCAGGCTCAATCTGGTTAATGTAATTGTTTCAATTACTCTGCAGGTACATTCACTTAGAAAGATCGCCGGATTGTCCTTATCTGCAGTTAGGGAAAAAAAAGTTTCCACGAGATTACACATTCCGAGACATATCAGATATTCTTTTTAAAAAGCTGCTTCAAGTACCAGTAAGTTAGCTAAAAGAGTGAATAACTTATTAACTTTTCAGGAACTAGTCTTAAGTTATAAATGTCTTATTTATTTACAGACCCTCCGATTTCAACAGATTGAAGATGAAATAAGAAAGATTGCTCCACCAAATAATAAAGAAGAGCAGCATAACAAATGAACTGCAATGCTAGTATATGAGTTGGAGATGGTTTACCTTTTAAATAATTTTTTAAATAAATGTTCAACCATGATTTTTTTAGGTATGCGCTTTAAGACATTTAAAAATGTATATTTTTGATTACTGATTTACCCATCGTAAGTATTTAAATATGCACATACGTTCACCAAAATTGTTAGGATTAAGCTTAATATCTCATATTTTTACACTTTTGTAACCAATATGAAATGTACTGATATGAAATATATTGTGATGAATGATGAATTAGTTGAGGTGATTCAGGTTGTAAAAGAAAATAGTTTTTGTTTTCTACATTATTCAAGTGCACATTGGTAGCCCAGGCGCTCCGCGTCCATCAGTGATTGGTGGTTGTTCCAGCTTGGCGTGACACTTTGTTGGACATGGGTTGATGGAAACACTCACGCAGCACAAATCCTTTGGAAACTCCCACTTGAAGATCGACCCGTCCTGACAGCAGCTCAAAATATAGTCGGACAGAGGGGAGAAACGCACTCGAGTAATTTCCGAACTGTGGACGACCCCTTTTCGGAGTAATTTGGCTTCATTGTAGGACCATAACTGAAAGAATGCATAGTTAATTTAGCCATCAACACGAATTAACTAATTAACTACTAATACACCTACCTTAACCTGCCGATCTCCTCCACCAGTAACAATGTACAATCCATCAGTTGAAACGTCCACCGAATGGATAGGATCCGTCTCAGACGCTATAACTTCTCGAATCGAGGCTCCATCAAAGGCCTCAAAGTAGCAGAGTTTGTGATTGTGAGTGACTCCTAGCACCTGTGATATGTACGTACAGGTTAAAAATCGATACTATTTGCAATATTTATTTAGATTGAGATTGGGGTGTGGTGAGGTGACACGATGAATTTACTTGGCAGTCGGATGGATGCCAAGCCACATCAAGAAAGAGCGTGTCTTGTAGAATCAGGGAGATCCGCAAGAATTTCTTCAAACACCAAATGATGATTGATCCGTCACCCGAGCTGGTCGCGACTTGTGTGTCGTCACGTTTCATCCGAAGTCCTGTCACGGGTCCGATATGTTCCTTCATGATTGCAATGGGGGTGAGCTGCTGGGGACAGATGCTCCAGATACGAACTTGACCTTCCTCACCTGCAATGCAACACGTGGTTAGCCAAGGCCAATAATTGGATGCATAATATGAAAATAAATATGACCTCCAGTGACCAAAGTTCTATCCGTGGTTGAAATGCCCAACGCGGTAACGCCACCTAATTAATTGTTAAGTGTTTATTAAATCAAACTTGCTTTTTCAGGAGCTTGTTACGTTTGCCATGTATGTCAGGGTATAATTTACTATTTATTTAATAATTTATCTAAAAGGTTTTAGTTAACTTACGGAGATGAGCATGATGAATGACCCACAAGGGCGTTGCCGTCTGGACGGAGTATGTTCTCACCTTATTTGGATTAAAATGCAAAAACTTATTAAATTTTGCTCCACAGAAATTGATCTCATTTTTTTAAGTGATATATGTCTCAAAATTCTATTGGTTTCATTGAGAATTTTATATCACATACATGAGAATCGTTCCACGCTGAAATGATGGACTTTCCATTCCGGGAGAAAATGATGGCGTGACATGTCATGTTTGATACGTTTATTCGAACCAGCTCCCTCATTGCGGCAGCATTCCAAATTCTGACGTCCTCATAATTGCAGGAGGCAAACACGCCAGAGTAACCATCTGGGAAAGTGATGTCATTCACCACAGAGTAGTGGCCAGAAAGAAGCTTAATAGATAAATAAATTCACATTGGCTTGCACAATTTTCACACTGAACGTAAATCATAGTTCACAAATTTTGATTTACCATTTTGGTACCATCCAAGCAGCCGAGCCGAGCATAATAAATTTCATTCATCGTCGACCCCACGAGGACGTCTTCGCAACTGAGCAGGATGGACGTGACCTGACCTCTGACACGCATTTGGGGTCCGTACTCTGAAATCATGTCATTCGGTTTGCCTTCACTGCACATGATGATCAACTTTCCCTGCGTCACTTTCCCATTTCCTGCGCCCACGATGAAGTCGCCAGACTCTAGAATTTTCAGAGCAGTGACGCCCCCCTTGTACAAGTGGTTGTTTCGCCCCTTTTCGCCTTTTAGAGGTTTCCTCCCCACACAGCAGGCGAGGGTGGGGCCGGACGCGGGAGGTCCGAGACGATCCATCTTGTCGCAACTGAATCCATCCACACTGGGAAGATTGAGACGAACTTTGACAATGTCGCCAGTGGAGGTGCCACAATATGCGTATTCATCTTGACCATCAATCTGATATTCAATTAATTTGAATGTTTTTATTATGGTGCTATTTATGACAAATTCTCAGGCTGTTACATTTCCTATGCATCGTCAACGACGATATCCACTTTATACTCACCACAATTGATAAGATGTCGCGCTTGACCATTCTCAAATTGGCTCGTTCAGTCCGTAATCGATTCTCTTTGGTGTCCAAAATCCAGTACGACATGTAATCGTCACCTCCAACGACCCAGACATCATTCCTAGCGTTCGTAGATGCAATGACTTTCGGGATCCCGTTTCGTCCTTTGATGGCTTGCATTCCTGATGGATAATTATGATCATGAGAAACGATACAAATTATCGACACAAATCGTTGTCTTTTTCTTACCACAAATCACTTTCCCTCGTTCCATGTCATAAATACAGACGTTTCCATCTAATAGAAACTTAATTTAGCATAGAAAATAGAAATACGTAATCTTTGTAGCAAATACCATCCATGTTTCCAATGCTCATCAAGTATCTCCCGTCAAAAGAAAACTTTACGGCGTTTACTCTCGTCAAGTGATGATTGTACTGACCCAACTTGCACCTGTTACGGCAAAAAAAACTAGTGATATATCTTTCATTAAATCATCACAGATAACGAAAGGATTCTCTAAAAGCATTGCATTTTTGTATAGTTAAGCACTAAAAACTATAAAAGCATAAATTAATTAAGGTAAGAACTTACCCAGAATAAAAGTCCCATATTATCACTTCCGTCTAAAAAATATAAATATATCAGTGTATGCATTCCTCCGCAATTCATTGCTTAATATTACTTTTATCATCCTCAAAAATACCTTGAAACCCATGTAATTCATCCCCCCACTAGCAATGTATCGGCCACATCTTTCCATGTCGAGACAGGTCACAGTATTCCCATGACCTATCATGAAGGTCTGCTGACCTGTTTTGGTGTCCCTGCAAAAATCAGGGCGTAGCAAAATTATTTGAGACGATGCTAAATTTACATATTTGTACTCACGCCTTAATCACATTTGCTCCAATCGCGTAAACGATGAATTGGCCAGACTGGTCGCAGTGGAGCCCATTCGAAATTTTACCTGGTAGCGAATAAACCATAAAAATTCGTCTGCCTTTACGGGATATGTATTGTCAATAATTTCTGTGTCACCTTCAAATCCTATTGTCGAAATGAGTGGCAACGAGGCGCAGTCATAGTCCACATTACAAACGCTGATGGCCATATTTGCAAAATAAGATGAGGAGAAAAGCGTTTAAATTAAACCTAAAGTTGCAGTCAAGTCAAGAAAGTCAAGAATGAAAAGCATTTAATTGTATGCACTTGATTTACGATCTTGTCTGATTGCTTGGTCGATGAAGACTTGAAGAAAACAGGAAGAGCAAAATTGAGCATGAACGCCATGGGAACTGAATTTTATGCATATTTTGGTCAAGTTCGAAAAATCATGAAAGTAGCAATTAAAGAAATGCATCAATTATCCATCATTCACAATTCATAATGCGTCATACATAATTAGTAAATCTTGTTATTTGACACACTCAAATTACAAAATCTGCACAGTGCGGACCGGCAGGAAGTCCGAAAATGCTACGATTGTGCCTTTGTCTCCGAATCGATTGCATTGCTTGGTTACGCTTTACGCAAACAAATCGCGTCCATCCACCACTACTGCTTGGTCGTTAGTGTACATAATTATATTCACCTATTTTATGAGGGGGATTACTTATTTATTTTAGCTATACATTATACAGGGTGGTTTAAATGTCACGCTACAATGGAAAATTTTTCGATGGGAAAAATCCCTAAATCTCCATTAGTTACAAGATTTTTGGTTGAGATTTTTTATAAAATTATTATCAAAACTGATGGAACTCTGATGACGAAATTCTTGAAATGTTGAATTTTAGAGACAAAATTTCGTAACTAATGGAAATTTACGAATTTTTCCCATCGAAAAATTTTCCATTGTAGCGTGACATTTTAACCACCCTGTACATATTAAAATAAATAAGTGAAAACAAACTATGTGCGCCTTATTCCATCATCCTTATTACTAAATATATATATTTTTAGATAGAAGGGACGCAACTGTGTTGTCGTGCCATTCTTTATATGTAGGCAAAGCTAGACTATTTTTCAGCAAGAAAAATAAAATGTGCACAAAGGTGTTCTAATTAGTGCAATTAATTAAATCACTTATAATTACTCGTATACATAACTTTACTTCCAAGAAGATATTACTGTCCCTATAAACGAATTTTAATCAACGCCACGCCATCATGTCGATTTACTTTGATAGCAAAATCACAATCCCGGATGGCCCATCCAATTATTTTGGGAAACGCATCTTTCTGGACATGGATTGGCATTCGGAGTATCAGCTCTTGGCCATGTCTCACTCTGATGATAAGGGCGGATCCGGTGTTTCCGTGTATGACCACTCCGTAAGAAGGAGACATAATTATTTATGTTTATATAATTGAGCACATTTCGACTCCTTCGTTAAATATTATTTTTACGGAATTTTTAATTGTCGTTTTTAGAAAGAAGAGACGAGCAATGTTGACGCCAGCACCCAAGAAGGGATACAAATCACTTCGATTAAATGGCACCCAAAAAGCAAGATTTTGGCCATGGGTTAGAATTTAACTTTTAAAACTAATTTTAAGCTAGATTAATCTTTGAAAATAAACTTTAGGTCACGAAACTGGCGAAGTGGTCATATGGAATCACGAGGAGGGCGAACTGTTTGAAGGTTCTCGAGGTCACAATGCTACCATTATGCTCATGGAGTGGTCCAACGATGGAGCTTTACTCGTCTCTTCGGACAACATGGGAATTCTCATCATTTGGAAGAGCGATTCTCAAGGACATTTACAAACACATTTTATCCACGATTTCAAAGATCCTGTTTGTCACATTGTTTTTCGTCAGACAGCTCGTGTTCCTGGGAAAACTCGGTAGATTTTTAAAGAAACGCTGCGTATTACGCTGATTAGTAATTAATTTATGAATATTTACAGAGACGATGACGCGGAAAGGGCATTGGAAATGATGACAAATTGGAGACCTAAAACTGGTCGAAATCGTGGCGGCGACAGAAACGGGAGACAAACTCCGAGACCTAGTGATGACCTACCTCCGAATGAGAAATCATTTTTTGTTGCTGTTTTAAGTGGTAATAATTACTATCTAATTAGCAACATACTTATTATGAAATTAACTGTTGACCATGTAAAAAAATATGGAACAGGAACAATTTATTACCTCAAGGAAAGTGGGTCAAACGAAGAAATTCTTTCATCCGGATCCAGCATTAAATCCCTATTGTTCTTTGCGCCTAAAGAACAACTCATTATTTTGACCGAGGCACAAATTATGGGTCATTTTCGAGTCAGTGCGGACGGAGACTTGAACGAAATTAATAAGGTCCACTCTATAGTTTTCCAGATAAAATTTTATTTAAGACCAGTTTTTAATCTTTTATCTAACAGCAGATGAAAATTGGGGGACGAGGAGACATCCGGTTATTTTGGGTTGGGACAAGTAGTCTTGCAGTCATTGGAAGAGAGCCCACGGTACGTTTAATGGACATCGTTGGGACTGAAAACACCGTTCTGGAAGCGAAACCGCATGAAATTGGGGACGACGAATCTTTCGTGAGCTTAGATTATCATCCTAAAGACGGTACAATAATTTAACAATTACAAATGAATGAAAAAAAGTATTGAATTATGCGTGGTCACCTTTAGGCGTCATCTGCTGCTGCACGAATAAAGGGAAACTCGTCATGTGGAAGGAGGTTTTAAGTCTATAAATATATTATTTTAAATATTACTAACTAATATACCAAAACTAATAAATTAAAGGTCGAACCCCCATTTTCGGACGAGGGTGAATGTCGCCAAACTGAGGATGGTCACTGGGAGGCGATGAACGTCACGATGGTTCCGAGCAGTTCAAAGAGTGCGAAATGGTGCCCCTCCGCTTCCGGAGTCATTGCAGTCAATGGACAACAGGACGTTATTCTATTGCAAGAACAAGAGCTTTGCTTTCATTTTAGTCACCAGGTGCAACAACGGACAAAATTGATAAAAACAGAACTTTGATCTGTTAAACCACTAAGGTCAAGGTAAAATTGTATATTTTCAGGTTAGCGTCGTCCAAACCCAACCAAGTATTTTGTCCGTGCAACTTCTCGCCCACAAGAAATCCTTCGATATCAAGGTGGACATGCAAATCAAAGGAGTCACCACATCCGAAGCCCATGTCGTATTTTGGAATGGGAGCAAAGTTGTCACCTATGAATTTGGACCACAACTGGCCACCAACTACAAATTTGTCGGTATAAATGTCAATAAAACTATACACAAGTCCAAGTTCTAAATAATTCTAATTGAATAGGCTCATTCGCAAACAAATCGGATTCCATTCTTGTTCAGGAAATGAGCCTCTACATGCAAGAACTGGGACAGATTCAAATTCGAACTTTTCAGGGCACAATTAAGCAAACGCTCGCGTTTACCGGAAACGAAGGTCCTCCCATTACACTAGCGATTGGCGGAGACTACTTAACTTCAGGAAGTGAGTACGGTCACATCAAAATTTGGCACATTGGACGAAGAGAAGCCAAACTGCATACATCGCCAAAGAATTTGCACGAATATATCGAACGACTTGGGGAAATTATGAGTGCAAATACGAACTGCAATGGGACCAAGACTGGTTTTATTGTGGCAAAAGTACATATCTAAATTCTTATTTTGCATAATATTCGATTTATAGAATATTGACACCAATTTTTGCGCAGGTAAACCTCGTACCTGACTCAAAACTGTATGTGATGGACCTCGCTAGCAATGCCATCCAAGAGGTCAATTTTCCTTCACAATTTGTGGAAAAGTTTTTCTGGGAGGAGGAAAATCCCTCTTATATCGCCCTCGAAGTCCGCACCCTCTCAAAAGAACTGCAAACCATACTGGACAACGAATCGTTTGAACAACTCAGAAAGGACGTCGAATCTTCCAACAATGTCAGACACAAAGCGTTAAAGTCTTCCGTGAAGTACATTCGCCCCTGCAAAGATATCCGGAGACCGTGGAAATCTAGCACGTTGAATAAGGACGAAGAAGAGGACGACCTGCAGAAAAAACTATCCAGGAAATATGTCTCTGGACAGGGTGGTGGGAGTGACGATGACGAAAATTACAGGAGGACGACGGATATCGAACTTCCACGCGGGGTGCAGCACGCCATAATCACGATATTTGCAGACTCTGAGAAGGGGATTTTAATTCATGAAAAGAGAGTAGATTTGGATGGGAAATTTCTAGTGGGACTGGGAGTGCCTTGTATTTATTTGGCTGAAAATGGAGCAACGGCTTCCAGAATTGCGGAATTGAGAGACTTGAAGGATGGAGAGATTAGTAAAAGTGTAGGTTCATTAATTAATTATGCATCTACATATTTATTAGCATGATGAAAACTATTAATGCAAGTATTTAATTTTTAGCGTTACATTCCACAAAATTCACTAAAAATTCGAATCGATAAGCAAATAATTGCCGAGTTTGATGGTGTCGAAGACGAACATAAAGAAGGACGCGCTGCCCTCATGAAATATTTGTATCACACCCTGTTCGACGATATCGATGGTGCTTTAAGGGCAATCCGATTTATACAAAAGTATGTAAATATCTACAGATAGATAATCTCTTTTATGCACATTCTTTGCTATACAACGGGAGATTGTTTTGCAGTGAGAAAATCTACTCCAACATGGTGCGAAACTGTGTCAAGACTCGCAGAATGGACGTGGCGTTGCTTTGCCTCGCAAAAATGAAGGAGGCCAGAATAGCTCGAGAAGTGCGGCGTGTCATCGAAAATGAAAAAGAACCACAGACACATGTCGCCCAGTTGGCTATTCAATTAGGAATGCTGGTAATTTTTAGTTCCAAATTCAACACCCACCTAAATATCAAATAACTTACATTTTTTATAATTTAGGAGGAAGCAGAAATTTTATACCGTGAAGCTGCCCGCTACGACCTCCTCCTGGAACTCTACGTAATGTCGGAAAAATGGGAGAAAGCAATCCGCTTGTGCGAAAGTCATTGCAGAATTCAACTTCGGAGTACGTATCACGCTTACGGAAAAAGTTTGGAATATGACAAAAAGATACCTGAAGCGATTGAAGCGTACGAAAAGGCGGAGACTCATCGGTACGAAGTTCCAAGGATGCTGGTGGATGACCCAGATCAGTTGCAGTCGTACATTGTCAAGAAAAAGGACAAGTATGAATTTAATGCATCAAAGTACACATTTATTTTGTCCTGTGTCATTACTTATCGTGATTTACAGGGACCTTTATCAATGGTGGGCCCAATATTTGGAAAGTACTGGCGACATTGAATCATCCCTTCGATATTATGAACTTGCCCACGACTGGTTATCCCTTGTGCGGCTCTTGTGCTATTTAGGCTCTTACGAAAAAGCTGTCCAAGTCGCAAACAAGGTGGACGACAAGGCATCCGCGTACGTAAACTTTGCATAAGTAACCTTGCACCATCACCGCAAAATAAAAATCCGCAACAATTTCCAAAAAATTGGAAAAACAAAGAGATTTTTTTCATAAAAGTTTTGATACTATTTTTAGGTACCACTTGGCAAGAACGTTAGAGGACAATGGTGAACTTCTTAAAGCAATTAAATTTTTCTCCCGAGCTGGCGCATACGGCCATGGAATCCGTATGTGTATCGCCAACAACTTGGTGGACGAGTTGTGGTCGCTGAGCCTCAAAGCATCCCCCAGTGAGCAAGCAGATGCTGCAAAGTATTTCGAAACTGTGGAGCCACCGTATTTCAGCAGGGCGATTCAGCTCTATCATAAGGCCGGGTATCAATCGAAAGCGTTGGATTTGGCATTCTCGTGAGTAGAAGAACAATCTAGTTAGCGTAAAAATTAGTTGTGAAATAAAATTGTTCATCCTGTGCACAGTGCTCAAGAGTTTTCAGCGCTGCAAGCCATCGTTCGTGACGTTATGGATCAACCCAATATGAACACGGATCCCCTCCTCTTGCAAAAGTGTGCCAACTTTTTTGTACAGAATGACGAAATCGACAAAGCTCTCGACATGCTTTGTGCAGCACATAAGGTGAAACATCCTAAATTTATTTTTTACCTTCATGCATCTAAAATATTTTGAATATTTTTATCCAGTATCCCGAAGCCATGGATCTCTGCGTGCAACATAATTTTACAATCACAGACGAAATCGCGGAAAGACTCACTGCGCCGAAAGGGATCGGGTTGGATGAGCATACTCGTGTCCGACTTTTGGAGAAAATGGGAGAAAGCTGTACAATTCAGGGCAATTATCATCTCGCTGCGAAAAAGTACACACAGGCCGGAAATAAGGTACAAGCGAGTAGTATTGTAATATAATTCATGAGGTGTACAATTAATTATTGACCCAATTTTATAGATCGAAGCGATTAAATCTCTAGTCAAGAGTGGTGATACAGAACGAATTATCTTTTATGCGAACGTTTCACGACACAGAGACAGTAAGAGCAGAAAGGAAATCATTCTTCTGACTGATAACTTAACATAATAATTAACAAACTTTTTCTATGATACAGTTTACATGATTGCTGCCCACTACCTCCAAACCACCGATTGGCGAAAGAACCCTAAAGTCGTCCAGTCCATCGTCCAATATTACACGAAAGCCCAAGCATTCGAAAGTTTGGGTTAGTATAAAATCCCATTCTTTACTTGAAACGTAGTTTTAAGTGAATAACGCTTGGATGGTTTTTTTTCAGCCGGATTTTATGAGACTGTAGCCGAGTCGGAGATAGAATCTGGTCGAGACTATAAAAAAGCGGTCGAGGAATATAGAAACGCTGCGAAATCGTGGAACAATCTCCTTGCCTGTGGTGCTCGACAATATGAGGACCGTTGTGCAAGTGTAGAAGGAAAAATTAATGTGATTGGAAAGTTCCTGAAAATTAAAGAGTAAGAAAATTACAAACTATATTTAATATCCATGTCACACTTGTGCTTCATAATTAAAAATAATTCTAGCACTCTCCACTTTGACGCTGACTCTGCCCTGAACGAGTTAGGAAAAATGCTGGAAGATTCTCGCCCTGACAATGGCGTCCGTCCCGGCGACATTTGTGGACTGATAGTAGAACACTACGTTAAACAAGGCGAGATGGAGAAGGCGATCACAATTTTAGAAAAGATGCCGACTTATACCGGTGGGAAAAGTTTGACACATTTTCTCTCTCCTGAAACTACTGCAGTAAGTTGGATACCGTATATGATTTGTATTTTTGTCTGAATTTTTTGTCATCTCAAGAAGATTCAACTTATATTTATAAACTAATTTTTAGAAACTAGAAAACGCTTTGGAAAATTCCAACACGTTAAGCCGCATAAGGTCGGGTGGAAAGACGAACGCTGCTCAATCAAAATCAAAGCCTAAATCCAATCCTGCAACTTCGACTCAAAACTTTCTCCCGTTTTTGGTCGCGGACGAAAATCAGAATGGGAAGGATGAGAATTCGGACGAGGAAGAAGAGGAGGAAGTGGTTGATGACGAAGATGACGATGAAGGTGTCGAGGGTGAAGATGGGGAGGAAATCGAGGAGGAAGAGTCAAGTGACAACGACGACGAGGAGGAAATATTATACAGTAATACAGCCAATCATGTGGGTGGTGCTGGTAAAGTGGGAAATCCACAGACAGGATTTTTTGGACGGTCAAATGGTCAAACCTCTACGGCATATCCTCAGTTTAAATAGTATAAATTCATGAAAGTAAAAATATCTTTTTTTAAATAATATTGTATGACATGGGTTTATTTTCTGTGATAAGTTTCGAAACCGTTAGTTTTATTAAATAAATCGTGATTTATTGGACAGAAAGGACCAAGAAATTATTACCATTTTTTGCATGAGAACATCAAACTTTGAATTTGGTTTTCGACGTCACCACAAAACTTTTTTTTTCTAAAAATGAAAATCGTCCTAGCTATTCCAAGCATGGGAACTATAGCTTAAAAATTTATATTTCGTAGCTTGAATCTCTACTGAGCATCAAGGTTACTTGACAACTTTAGTAATAATTACAAGGTTGCGACAATTGCTTCGACGCCTAAAAAACTTTAATTTTCGAAAACCCTGGTACCTTTTGGAACCAGTGTGCGTCGCACAAATTGTCGCCCAGAAACAAACCGCACAAAAATTGTCAACACTCGCATTTCGTGCTCTCGATTCTGGAATTAATTTTTTAATCATGGATGTATTATGTCAAGCAATCAAAGTTAGTGAGGAGAAAATACCAAAATGTCTTTTCTCCTCACTGAAAGACTGCTGGAAGAAAATAAGAAAACTGCCTTTTCTAATTAAAAAAATGATTATCGAAGGGTTTTTACGAGCCTGTCGAGAAAAAATTGAAGGAACAAAACTTGATTTGTTAGGGAAGGAAGAAAATAATACGCGGTAGGTGGGTCAAAAGGTCAAGTTGTCTTTGATAGTTTAACTTTAACACTTTATCATAAAGCTAAAAAATAATTCTTCAGTTTGTAACTGGAGTTAAACATCACCATTTCTTTTCTTTCTTGTTTTAGGAACGACGACTGATTACTGAAATGTTGCTTGATAAGGATTTGGGTGCTATCCGGATCGTCCATTGATGATCAATAGGAAGTACTCGTATAAATTGCTCAATATGCACAGCCCGGACAATTTTTCAATCATCGTGGTGGATCAGACTTCCGTGGTGATTCAAAGGCAGATTAAGGAGGCCATGGATCTTTATCTATACAACATTGCCGGTTGTGCACCGGTTGACGTTGCTTGTCTGAAGGATAGACTTCCTGTACCTGTCAAATTTGAGGATGGGTATGATCATGAATGGGACCTTGCGACATGTCGATAACACCAATAAGAAGCATTGTGCTCAATTTCATGCAAATCGGACGAGAAATGACGAAATTTGGCGAAAACAAGGTGGTGGCGGCGGGTGTGACCTTGCGACATGTCGATAACACCAGAAAGAAGTCTCTGTCTAAGTTTGATGGAAATCCGACGAGAAATAGCGAAATTATGGCATAGCGACGAAATTTGTCGAAAACAAGGTGGTGGCGATGAGTGTGACCTTGCGACATGTCGATAACACCAAAAGAAGTCTCTGTCGAAGTTTGATGGAAATCGGACGAAAAATGGCGAAGTTATGGCATGGCGACGAAATTTGGCGAAAACAAGGTGGTGGCGGTAGGTGGAGCATTGCGACATGTCGACAACACCAATGAGAAGTCTCTGTCGAAATTTGATGGAAATCGGACGAGAAATGGCGAAATTATGGCATGGCGACAAAGGTTGTCGCCATGCCATGCATTTATAAGGGGGGGGGGAGCTGTTGGCCGCCCTGAGAAGGGCGTTTCCAGAGCACACGACGAGGACGTCGCTCCCTTGTGCTCCACGCGGGTCGGCCCCCGCGGACGCATTCGGGCGTCCGCGGGGGTCTACTTCCACCGGCCGGGAAAGCCCTGCCCACGTCGCCGCCTCTGCAACCGCGTTCCCCTAGGGGGCCCGTCTGACCCTCGCCTTACGAGGTGGGAGCGCACCCGTAAATCGGCCCCCATTAAGGCTTCGAACTCGGGAACCCGGCCGGCCCCAAGGGGAGGTATCGCTAAAGAGCGGCGTCACCCAAGGGTTGGAGGTAGAGAGCCCCTCTCACTTGCCAAGCGCCACCCGCACTTTTGGCAAGCCCCGCCGGCTCCCCACCCGGTGAGCCTGCTTGGTGGGAGGAGCATTGGAGGGGGGACCTTCCCGTAAGGCTCTCCCCTTGCAGCGTTGCTCCTCCGGACCACCCCTCCAACGGGAAGAGAGTCGGGGCTGTGGGACAAACCACGGGTGGACCCGACTCCCCAGAGAGGCAGGGCGGCCCAAGGGCGCAGCTGCAATGGGGAGCTCACCCAGGGATACGTCCCCCACGAGCTCCTCCCGCAGACTGACAAAAATTTCTGGTGCAGCTCCTTTTATACCCTCCGGAGGGCGGTGAAAGTTCTGCTATAAATAGCACCCAGTCATACTGTATGACTTGGTGCTATTAATAGCCTATGTATATTAATAGCACCTGAGATAAGCGGCCTCACATATAGTATATAGCACACGCGTGCTATAGGTATACAGCTGTGTATAGCTATATATCACATACAGGGTGGTTAAAATATCACGCTACAATGGAAAATTTTTCGATGAGAAAAATTTGTAAATTTCCATTAGTTACCGAAATTTTGTCTCTAAAATTCAATGTTTTAAGAATTTCGTCATCAGTTTTCCATCAGTTTTGATAATAATTATAAAAATCTTAATCCAAAATCTTGTAACTAATGGGGATTTAGGGATTTTTCCCATCGGAAAATTTTCCATTGTTGCGTGACATTTAAACCACCCTGTATATACTATGTATATATATATTTAGTAGTTATATACATACACATATGTTATACATAGCTATACACAGTTATACAGGTGGAAGTTGTGCTATATACTATATAACTACTATATATGTATACCTACATTGCCTACATATTTTATAGCGCCTATCTCAAATGTTTACAATTGTTACGAATAATTCAATTAATTATTTCGACGTCGTTAGCATTGGGTCAATGTCGATTCTTATAGTTTTTTGGTCGCTGATTTCGAATCTGAGGTCAGTTTTTCGATTGCGACATCATGGGAAGGGGCACATGCTTAATTATGTTAAAATAACACAAAATCTACAAATATAAGGCTACAAATATACAAAGCTACAAATATAAGGCTGGGTTTTGTATTTGTAGTATGAATAAATTAAAAGTTGACAAAATTCATGTAAATTCTTGACAATCAGAGAGTGAAGGAACTTCCCATCATTACTTGTGATAATTTTTGTAATAATCTAAATGCTAACTGCAACTTCGTCTCTTCACAGTCTTCACGATGCTTACTTCGACGATGAAAAACCTACTTCAAGCAACTTTGCGGGGCCTTTTAAGAAGGCAATACTCACGGAAAGCCGTAATGAACGACTTGCATATACATAATACGTACTACCAAGTGCCAATTGTTATGTCCAATGCATAAATTAATGTAGCGGTCTCAGTTTATTGAATTTAAAAAAATTACGGTATCACGAGAAAGCCCATAAAATTCTCTACAAGATATACCCATTGGCTTTCCTAATTGTTTGCCGATCGGTCATTTTGGCACACTGGGTAACAAAAAATTTCGGAACATGGTTTCTGATATATAGACAATTACATTGGCATTTCGATAAAAGTAGTACAACTGTCAACAAATAGTATAACTGCTAATAATTTTTTTGCACCGAATGGATTGGACATAACATACTGCAGGGTATGAAATTTTGTGTTCTGGGCGTCCGTCATTCCGGTTCGTCTGCCACCACGATAACTCTCGACAAAATGAAAAAAACTTTGGGTCAAAAAGGTCACGTAGCGGCTCCTTACTGAACTTCGTTTCGGACAATTGCATTTGGATAAAAAATATCCAAACCCAATGTTGATACGACTTTTGGTTATCCCACAATGAAGGGATATGTGTAAAAGATATAATGGGTCCCTCATAGGTACCCTTGACATACGGGACGCACGGAATGCACGCATTTTTTGCATTGTTTGGACGTATGTACTTCACTAGCTGTTATTGTAATTTATCAAAATTTAAATACAAATGTTTCAGGGGGTCCATAGCAAAAAAAAGTTCTCAGGGTCATTCTGTTTGCACTTAGCTAACTTTTAATTTCAAATTGTTTAATGACAAGCCACTAATTGTAAGTATTACGTGCAGATTTCATCAATTTCATCAAGCAATTTCTAAAAATCGGTATGGATCACCCCATAGGGTCGCTCCAGATAAAAATTTTACCAATTTCATTTCATATTGTTCCATTAAGGCACATTTGCAACCTCTCTACCAAATCTCAGTTCGATATGACAATTTTGAAAAATCAGTATGGGTCACCCAATTAGGTCCCTAAAGATGAAAATTTTTCCAACCTAAATTCATTTTTTTCTGTTACAATCCATTAGCAACCTTTGTACAAACTTTCAGCTTCCTACGACAAATTTTAGAAATCCGTGGGGTTACCCTATCGGGTCTCCAAGTTGAAAATTTCTGAAACTCCACTCCAATTTAAACGCTTTGAGTGAGGTCAGTCGCAATCTTCATACTAAAATTACCGAAAATTATTACTATAGATATTTCTCAAACTACAAATATTTTACTTGCATAGATCTTACATAATTTAACCTACTCTAAAGGTGCTTGGTAGTTAAGGGCAACGCATTTGGATAGAAATGACCCCCACCGGCCAACCACTTGACCGATCATACCCATCTTCGAACTCATCCTTACATTTTACCCGAAGATGAAGTATGCAAAATTTCAAGTCAATAGCTTTTCTTTAAAGAGAGTTATCGTGCCTACAGACGGACGGACAGACAGACATCTTGACAAATCTATAAGGCCATCTTAAAAGGCCTAAAAACTTCAATTTTCGAAAACCCTGGTACCTTTTGCAACCAGTGTGCACTCACATTTCGTTCCCACGAATTAATTTTTTAACCATGGATACAAGAATCAGTGCAGTCACTAATAGTCACTATCCGGATCAAGTAAAGGTTTTCCCAACCCACCAACATCGGGTTTTTCCTCTACTCCCCAAGCCAACTACTAAAAAATTTTAGTAGTTTTAGGCCTTTTAAGATGGCCTTATAGATTTGTCAGGATGTCTGTCTGTCCGTCCGTCTGTCCGTCTGTAGGCACGATAACTCTCTTTAAACAAAAGCTATCGACTTGAAATTTTGTATACTTCATCTTCGGGCAAAAAGTAAGGTTGAGTTCGGAGATGGGCATGATCGGTCAAGTGGTTGGCCGGTGGGGGTCATCGGAGTGCGTGGGATATATATTGTGCACCAAAATTTCAAAATTGTCGTAGAAAGCTGAAATTTGGTACAGAGGTTGATAATGGTTTCTAATGAAAGAATTGAAAGTAAAATTTCAAAAATTTTCATCTGGAGAGATCCTAGGGGGTAACCCATACCGATTTTTAAAACTCATCCAATCGAGCTGAAATTTGGTATGGGGATTGCTAATGACTACTAATGGAAGATTATGAAGTGCAATTAGACGCATTTTCATCTGGACAGACCCTATGGGGTGACCCATACCTATTTTTCAAAATCGTCATATAGAGCTAAAATTTGGCATGGAAGTTACTTGTTGGTCTAAATTGAAGAATATGAATTGAAATTTGACAAATTTTTATCTGGAGTGACCCTATGGGGTGACCCCAATTTTTGAAATGCATTAAATCAAGCGAAAATTGGTAGAGATGTTGGAACATTCCTAATGGAACAATATGAGTTAAAATAGCAACAATTTTCATCTGGAGGATCTGTTGGGTGACCCATACGGATTTTTTAAATCGTCGTATCAAGTTGAAATTTGCTACATATGCTGTTTATTGATACTAATTATAAGAATATCCACAACTTGGCCTGACTTGGGCTATTGTTGAGATCCGACCAATCTACCCGATTTAGCTTTCACTCTCAAAAGAAACAGGATTTCGAAGCACAGTGAAAAGAACGTAGGAGATGTAAAGTTATAAAAATCTATTTCTCTGATTCCAAATAGCTTGAAATCCGCAAATAAACTGACGATAACCCTTTGGCTTTACTCTCAAATCAATTTATTTCAACGAGAAATCAACTATATGGACTAAACAATTATTAATCAAATATTTTTAATTAAGTTTTTGCGGAAGAGGAATCTTAGCTCTCCTTAACTTCTACACACCGACCACTAAAAAATACTTCCCACTTCTCTCAACAGAACCCACGCGTCCCTTTTTCCTCACTATCCCACTTACACTCTTATTTCCGCATCCCTCACCCGCTCGATATTGAACATACCATTTTTCATGGGCATCTTATGTTCCATGAAAATGCTATTCTATAATGGCATATTATTAATTTTATAATTAAAATTACAGCATACTAATAACTCTACATATCATTTGACAACTCCTAACTACTATTAAATTCAAAATGTATCGAGAAAATTACTCAACGAGTAATTTGATAACTCCCACACATGCCAATTCCGTTTTCATACTGATCATAAATTAATGAGTAAAAATTTAACAATATTATTATGCTATGCTTTTAACAGCTATATCAAGTCTGCCCTGTAGGTTTAAATTGTTTTACGTTCATTTACGATAAAATTTCATGCTACCATGAGAAGTCATTAAGTATCACCGTCAACCGTGCCGAAATTTAGATTCTTACGACAATTTCTGAAAATCGGTATGGGTCACCCCCTCGGGTGAAAAATTTTCCAATTTCACTTCATATTCTTCCATTATCACGCTACATGTCAAATTTCAGCTTACTATCACAATTTTGAAATTTTGGTGCATAATACCTCACCCACTCATATAACCAACACTGGTCTAAATCTTTTCTGATAGAACCCATCTTCGAACTTGGTCGTTGGATTGCCCAGATACATGCATGTACCATATTTGGTAAGAATCGGCCAACTCGCTCGAGAGTTATTGAAAGACAGACAGACGGACAGGTCGATTGCATAAGCCCTGGTTGGGGCTAAAAATTATATGCAAATCGTTCATTATAGTCTGGCTTTTAGATATTAATGCTATCTTAAAAGGCCCCGCAAAGTTGCTTGGAGTAGGTTTTTTTACTACTACTAATTTTACTACTAAAATAGTAAGTGTATTTCATAGTTTATCAAAGTTTTATGTTAATAAAATGTAAATATCAGTGCAGTTGTAAATGTGAAATCGGCTATTTCGGCGTTCTGTTAGAAATTTGTGTGCTTTAATTACCGTTAGCGACGGCCCAAATAATTAGCACTTCAAAAATGGAAGTTTTTGAGGCTATCGAAGCAACTGTCGTAACCTTGTATTATGATAAATTGTCAAACAATCTTGGCTGAGCATTGTCGCCTAAATTCTTCGAACTTAAATTCATAAATTTCACCGAAAAATTGTAAAAATGGGCAAGAAAGGGAAGAAAGGAAAGGGAGGGAAAGTGACGGATGGGTTACTTCCGGCGGAAATGGCTCGTCCAGGTAATCCTGGACATTTTCTTATTTGAATTGAAATTATCATTTAACAATAGATAATTTATTTATATTTATTATTGTCGTTTGTTTTTCTCAGCCTTGCTCGGCTTCATGGTTCGATTACAGGTACTTTTTTTTACATTTCATGTCGCTAGTTTAAATATAGCGTTCCAAAAAGTTGGTAAGATTTAACAATTTTTTACTAGGCTGAGATGGACAAGGAACGCGAAGAGAGAAACTATTACATGTTGGAACGTGAAAAAATGTTCCAAATGTGGAACCTCTTGATGGAACAAATTCAACTCGAGAAGGAAAAAGCGGCCTTATTCGATGCACACTTGCAAGATGTATGTCATTGTATGTACATAAAGTGGTACATATTTAATTACATAATAAGTTTACCAAGTTTCATAATAAATAGGTCGAGAAAATGAAAGACGGCGAAGAAGATTTGTACAACCGAAAGCTTAGATTTCTAAAGCAGGAGCATTCCCGAAAACTCGGAGACATCCGGTTACACCACTTGAGTCTCATGAAGGTTTGCACAAAAAACTAAAGTGAAAGCTGTGTAGATTATATTTTTTAACTCATAACTTTCTCCGTCATTAGCACGTCCAAGACGACAATTGGGCGATCCAAGTCGTCATGCGGGAAGTCCTCATGGGTCGGAAAAAGGAGATTCGCCAAGCCCAGATGGCCTTCTACCAAATAATCCGAGGCCTTTATTGGAAACATGCCAAAGACGTGTCCGACATGCGGAAGGAATTTGCTCGTGAAATTCGGCGTCTCGAAACCTCCTTTGACCGCCGTCTTTTTGACCAAAACGAGAAAAAGGACGAAGAACAAGAACGTCAAGTTGTCATTCTCGCGACGAATAAAGAATCCCAGATCCAATCTCTAATAGAAAACCATCGTATTGCGGCGGAAGAGCTCGCAAAATATTTCAAAGACTTGATTCGACACAATCTCGGCCTTATTTGCGTGATGAAAGATTCCGCAAAGAAGGAGAAAATGATGGAACTTCGTAGTAAGAAGAATTGCGAAGATTTCAAAGCAAAATATGAGAATTTCGTGTCCTCCGCAGTCCAGTGGAAGCAGGACATGGAGCGATGGTCTGTTGAACACGTGAATGACGACGTTGAAGCTCTTGCCACGGAATTGAGGGATGTCAATGAGCAGTGCAAACGACTCAAGCATGCCCAACGCATGGTGGAATGTTCCAATGAAACCCTTCAACAACGGATGACCCTCGTTCTCAAGGAGAAAGAAGCCTTGCAAAATCAGTTTGGAAGATCTATCGTGGAGGCGCAAAAACGCGGCTTGATGAACCGATTTGTGAACGAGATCAAGAAAAAAGCGGCCAAAAGAGAGGGAGAACTTTATGAAGCGTTGGCAGACAATGTTGAAAAGGCTCCGGGAGATGATACCAATTATTTTGAGGCTTTGATGAGTCCCAGAGAAAGAGACATGGCATACATTACTGCGGTTAGTTAATTAACATGACTTGACATACAATTATATTAATTAAGTATTATGTGACATTTTTTAACCACTTAAAATACATCTGTATTTCAGGATATCACAGAATTTGCTACAGAGCATCAAAATGTGGAGGAGAGCTATATGGAAGCCTTTACCAAGAATGAAATTAATTTGGCCGATATTGGATTTCCGGTCAAGAAAACGGGAGCAAAACCTCGCGGAAAGGAGGTAACTTTATTAAATGCAATAGTTATATTAAACATAAATTTCCAAGAATTTTAATATATAGACCTTTTTTATTTGTAGGAAGATCTCTTAAACGCGACGGAAAACGAACCCCGCACAATGTCCAAGCGACACCGCAGCGGAGTGACCAAAGAGAGCCGGAAATCGTCCCGAAGAATAACGACGACAAGTTCAAAACAGTCAATGGCAGCTCGGCCAGCTGCGAGTACGTATGCAAATAGTTCGGGAAGTTGAGCGATAATAATTATTGGACAAATTACTACTATTCGATATGTAAATATGTATGTATGCAAATTAAACAAATGATTTATTATGGATTATAAATTATGTGGGAATTTGAACATAAATACAGAACGAATGTCTAGGAATAGACATTCACGAATTTCTCAAATTTGTCTGCATTTCCTTTATAGAAAGTTTCGAAGGCTTTGAAAATATTTGGCTCTTTTTCGTCAAACCCGAGTCCCTTAAAGAAAAAAATGTTGTTAATATTAGCTAATGGTTTGTGGGTGCATATTTTGATGTTCTTTAGTAACAAATGCTACTTATACGCATTTACCTTTTTGATAAAAAGGCTCAGCCCCATAATGTACAAGCGGTCATTTAAATTTACTTCTTTTCCTTCTACACAATCCGCACAACGTTGTAAATTTTGTTCGTCCTGGGCCAGTTTTGTGAATATCGTGTTCAAGTTGAGCACCGCAGTTCGGGACAGAGTGGCTACATGGTGGCGTGCACTTTGCCTCGCAAGTTTGAGATAAGTTAGGAACACTTCTCCGATAAAACCGGTCGACTTTGAAATTTTTCTGCTCCCGTCTGGTCCCACTTGGGCGGAGGGCGATTTTCCTCGTTTATAGTGATCTTGAAAAACGATGGAGAAAGCGGAAAGCTCGGTAGCGCCGGACACCATGATAAGCTCTGGAAGTCCCAGTTTTGCCTGGGTTCTGAAAATAGTTAGATAACGCATAAGAAATATATTTAGCTCACTTAAGTTTAAAACGCAATTTGTCCTCACAGGAAGCGATGGTCTGCGACAAGTTCAATGTTTTTATCATTCAGTTTAATAATTCCTTGTGATACGTAGCCATTGATAAGACCAGATGTGGCCGGGAGGCAATCTGTCCTTAATACGGTGCGATAATAACTGATGACATCCTCAGTTTTGGCGGATTTCAATAACGCCGCCTCGTCAGGTTTTTGGGAGGGGCAGTTTCCAAACCCGAAGAAATATGTTTCTTCCTCCTTGGCAAGGATTAGTCCTTTGGTGGGGTTTCCAAATTGTGTTTTCCATCCGGGATAATCAATCGACGGTGTTGTGGTGTCCGTTGCTGAAGATTATTGGGCAAAAACGTCACCTTTATGGTTTTTTAACTGATGAACTACTTCTGAAAAAATAACCTCTCTTTCTGCGACCAACCAATTCTTGAATCATGTTGGGATCAAGTGGTACGCCCGATTCGTTAATGATGTTCAGGTCGGTAGATCCCTTTCCATGACCGCAAATTCCCACTATGGCCAGCGCAGTACAAATAATCCTGAGTGAGAATATTTTAATTATTCTATACTGACCATCACATCATGATTGTTGTTCATACCCACTAGCACCACCCAGCACCGTCGGCAAAAGCCCAATTTGACCGACCGCACTAAAGAAATCACTGCAACCCCAAATGGCAAAATTTTACAATAAAATTTCCCACTAAAATTTGCACTGCTAAAATCTAACATGTAGTAATTACCCGAATCCTCTCCCCTCAAACCGGTTAACATCTAAGTCTGAAAACGTATCATAGTTTTCTACGGGATCTGACCCATCTCCGGACACCAAAGGCGTCAGTTCAACTTCCTCCTTGACATTGTTCGGACTGCTCTTTGACTTGTATGGTGGCGACTTGACAAACTTATCTGGCGCTGCTGTCACCACGCTGGCATTAAAGAGACAATTTGCTGTCATACTTGCGGAACAGATTATGGTCAAAAGACTCGAAATGTGTCGCCCGTGGATGATATGTTCGTCGAAAATACTCCATTCGATAACCCTGCTTTTTCCTTCGATGATTTGCGCATCTTTGTCAGAAGGGGCGGCATCCCTTCAAACAATATATGTAGCGATATCCACATAATTTGCATTAGATAATGTCTTGAAATTACGTATAGCGTCTCACCTGATGATCGCCAAGCAGGCGACATAATTTTTCCCTTCGGTATGTTTCAGCACGACGTAAACCCTCTTCATTTTTTTGAACGGTAGTTTATCCTCCTCCGAGGACAATACGACGACCTCCTTCCCACTGTCGACCTCATTGTTCCTCTCGTATACGGGGGTCTCTTCCCCTTGGAGAGTGTACTTGCTCACCTTGTTCGTTTTATCAATTTGTTGCAGGAACACTTTGTCCAAGGCAAACAATTCAGCAGGGACAGACTTTATTTTCTCTTCTATAATTGACGCCACTGGGCTGGGTGCATTCCGTTTCTTGATGGATGACGAGTTCACCAACTGACTGAGTAGGCAGATGCACGAGGTCACCAAGACCAGATTGCATCTGTTGGGAGCCATTGCTAACTACGCGTGTGCGTGAGTGGGGCAAGTACCGCTCTTTAGGTGGGATATTATTGTTAATTTTCCAATTAGTGAACAATGGAAAGAAATTTGTTGTTTATTATTTAACATCCGTATCGAATTGAAATGGGGGATGGTGAATTGTGACTTTGATACAATGCGTGCGTATGTATGATTCCAAGAAATGGACGAATTTCCGTAAACAAATTGTTGAAACTCTCTCTCGTTTTGTGTTTAATGAATCTTTAACCCTGACCAATCATAAATAATTTTATAACTTGTTAACCATACAAATCTACAATTTTTTCTATGGAGTTGAAATTCTTGGTGTAAAACTTGTCGTGGAATGGTTTCACATCCGCCGAAGTTTTGATTGCTCCACTGCCATACCTTATGAACTGAATGAGTCCCATAACTTGTAATCTATCGTTACGATTGTTCTCCTTGTCGCTCCCACAATCGTCCGTGCAACGGTCCAGGTTGTGCAAATCTTGCCATAATTTAGTAAAAACTTGTTTGAAACTTTGCAGGAGGTGGCGTCTCAAAACGGTGATGTGGGATGGCGTGTACTCCAGCGTTCTCTCCAAAGCTTTCAATCCCGTTTTTACAATGAAGTTTACACTTTTTGAGATTTGGATCTTCCCGTCGGGTGATTTTGGTGAAGACGTCGGGTTGGAGGATTCTTCCGAGAAAATTTTAGAGAAGGCGTCCAACTCTGCGGCACTTGAGAGGAGGAGGCTCTCTTTAAGGGAAAGTTTCGGTTCTTTACTGAAATTAAATATCAAGTATTTGCGTGTCTTCAGAATAAATTTAAATAAAAAATCAGTGATGCACTTACAACAAAGCGAATGCTGTATTTACTTCGAGACCTTTGTCCTTGGTCACGACGAGATATCCTGATTTGATCAGTTCTATGACAAATTCTCTCATCCATGTCACACAGTCGGCACGTAGGGCTGTTAAATAGTAATCCACGACTTCTAAATCCGACCCACCTGTTTTCTTGAGTCCTTCTGCGTCAACTAGCTTGTAAGGACAGTGTCCAAATCCATAGAAAATTCCGGATGATTCGGACAAAATGCCTTTTTTAGGGGTTTTATATTGTGTTTTCCAACCAGGGTAGTCCAGCGCGACTTCAAGATCGGCTGAAGCTGTATTTACATATTGCATGTAAAACATGTCTTAAAATAATAACAATAATAAGTCTCGTTACCACTTCGCCGACGACGCCGCTTTCGTCCTATTGTCCCTATCTGCCACGTATTCTTGTCCCAACCTTCCTTTGCTGCCATTCCGATGGGCATCGTGTAATGGTGAGCCCTTTCATCGGCACAACTCGCCAAAAACGACACAATTCCGCAAACCACTCCTCCAATCCCGGATAAAACACCGCCCAAGATACCCACACCACTGTCGACAGGTTGGGATGGGTAGTACTGAGGAGAAAGTAATGTCATTTTAAATATTGTCTTGTCCAAGTAAATATTTAATTCATCGCCATTACCAAGACGTCAGCTGCATATGGTTGTTGCGGTTGCTGCGGGGGTGCTTCGCTTCCAGAACTTTGGAAAAACCCTCTCCCAGATCCATGGCCCTCGGCCTGTTTCCAAGCGAGATCATAGAAAAGGTATCCATTGCAAAGGGGATCCGCACCATTTTCAACTTCCGGTTTATGCGACTCAATCTCCGTCATGGATGCGAGGAGGATATTCTTCCCCACGAATTTGGGAGCCTTTGCAGCTTTCTCCTCCGCAGTTAAGATCGTATCGTTGAAGGAACACGGCACAAGAAACGAGGAAGCGCATTGCAACGAAAAGAATGTAATGGATGGTCGTCCGTTCGCGAAATGTTCGTCAAAACGTTCCCACTCCACGATTAATTTCTTACCAGAGAGTTCGACTACATTTTCCGTCTCTTTTTCCAATGCGAGCCTGAAGAGAAAGTTGGCATTTTGGCAAATGGATTTTATTTAATTACCTAAGTAAATATATAAAAGTTGTACCTTAAAAGTGCCAAATTAACGAAATACGTGTCCGAATCCGGCTTCCTTTTCAAAACGACGTAAATCTTTTTAAAAGTAGTGAATGGAATATTATCCTCCTCAGAGGTCAAGATGACGACATCTTTATTCTTATCGTTCGAGCTTCTCTCATACAGAACTTCGGTATCTCCAAACAGCGTATACTTTGATATGCTGTTGGCCTTATCAACTTGTTGCTTGACCACAGTGTCAGATTCAAATCGAACGATAGGAATTGCACCAGCCAATTTCTCCAAATGGGCGACAACAACGGGAGAATTTACGTCACAATCTCCTCCTGGTCCAATTATGAATAGCAAACCATAAAATAACGAGACAAGTCGGATGCTGCTTATCTGCATCCCATCTGCGGATCGCATCTCCATCGTGGATGGAGAGTAGAACGCCTGCCTAATTAAGTAACAAATATGTATAGCTTGTACTTAAACAATGGCCAAGATTGACAATAACACTCATTCAAAATCATTTATTACAGGCTTTCCAGAATTTATTTATTTATTTATAAATAACACAAACATGTGTAAAGAATAAATACTTATGAATTTAGTGAATACACAATCAATGACTAAATAAATAAGAACTGGTGGGGGTTGTATTATTATTTTACTAGACTCTAGATTCCTTCAACGCTGTCTCAATCTGGGGCCGATTCTTTGTCATGAATTCTTTCAAAGAGGCATAAACCTGGTCATCCGCCGTGGGAAAACCATGCATAACGAATTTAATGATTCCCATCACCGCTAACTTATCGTTATTCAAGATTTCCTTATCCTTCGAACAATCACCGCTGCATTCGTCCAAGTTTTGCGAGTCTTCTCCCAGCCGTTCCATTGCGGAGCGGAGAATTTGCACCAAGTGGCGAAGCAGTCGGATAAAATGTTTGGGTGCTTTGGACTTTGCGAGAGTGATAAAATTTACGGAAAATTTTTCTAGGAATTTTACACTGTTTGTGATTTTTTGATCGAGTGGATTTTTAGGTTCGGGATCTGGTTTGTCTCGAGATTCTTTGTAAGCGGAGGATACCGCATTGATTTCAAAGGCAGATGTGAGTTTTTGTTCTTCTATCCATGTCAGTTTGGATTCAGTTCTGTGAAAAAAAAATAATGCAATGGCTAGAAATTTTTAGCCAGGCGAAAGTATAGGATGTCACTTACGTCAGCTTATTTCCGGCCACGACGTTTATAGCTTTGTCCTTAAATTCGAGAATTCCTATAGTACATATCATTTACATGCATGCATTTTTACATATTCGGGTTATGCGCTCAATCAAATTCATGCATAAATATAAATACCTTCCGATTTTAGGGCAGGGATGACCATTTTGACTCGTGATATGCATCCATTGCGGAGAAGCACCATGTAAAAATTGATGATGAGTTCCTCCGTGGTGGCAGTGTCGTAAAGATCGGCGGAACTTTTGGGAGATGGAGGACAATGTCCGATCCCTGAAAATAATAGACATTATTTTTATCATTGAAGACCATGCACGTGCAGGAAATCGGTTGTGCTTGATTCACCGTAAAAGATGTCCTTATCTTTGTTGAAGATAATGTTGGGCTCGATGGTTTTGGCGTATTGTGTTCTCCATCCCTTCATTCGAGGTCCAGGGGCAGTTTCGCCACGCGTTACCCTCCGCTTGGCTGGAGGAGGAGCGTTGAGGTAAATCGTCTGCTCTTCGTCCTGCACCCCAATGGGAACATCTTGCGGTGGCGGTGCGTTCAGAAGAGCTTTGGGTACATCCTTGTTTGCCGTGAAGACGGAGTTGATCACGGTTCTAGTTAAAAGTTAATTAATATAAAATCATCCTCTAAGTAAATATGTTGTCGAAATAAGGATTAATACCCCAAAATACCGTCCGATCCGAACGCCTCACTTGCACCGGCGGCTAACGAATTCCAACAGAATTTTCTATTAAAGTATTTTAGAGTAATTTGTACCGTCAAAAACTCACCCATAATTTTTCCGTCACTTCGAATCACTGGAGTACCGATCTGATTAATGAAGTAGTTAGTAATTGCATTTGAATATAACAAGAATTCGGCAAACCTGTGACTTTGTGTACCCATCTTTTGGATCATATCCGTGACTAGGTTCAGACATATTAATAGAAATAATGTATATTTTGCACAACTGAAATTGTTTGCCCTCACCATTGCCCCAAAACCATGCCAGAAATCCCGCACCACAGTGCACCCACTCCATCCACGGCTTTATTGAGGAAATCGAACGCCATCCCGACAAGTTGGAACCTTCCATTCATCTTGTTATCAAGGTCGAGGAAAAAGTCGGAATAGTCATTTAGCGGATATTTCTCCTCAACTTTTTCTGTAGTTTTCGGTTTTTCCGTCGTAGTCGCAGAGGACTGTGACGAAGAAGTGGAACCCGTAAAGTTTGCAATAGGAAGCTCAGGTTTGCACGGAATGATAATACTGTAGCGACACACGGCAAATTGGAAGCTCTGCACAGCAAAATTCCTAAGTTATACGGAAATCTGCCATATAATTAATTTAAGAGCATGAATAGTTTACGTATTTGAAACCCTGAAGGACCCCATCGTTCCAAACTGCCCATTCCACCGCGTACTTGATCCCCTTGGACTCTACAAGGTCGGCAGGTGCTGAACTAGAGTCCGGTTTCACTAAATACGCGATGGACGGATAATACTTTTTTGGTTTTCCTTCAATGTTGCTCATCCTCATGACCACGAAGACCCTTTTGTCCCCACCGGAAGTGATGGGAAGCTTGTCTTCCCCTCCTGTCAATGCTACGGCCGCTTTATTGCGGTCAGAGTGATCAGTCTCGTAGTATTCCATGTCAGTTTGGGGATCCTTGTAGACGGATTTCTCATTCACCGAGTCCACCTTTATTGCGAAACATCAGAAATATTTGGATCTACACTAACTCCAGATTAGTATTTTATACCGTTTGGTGAAGGATCGGATCCGAATCGTAGCGTTCCACGGGGATTTTTTCAGCCCGAGATTGTAACTCTTTTCTGAGGGAGTCATCCTCCGCGGAAGAGTCACGTTTTGCAATAAAATGTGGCGGAGCAATGTGACCAAGGACGGTTGTCGCAGTAATGAGACCAATGACACAGAGCGAAGCAATGTGTCGTGGAGCCATTTTGCTCCTAATTAAGAATAGTGGACGATACACAGTTATCTAAATTTGAAGTATGCACGACCAATACCAGCTTTAATTACAGAATTGATTGTTGTATGTATGTATAGAAATGACTAATGGTCTAGCGTAGGGAATAGTGTTTACAAATAAGCTACAAATAGTGTCAATCAATTCACTTCCGTGTTTCACTTTAGTTTGAATTGTAGCCGAGTGTGTAGGCAGGCACGTGTTTATTGGGTTCAGAATTGGTTGAGGATTACTTAACGATTAGACATGATTAGTCCGAATTTTGATAAGCGATTTAATGATTACATGATTTGTACAAGCGAATACATGAAGATTTCCAAAATCTTCGGAGAAAATTGCATGGCATAAAATTTATGACGATGGTGGAGCTGGAGCAGATTCCCTCTCGATGGGAATAGTTTGCGACCTCGACTCCTTGCCGGACGGGGCACTTGGCGTTGGCGTGGTCGGTGCAGCCGTGCTTGGCGCCGAAGTGACCACTGCAGGACGACCTGTTGGTCGGATAGGGATGACTGTCTCACCACCCGGCTGCCCAGATTTCTTGGGAGCATCAATCGTCAGGATCCCGTCAGTAGATATGTTGCATACTGAATATTAAAAAAAATTATGTATGATAATTGAGATGCAGAGTTAAATATTGTGTTAATGGAACCTAGTTGATCCAACTTGACATCGTCCGGGATGACGTAACGACGAGTAAACTGGCGAGAAATGAATCCTTGGGGATCCTCACGCTCTTCATGAGACGCCGAAATAATCAAATTGTTATCTTTCGTCTTCACGGTGAGTTCGTTCTCTCGAAATTGGTGCACATCCAACTTGACCTATTTTACAGCCGTTTAAATTAAAATGTCAATTAAAATAATAAAATATGTAGCAGGTTACTTACAGAGAAGATATCTTTCGACGCATTTCTCTCCGCGCCCGTCCCATCCCTTCCGTCAGGGACCCAGGAGCTTGGCCTGAGGACGCGTGGGTGGCGATACCTGGAGTAGAATCGGGACGTGGGGACGACAAACTCGTCCGCGTCCCACCCAGTTCCAAGATACTGGTCAACCAAGGACCGTGAATCCAAGTCCAATCGATCAATCCAAGGATTCATTTTGTAAGTCAGGGAGAGAAAAACTTCAGGTATCGATCCGGATGCGATATTTGTGAAACTAAACCCGAAAGATCGAGAAGACAGGAATTTTATTTGTGCAACCAAATATCGTGTACATAAGTCTGTAGGAGGGGTGAAAAGTCATAAAAAAGTGTAAGTTTGTGTGTATCAACTCTTAAGCGGAATGGAATGCATTGGTTTCGACTCATGGTTAGAATCTTCGTAAACTAAAAATGACACTGTTCCACATTTAGAGCCTCCTACGCCATTTGACTGAGTCATCCTCCACCAACGGCTTAACTTTGCACTTGAACCTCCGAGTGAGGTGATCCATTAATCTTGAAATCTGTTTAGTTATGCCTAACGAGTTGCCAGACATTTTGAGCGTTGACGTTGTGATGCCATATGAGACGACGATCTCGTACGATGTACGTATGTATCTGTATACCTAATGAAGGTGACAATGTCAACGTTTTCTGATAATTGAACTCGTGTAGCCGTGTCGCTGTATCCAACCGTTTTATGTCAACAATCAAGTATTTACAGATAAATCCCATATGAAATGGATAAGCTATGAAATAAAGATGTGATACGGTGGATTGTGAGCTTACAACGGTAAGACAAAATAATTGATGTAAGTATACCAAATCAAATTATAGGTCATGCATTTTTATTAATTTTTTTTAAATTTTTTTATAAATACATAACAAGTTTTCGTAAAGTAAGGATTAAAGATTACATAAATTGGATTTTTATTTTATTTTTAATTTTTTTTATAAATACATAACAAGGATCACATAAATTAAACCTGAACTACAAAATAGTAAATACTTGAAATAGGTAAATATCTAAAATGGCATGTCGTGCGAAGTACTTAAAAATGTAACACAATAAATTTAGCCTTCAACAGTTGGCTCGTTAGAAGAAGTCTCGGCGTTCATGGCTTCCTCCATATCCGCAGATACGTCCGGGGTGGGCGTAGTGGTAACTGGGTCCTCAATTTTCTCCTCGGTCTTATCCCCAGTTTCTCCGTCAGTGGGGGTGGTGACACTGATTGGAATCGCCTTCTCCACGGGTGGAGGAAGTTCTACCACCTTCTTCGGAGCGGAAATCATCATCGTGTTATCCTTCGAGTTAAAGTTGCACGTCAACCCCTCCAGCTGAACGTCTTCGGGAATGTTCCACGTCCTGGTAAAGCTTCGTGACACAGATCCAGTCTCATCGTCGTGCTCATGTTTCCCAGAAATGGTCAAAGAATTCTGGACTAATTTGACATCCAATTCTGACGGTTTGTATCCCTCCACGTTCATTTTGACCTCGAAAAGTTCTTGCTTCTTGGGGGCAGCGGCGGCTTCTTTACGTTTCTGGGCGTCAGTTTGGGTGCGGTTTTGTGCTGCAGCCAGAGCGGAAATGAATCTGAGTGGAGTGGACAAAAGTGCGTCTAGGGCTTCAAGTTCTTCATTTTCAGCCGCTTGGCGATCCACCTCCATCGAGCAGGACGTCGGGAAATGTCTCCCCATGATCCCCCAAGGATCGTAAGCTGCTCCTCGGCAACGACGTCGTGGTGATGGTGATGCAGGTTGGAATGAGAGAAACATCTAAAAAAAATTGGAAAAAAATTGTTAAAATGTGATTAATAAGACACACGATGAGATTTTAGTCGGTAAATTTTGAAGTAAGTGACTCACCTTTAAAATGTGTTTCGAGTTTGAAGTTTCACAAAATGTATGAAGTGAATTTGAAATGGTTTTATCAAAAATTGGTAGTAAATTGAAGTTTTTTGAAAATGTGTAGTAGTTTTGTAGGTAGTTTGGTAGTTATTTCACCGTTCTCGTAAGTTGAGTACTGATGGAGAGGAAAGTGAGACGGTGAGTTTATATAGGAGAAGTTGGATTTGCGAGAAGGTTCGGGGTTGGGTGAGAATCTCAAACGTATTCCGCTTATGCACCGTCATTGAGACTGGCTGAGCCAATATTCGCTCACGAATGCAATGCAATGCAGTAGTAGTTTTACGTGTAAAACTAGAATGTACGAGAACATTCGGGGTGGTATGAGAAAAGTCGCAAGTTTTGACTCGCTCAGTTTCGCATGCAAAAAACGTGTTTTGTGTACGTAAGCCACGAGCATGTAAGTTGTATGTATTCGTTCGTATTTTAAGTGTAGGTTTGGCAAATTACATAAGAACGTTATTACGGGTTACTCGTTTGATTCGTTTTTCTTATTTTCTAAGTCATGCAATGTTTTCCACAAATAAATACGTTCGAACTTGATTTGATTCCATTTTTGAAAACAAACAATTTATTCATTAACTTGTAAATCCGTCGGATAATGTATAATAGAATACTTCTGGTAATGAGCTAATGAAATATTTTTTATGTAACCTCCTTCTCTGGGCTGAGGTCACCATTCTCATTTTTTTGAATGGGGATCACAACCTCTTTCGTTGGGACATTCTCCAGATGTCGTGGCGCAGATAGTGTTAGCATTCCATTCGACTCGTTTAAAGAACAGGACACTTCCTCCGGATCGACTCCATCGGGTAAAACGTAGCGTCGCGTTAATTGGTGCGAAATTATTCCAAGCTTGGCTTCCTTCTTCTCATGCTTCCCATCAACGATGATGAATCGGTCAATCGCTTTCACGGAGATTTCTTCCGGTTGAAAGTTTTGCAGGTCGAGTTTGACCTTTAATTTTAAATATGAATATGAAATTGTTAGTTAAGTCGAGTTTAATCAGATTTACAGATGTACGTACCTCATATTTGTCATCCGTGCAATAAACTTGTGAGAGCTCTTTCCCTGGCGTGCATTTCCCGGCAAGCAGTAATGCAGCCTGATATTGTTGACAAAGGTTGGTCGTGGCGAAGGTCATTATTACGTATGAAGAGATGGCACAGGTTATTATATTATTTAGAACTTATCAGGCAGGTCTTGTTATTATTGGACGGCAAGTAAATAATCGTAGTGTTGCAAGATAAAGCGATCGTGGTATTTATGATGTCACGGCTTAAAGTTTCTTTCGGAATTATGACGAGTTTGGGAGAAAAAATCCCTACCACGTCGAACCACGAGTTAAGAAAGGTACCATTTTGACAGACATTCCGAGTTTATCCCAAATTTACATATGTATTGCAGGAGAAAGTTTAGACTGTAGTATTGATTCCAAACACGCACGCAGGATCTAAAAACAAACTCGGTCACCACCACCACACAACTTTACCGAACCCGACCCAACTTTCACTATCACATGTAACGACAGATAATCACGACAATCAGTGTAAATACTGCTAAAAATTAACCAGATGACGACGACTGTCCTACGGAATTCGGAGGAAATGGAATTGTACCCGGGACGAGGCAGCTCAATCGATGCACTGTTGAGTCTTACTTAAGTACCAACGAATGCAGCACTGCTTTTTCTCCTCTAGGTCACCACGTCTTCTCTCTCGGCCTATATTTGAACAGATCGATAAGTTGATTTTACTCACCGAAAGTAAGTATTCAACTGGCCAAAATATCTCCACAACCACATTCACGAAACTCTTATTATTCTTCCATCCGTTGTTATTTGAAGATGGTGTACACTTGGCTGACAATGAGTGACATGTGAGCAACTGTACACTGAAAAATAAAACGTCTTTATTCTTCTTCTTCTCTGGACGAAAACGTATGCACTAATTTTGTCAAGTGACAAGCATGACTTGGGGATGGAACGAGTGCGTCAGTCAGTAAGAAAATCTAGAGGCGTACTGAATGTGGGGGGTTATCTGTCATTACTGCTGCTTTGTATTGTATATCTTTCCCTATATCGAACAACAGCTCGGCAACAGAGGCTATAACCATATTGTATAAAACGATGAAAAATTGGAAACTTGACAGATTGGCGTAGCATGGCCGGGTTTTATTTTTTTTTGTCCCGAGATGAAAGAGACAAGTCTAAATTTCGACTTTTTTGTCAATCATCAACCAGCTCCACGAGGGGTATCGAAGTTTACGGCTCCGGAGACGATGAAGAAAAAAAAACTTGACTAAATTTCAGTACACATTATGTTATGTACGTTTACTTAGGATGAAACGGGATGTAAAACTATTTCGAGGTCTGGTGTGACTAATAAGAAACGAAAGCAAGGAGGATAGATTGATAGATGCATGTGTGGCACAAGGGGTAATTACGCTAATGGTGTTGGGCCGCTAAGTCGATAAGTATCTATGTATATGTATAGATAAGTAGTGCAGTATTGTTGTGCGGGTGAACATCAGATGCATATTTGTATGCAACCAAGAAGAAAGTGCCAACTATTTGATCAGTTGAAGGGGATAGGATAAGAATATAAATGGTTTCTAGTTTCCTTGAATCAACAACATGTCGAAGTTGTTCAGGAATGTTTAGAATATGCATTAATTAAAGTGAATTTACATGCGAAGTATATAAGAAGGGCCGTACAGTAAACATGTGATCGATTTTCGGAGAATTTTGACTGCTACCTGTATGCCCCATGTCTTACTTAACATAGGACGCATTGACCTCGATTTGACGATGGGGGGGGGGTGCCTCAAATCGATCACATGCTTTTTGTGTAGTCCCTAAATAAGAGAAACCCTTATGAAAACGTCATGAAGGCAGTTCAACTCATTTAGATGAAAGTTATCCCATGAAAAAACACGCAATCCTACGCGAGCAGTACTTTCCCTTACAAAAGGTGAGAAAATTCGTCAACACTTGATTGGATTAAGAATTTATGTTCCAAGAGACAATTATCTGATTTGACGACTTTGAGATCAAAGTTAATGATGCAGATAAAAATTCCATGGGCGCATAAAATTACTCATACGCATTGGTATGTACACTATGTACAGCGAACATGCAAACAAAGACATACGTATTCCTTGAACTAAATCCGCCGAAAGCTTTTGTGTTCTCACCGATCGTTAACAGCGACCTTTTGCCAAATGCTCTTCCTTCAGCAAACCTTTTATGCTTGATAAATTGTGGTGCCAATTTTCATATCTAATGATAATTTTGATTCACTACATCATTGATAGGATTTTCAGGTCTGGTCATTACAAATCAAATTACAATTACATTACTAGCTTGCTTCAATTACAAATTATACCCGAACATTTTGCTCAATTTTAGATATAATATGCAAATAAAAGTTACACGTGACACAAAATTCAGTTGCCAATTAAAAACACGAGTTTATTATTTTCAACAAGTGTGTTGCGTATCAATTTCAGGAAATTCTATATCAAATTAAAAGTCGTCAAAGCGTATAAATACCAACCAAGCGAAAACAAGACACAACATAAAGCTCATCTCATGAGTATTTCGTATGCATATTTAGCACAAAATCTAGCCGTCATAATATTTTAGAAGAATTTTCATCGCTTAAATTAGGTAATTACTGATGCCATTTATATTTACATATTTATAAAAATGTCCGCTTAAAAGATTCACTTTAGCTGTTGCTGCATCGTGTCGGAGGACGATTTAACTTGTTCCGAACTAGAAGTTGAAGAAGTCGTGGAGGAGAAAGTTTGCGTAACTTTCTTTGTTGACTGCTGACTCGTTTGTGAGACTTGTTGTTGGTGTTGCTGATTCTGAGATTCGATTTGCTGCTGACTGTGAGCCAGAGACGCGTCAATGGGGGCAGAGACCAAGAGCGTGTCACCGTTCAAGCTACACGTGATGGTTTCCGGTTTTACACCTGATGGAATGGTGAATTTCTTGCAGAATTGGCGACTCTTAAAGTTATTTTCCTCCCTCATTTCCTGCTTTCCTTCAATGATTACAATATTTTCGGAGATTTTGACCTCAATCTCATCAGGCTTATAAGATTCTACTTGCAGTTTCATCTGTAAACCGTAAAAAAGTAATTTTAGATAAGCGGAATTTATCAAGTATTTATTGCACAAGTTAAAAGAATAATTAAGTAGCTCACCTCAAATGTTTGTCCGTCACACACGTGGTACAAGTCCTTGCTGATGTCTTCGAAGCTCGAGTGAACAGAAGAAATCATCTGGTTCATGTTCAACTTAGGTTTAAGAATGATTTGAGGTCTTGACTGTTGATTTCCGGAAATGTTGCTCTGTTCGGACCGGGTAACCGAGGTGGACGATGATGTGACCGTGGTTTGCTTCGTATTTCCTCCAACCACCATTTGCTGCTGCTGGTTTGTTTCCGTAATGGGGGCGGAAATGGTGAGGACGCCTTGTGGGCTGAGGCTACTCGTAATATTCTCGGGAAGAACACCCGCCGGCATGGAAAATTTCTTAAAGAACGATTTACTCGAGAAATTATTTTCTTGTCGCATTTCCTGCTTTCCTGAAATCGTGACCATATTGTCAGATATGGAAATCTTAAGTTCTTCCGGCTGGAATCCACTCACTTCGAGTTTTGTCTAGAAAAAAGAGAAATTGAAAACTAAAATTAGATGGATCGAAATCGTATTTTAAATTAAATTAAACTGTTTGACGTTTACAATTTGTTTCACTTTTCTAAAAATTGCCCAATTCTATATACACACCAAGTGCTTTTTGGCTCATAAAAGTTTGGCATATTTCCAGTGAAACGTGCATGTAACGCGCATCTTGGGTAAGCAAATGCAATTTTACAGATTTATTATGTACGTACCTCGAATTTTTTGCTGTCGCTGACTTGGCAGATCTGTTTAGAGATGTCCTCAAATTTAGTGTCCTTTGCAATCAGTGCGTCAAAGTCCATGGTGGGACGGAGGATAAAGTCCTGGTCGATTTTGCTCGAAATGCTGCTGATATTACTGTTTATCGACGCATTGCTGTCAGAGTGTTGCTGCTGGTTAATTTGTTGATGTTGCTGTTGCTGGTGCTGTTCTTTCTTAACGGATTGAGTGGTCGACTGGGTGGTTTGTTGTTCAGTTCTATTTACAGCGCTGGTATTGCAGACATTCGAAGACGTGGACGTGACCTCGATGGGGGCGGAAATCGTCAATATTCTAGAAGGAGAAAGACTGCTCGTGATAGATTCTGGTTTGACGCCTTGAGGAAGAGAAAATTTTTTGCAGAAGGATCTGCTCGACGTCGCTGTTTCTTGCTTGGCTTCAATCACTACCATGTTGTTGGCAATTTTTACTTGAAGCTCTTCTGGTTGATACTCCGCAGGGACTTCGAGTTTGACCTCAAATTTCTTACCCTCATTGACATGGCTGACCTGCTTAGAAACGTCTTCAAAGAGAGATTCTCGGTTTCCCATGAGAGAATTAAAGTCAATATTCATAATGGGACGGAGGATAAAGTCGCGATTGGAAAGAGTGCTACTGATTGAAGTATTGCTATCAGAATGTTGTTGCTGATTAATATGTTGCTGCTGTTGTTGCACGGATTGGGTTTGAGTTTGATGTTGCGAAGTGACTTGTTGTTCAGTTCTGTTTACGTTGGACGTGGTGACCTCGATGGGGGCGGAAATCGTCAATATTCCAGAAGGGCTAAGGCTGCTGGTGATAGATTCCGGTTTGACTCCTTGAGGAAGAGAAAACTTCTTCTGGAAGGATCGACTCGAAGTTGCAGTTTCTTGTTTGGCTTCGATGACCACCATATTGTTGGCAATTTTTATTTTGAGCTCCTCGGGTTTGTAATCTACGACCTCGATTTTCACCTGAAAATGATACATAATTTTATATAAGTACAAGTCTTACCAATCCTAAGTACTTGCTACCTCTCAATTTTTAGAAGACTTACCTCAAACTTTTTCCCCTCATTCACATGACAAATTTGTTTTGAAACGTCCTCAAACACAGATTCCCTATTTCCCATGAGTGCATCCAAGTCGAAATTCATAATTGGTCTGAGAATCATATCCTCGAGACGTTTTGACGTCGATTCTCGAATACTGCTCGTTGTGCTTGTAATAGACTCGGAACTGTCCATGCGTCCGGTTTCCTGCAACATTTTATGACTTGTTTGGTGTTGTTGCTGTTTCACTTGTTGTTGTTGTTGCACTTGTTGTTGCACTTGTTGTTGCTGTTGTTGTTGGACGTTTGAAGAAACGGAAGACGTGACCTGTTGTTTGGTCCTTTGTTGTTGCGTTTGTTGGCAAACGGATGTATTCGCCGATTGTTGAATGGGCGCAGAAAGAGTAAGGACGCCCTCGTCGTTCATCGTACACTGGATCGTGTCACTCTTGACGCCATGAGGAATAGTGAATTCCTTGTTGAATGACCGACTCGCAAATTCACTTTCATGCTTTCCCTCAATTTTGATTAACGTCTTCGTGATTTTTACTTGGACCTCTTCCGCCTTAAAATTGTTGATTTGGATCTTCATCTGGAAAAAATGAGGTCAAAGATATTATTTTATCGGAAATGTCATTCCTTAATCTGAGAAGTCTTATCAAATAAAATATTACCTCAAATTTCTTCCCATCATTGATATTGCTCACTTCCCTAGACAAGTTCTGCACCTCGGTATTTGACATCAATGAATTGAGGTCGATCCGCCTTGGTCGCAGGATAAATTCGTCCATATCTCGAATACTGCTGCTCACATCAGAATTCAGAGAACTCTTCCTCGACGAAGTGGTCGACTCTTCTTGCGTCTGGGTTTTTGAGACTTGCTTGTGTTGCGCCGCTTTCACTACGGATTCACTAATTGCTGATGCAACTGATTGCTGGTGACTTTTTTCAATGGGTGCAGAAATCTTCAATTGTCCGGAAGTGGTGAGGTTGCAAATCAAATTTTCAGCTTTCACTCCGGCCGGAATACTAAACTTTTTACTGAATTGTTTCGAGCTAAAGTTACTTTCACTCTTTTGCTCTTGCTTGGCAGACACGCTGACCATGTTGTCGACTACTTTTACAACGACATTTTCAGGATTGTACCCTTGAACGTCTAGTTTCATCTGAAATTTGTTAATTAGTTGTGTTATTAATGGTGGAGAGAGAAAGTTGAGACAAATTTATGTACTCACCTCGAAAGTTTGTCCATCATTGGTTTGACACACGTCCCTCGTCACGTCCTCAAAATCTGTCCCCAACGAACCCATCATCGAGTCCAAGTTGAGGATTTGGGGTTTGAAAACGAGTCCCATTTGCATATCTCGGAGGGTGGAATCGCTCGCAAGGGAGCTGGCACTCGTGCAGGAGGACAAATCCGATGGCGTCGGAGATGTTACGCTCTGCTGTTGGTCGAAAGATCCACTGCTTTGCATGACTTGGACCGACTTTTTCGTCGTGCTGCTAAAAGTACTGCTTTGCTCTTGGACTGACATTGGCATCTTGAGGAGGAACGGTTTCCTATAAAACATTGTGAGATGGAGAGGGTTATTAATAAGTTGAAGTGAATTGTGAGACAAAGTGAGACAGAAAAGTTGAAGTAAAATTTCTGTTAGTTTCTGTGTAAGAAATTGAGACGAAATGCGACACGTTCGTAATTATTGAGAATGACTAAACTAAAATGACGTTGATTTATCCTCCTTATCAAAAGTCATTAACTCGATCGAACGTATGCATATCTACCTAACTTCCGCATATGCAGGATGTGAGTTCAATTGCTTACCTTGTTTTTAGTGAAAATCCTGATAAAACTTTGCGTATTTATCTACAAATTACACACGCACGTACGTATTGATAAAATTGATTGTTTTTTATTTAAATAAGGAGCTGCACACGTTTAATAAATACTGTGTGTAATGTTGGCACTATTAAATTAGACTGGTTCACGAACTTTTCCTACTGCTGGATCTGTATTTCTCTTCTTTTTTTTTGTTGCAAAAACTTTAAAATAGAAGTTTATCCTTAACTTGCCTCCTCTTATAACTTGACACTTGGAGAGTGAACTCGAAACTGATACCGTACAATGAAGTTGGCCGAGTTTAAATATTAAAAAGCCACGATGGCAGTGTGCCCACTCAAATAGCATAAAATAAAAAGAGTTATAAGAGCCATTAACACCGTGTTACATAGATTATGGTTATACATACGTACGTTATGTTATGCTTTATAATGGTGCAGTGGATGCGACGTGAGGTTACATATTCGCATCATAGATTATATTATTGGGAGGATGCTAAGTATGATTCCTTTTTCGTATCATTATTTTCATGGATGGAAGATAAGTAAGGAGGAGACGACGATGATGTGATTAGGTCGATGGGGGATGCATCTTGTACTCGTACCATTAGAAATTAGTCATCGCGTCTTGTTTTTCTTTGCAAGGAAGGAACGGCGCATCGCTCCTTCCTTGCAAAGTAAATCTTCTATTAAGATGCATCAACGTCTAGAATGATTTTTTAGTGTACGGGATAAGCCCACATACATATTCTGGCAACGTTAAGCATTTAGGCATGACACGACCATACCACAAGTCGAGCTACATACACAACCACTTGAACAACATTTCGACACCCACACAATGCTGCATATTTGGATGATTATCTCATTCCTGGTGGAGTTTAAGTCTCCATTTTGCTAAATGTTATGTGTGTGTCTGATTTATTTTATGTCGTCGATTCCACGAGGGAAAGTGCATTTATTTTTGACAGAGGATCAATGGGAATTATGGCAGAATTTTTGGTTAGGAAGGCGGATTTAATAAAGGTTAATTTCACCCGATATGAATTAGTCGGCACTAGAGTTGTATGTATCACCTTCTCTGAATTTTGATATCATCTTCTCATCATCTTCCCACCACACGTGCAGAAGAGTGAAACCGCTTTTAAGTAATTTCCATGTGTAGGTAAGCACTAGACGTAAGATTAAGTCATAAAATCTCTTAGCACCACCCACTCAGATATCCAAGAGTCACTCACCGTCGCCAAATTAATTCCATATACATGAAACCAATAAAGTACATATTTCCTCAGAGACTTGTGAAAATATGACTCATGTACAATTCAAGAATTAGATCAGCGACTTACACATCTTCTTCATCGCCAATAAATGACATTACATAGAACTTTGGCGAAAAATCCAATCTTTGTTTTGATTGTGCTAAAAAGATTTACGTAAATAACATCTCGAAAGTTCGGGAAGGAGAGAGAAAGATATTATTGTTATTCTCTTCTGTCTTTGCCTTTTTGGATGGTTGATGACGACATTTGACCAAACTGAACTTGATCCAGATCACTTAGAATTCATTAGCGAGTGCCAAAATCAGATATGCATATGTACACATGAACCGAAAAAGATTCACTTTCTTCCTCCCAGCAGCAGATGCGAAATCTCAAACACTAATATCTCAAACTTAACAACATTCCATAAGTAAATGAGTCATGCTTTTGTGTCAACGAGGTTGAGGATGGTTAAAAATAATAATAAAACATGTTTCAAATTCAAGTATGATACATAGAACAACCAAATCGTGCGGTTATCATTTACCACAAAAGTATAATGGTTAAGGGTGGTATTTAATGGCTGCCTTATTTGACTGAAACCAGGCCTTATTAAATATGCCTTACGATTGACTGAATGTTTGCCTTAAACGTTGAAAAAAAATAGAAATCGACTGAAAAAAGTGCCTTAATTTCCCGATATTAAAATTTGTTTATTTACATGATCTTTGAACCCAGATCACACATGTAATTAAAAAATATATAATTATTCAACGATAAGAGCTTGTTTACATTGTTTGGGGCGACCTGGGCGTCGTTTTATACCAATTGGAACATTTTTGCAGGCGTCAGAAATATTAAAATCTTTGCGGTTGGCAGCGAGCCCAATTAAGTGTTTACAAATATGCTGTTTTTTAAACATGGGACAATTGCAACGGGATTGCATCCAATTTATAATATCATACTCTATCACCCAAAGCTTTTCTTTCGTCTTCCGGTATGTTTCGAACTTTCTCCACGACTTTTTCTCTGTAAGCTGAATGTAGTTGGCTATGTCCTTTTCATCTAGTGACCTTGTTCCTTTGGCTGGTACGAAAAACTTGATTATGGTATCGTTAATCTTTTTTTGTCTCGTTGATGGACGAGAGGTATCTTTAAGCCAATTGTAGGCATCGGTCATGGCCGCAATTGTTATAACTGGTTCGAGTCTAAATCGTTTGTAATCCGGTAACTGAGGGTCTCTCTCACTGGACCAACCAGATAGAAGCTTGGAGATACAGTTGACGAATTCTCCAAGAGGTAGCCTCTTCCGAAGTGTTCCCTGACGTTTGATGAGTCCATTTATTGACTCGAGTCCATTATTAGTGGAAGGGAACCCTGGGGCAGTTCCTTCATACCAGCCGCACCTTTGGTCAATATATTCTCCAATAAAGTAGCCAACGAAGTTTTTGACGGCATCAACTCCGGACCATTTCTGCCTAAACAAATGTACAGCCGCATCGAAATCAAGTTTATCTTCTGCTAACTGAAGTAAATCTATGTCAGACTTTAATTCACGCCTGGTTTCCGGACATTCTATTTGTTTTAATCGATCCTTGATCTTTGCACTCACGTGGTACCAACAATACACTCGAACGAAGTTGCTCCCAAAAACTGATTCGAAGCCGTTTGTGATTGCTTCTGCTGAATCAGCAATTAATACTTTTGGCTCATATTTAGTGCCACATGAACTTGCATCAATCTTGGCGTAGATAGCATGAAGTGGAATGTTTTCTTTTCAAAGTCAATGATCTTTCCTACCAAAATTGTTTGATCTTGGCTAGTAGGTTCTGTTAGGAGTGCAGATAGTTGTTTTTCAAGGTCCCCTAATGATACAATTCGTGGGGCCTCAATTGATTTTAGGTAGGCTTTGGCATTTGAAATTTGCTTTCGATTTGGTATTGGAAGACCGGAATCACGAATACTTGCTTGGATTTGAGAGGGACCCGAGATGCCATTTTTAAGCAATTTGACCATTAATTGTCGCGTTGGGCCTTGAACTCCGCTTGTTTTATTTTTCTGTAGGTGGTCATGAGCAGTGTTGGTCTGATAACGAATTACGTCTTGTCCGTCTTCTATACATATATCATACAATATTGAGAGTAAAAGTAGAATATATAATTTACGATTACATTAGGTCATTGACTGCCAATCATTTACATACCAGCGAGAAGCAGATATAGCTTAGCAGAACACTTGCTGGATACTTTGCACTTATAAAAATGCTTCATGCCACATTCGGTTTGATTGGCAGATTTGAAACGAAACTCTCCTTCGGCCTTCAGAATTTCCTCCGCAATTGTTAAGTTTTCATAAATTGCACCCTTAAAGTAGTCTAAGAAGTTTCTTTTGAATTTGGCCTTCTTTCTTGGTGGTAAATTGTCTTCGTCTGATGACTCCGTATCAGAAATATTGAGAATTGTGGTTTCAAACTCGGTCATTGTAAAGTTTGTTTAGAAAACTACAGATAAATGTACTTTCTACTACAGAGTGGAGAGCTGGAGTGAACAAAAGTTGATCATTATGAGGGGCGTATTTGAGGATATTAATTAGGAAAATAAGGCCGTTTTCAGATATGTAATCCTACACAATTTAATGTTTAAGGCAAACATTCAGTCCATCGTAAGGCATATTTAATAAGGCACTGTTTCAGTCATATAAGGCAGACATTAATATTTACCCAATGGTTAAGTAACAAAATAATACATATATTTTAGCTCAGAGGGACCTTTTTAAGCACCAGCTTATCCAAGATTAATGTCTTTCTCTGGCTTTGATGAAACCGTTTCGGTACGGGGCGAGGCAACCTTGTTGCCATTTTAATATGGTTAAAATCCGCTGATGAGACCATTAGTTTGAGATATATTGGATAATTAAAAATCTGCCAGATATAACAACAGGTGCGTATTTATGCTCAAACAGGAAGCACAGTTGAATAATGTGACATTTAATACGGCATTGTGTTTGCGTCCAAAAATGGGCACAACCTCGTGCCAACAAAAAATGACGAAGACTTGAATCAACAAACCCGAAACCACAATGGCAAAGTCAAGAACGCCTACTAAATTATTCTATGAATTGCTTAGTTAAAATTCCTCATGTACTTGACCTTAAATTTAACTAGTGGAGAATTGTGGCTTGTATAATACAAGTTGTATATAGTAGTTCTGCTCATTAATTTGTTTGGCCATATTGGGACAATGGTAAAAATTGGAGTTGTTCAATTTAATGTTTGACTTATGGGATAGAGAGCCAATAATGGTCGGATGTCAATAACTTTGATCTTTTGGTATTTGATGGGCTGTTATATTTTTAAATTGCATAAGTGCAAATAACAATAATATGACAGGCCAGGTCACCACACTAAACTCTAATGCTTTAAGTGAGCATAAAATATGTGCAAACAAAGCGTTAAAATATTTTCATCTATGTATGTATGGTTTTGGTTTGTTTTTCGTGGTTGTAAAAAAATTGAGGGACGTATTAGTTACAGATCGCATGATTATTTCAAACTACATGATCCAGGGAAAGCTGAAGGTTAAGAAATCAGAATACCTCGTTAAAATGGTCTTTGACATCGTCATCTCCTGAAGTTTAGAATAATCTACCAGACAGGAGAAAATCTCGCATTGGCCTTATGAGAAAACCGAATATTCACCGAGTTGCACATTTATGCACATTCTGATTCACGTGTAAATTGCATAGACTTGCTTATGCACTAAAGTATTTAAATTGTAAATGTTTAGTATTGTAATAAATAGTTGCATTTTGTTATATACCTAAATAGAAATTGTCTCTGTGCATCCTTCCATTTATAGAAAAGGAACATATTTATTGATTAGTTATCAACAAGATGACTTGCATAGTGAGGGGACTTGTCTTATCGAGTATGAAAAGTTCAAGTCCTCTTACTTTGTTCAGACGTTTATCGAGTAAGGTCACGAAGTTCATCATTAAATCATAGTCATTGGTAAATAATTTGCCATTTATCAATTTGCAGCCTCCAATTCGCTCCAGAAAGAGTTCGTCTTGACGGAGAAAGTTAGCCCTGTAGTCGACAAGCGATCCTCCAAATTCCAAGACAAGAGGTATAATTTTTACAACTGGCCAAAGTATGCTTAAATTATAATTAGTGAAACTAGATAAATACATAAATGCACTCTTTATTAGATAACCCCCACCCCCCAAAAAAAATTGTTTGTGCTTGTTTGTGAAATCATTTCGTCGAATATTTTGTATATTTTAGGGTGATTTCACCTCGTTCCTCTAACCACAACTACATTTGTCCAACACAACAAATCTTCTACATTCCCGATATCACGCATTCCACTTTGGAGCAAGTCGGGGACACTTATTTGAACGTGAAGTATCTCAGCACTACCGATGACTTCAAGGAAGCTTATCCCATCAGGGGAATAGTTTACCGTCCTAACAGGCGGCTAATGGTGAATCTAGTGTGTCGTCGGGCTGGCGATGATGAGCAGCCCTTTGTCAACATAATTTTCATGTTTGTCAACAGCTCTTATAACACATTTATATGCAAGAATGCGATGGAAGCGTTGTCCCCGACCACGACGTAGTGGATTTCATGGACGTTCATATTCATGGACCAGGGTTGATGCGAGTTTGTCTTTCTCACGGAAATTTTGCAAATGTCAACGTCTTAGGGGTCGATTTTTGCGAACAACACAAACTTAATTCAATAATTAATTATCGCGAAAACAAGTTCCTACTCAGCCGAGACAGGTAAAGCTGAAGATAAGATGAAAAACCAATACTACGATTAAGTAACCTTGATGTGTTTTTTGTAGCCCTGTTTTATACCGCTGTTCTGACCATTGATATTCAACGCTCTACTGTGGAAGTACTTGAAGCATAATAAAGCTGGATAAGGTCGTAAGATATGGGTCACAGGGTGGAATAATTGGTACAAAATGATGAGCTGATTTAGAAAGTTTGACACAATGTTCTTATTCGCACTTTGATTAACAAAAATTAACAATATATAACAGCTAACGAGAACGAGTTCATTTTTGTGCATGCGAAATTAAGGTCGAATCACAGTCTTGTAACCATTAATATTAAAAACGTACAAATTGAAGTCATGTAATAAATATCAGTATGTCAAATGTACTGTATATCTAATTTAAACAAGATAATTAACCTCTCCAGTAATAAATAAAACAAAATATTCATGTAAACTTAAACGTCACTTGTCCCATTTATACAACTAATTAATTGGTAACTATTCTCCTAATTGGCTTCATTATTATTACTTTTTGAAATTTCTGCTTCCTTTCATGATATCCCCTCAGTTCGCATTCATCGTATCGCATAATAGTTTGCTGCTCGTACAGACTAGTTCAGTTCCTATTTACGCTTCATTTCATAACAATAAATATGTAGCAATGAGGAGAGAATATCACTTTACTAAATGGATAATTTAGTCAGTATTATTGGTTTTTCAGGTGATGCATACACGGTATTTGCTTTATGTGTATGTGAGATTGAGCTTATCCCAAAATTTGACCCGTTCTGTGAAGGGCTCTTCAGTTATTTTTGGCGTTTTGTCAATGTTGAGATAATTGATTTTCATTTTTCCTCCACTTGAGACTTTGATGGGGTTCCAAGGAACGTTACGGAATGTGAGACTTTCTCTGCGGAATAACAACAAAAATAAGTCAGTCAGTTAACAAATTGACTTTACCATTTAGAAGTTTGGCCACTCACTCTTGATTTGCAAAATCCACCCACAACTTGACTAGATCTAAACTCATTTTGTAATCCCTCGATTCGGGGGGAATATCGCTGATCCATGGCATTTGGAACACTGCGGAAATAGTATAGATTAGTTTAGTTTCTTTTCTGAAATATAAAAATACTATAAAAATTAAATGTTTTTACAAAGTGCGAGTTCATCGCCGTGAGAGGCTCCATAGTTTGGCAAACTGCGTCCAAGGAGAGATCGCGTAACCCAGCCTGTAATCATGAAACTTTGAGTAATCCCATTTAAATATTTTACGAATTTTGCTCCAAAAGCGGGGTGAAGTTTTTAACTAGAAGGTTGTGGGGGAGAAAGCCAACAGAGCAAGATTACAACTTACTTGAAATGACGGCCCAGCCGACCTCCATCAAACGGGGTAATGTTCCTCGAACTTCCACTATTAGTACAATAATTCAAATTTATTGACCCCTTGTTACTACTATTTAAATAGTGTTTTTTGTTGTATTTGTTGACTTACTGAAGAGATTTGCCACGGTCCATTCGCCAGGATAAGAGTAAAAGTAAACGTAAGTGGGGTTCCATTTGGCATGGAGTCGGATACAGTGATGCATGTCAGTAAAGAATCCACGATCACCAATCATGTTTGTGTATTTGTGAATGTTGTCGAAAGTTGTGACGTCTTTGGTATCTTTGAAGTAAAAATCTCGGATTTTTTGAGCTATCTCGTCATTCTTTTGAAACAAGAGGAGCTTGCTGACAAAATCACTCCAATCATTTTGGGCGAGGTTTTTCAAGGTTTGATTTGCCATTATAGCTGCAGACGTGATCAAACCCTCTTCAGAATTAACCCCTGCGATCCAAGGGAGTCGAGAAAAATTTCCAGACTTTATAATTTCTTTGGGATGTTTGGTTAGGAAGGCTTGGTCATCATCGATGACTTCAATGGTTGGTTTGAATATTGTGACATGATCTCTGAGTGGATCCTAGAATATTTGTATCATGGTTGTAAATACGACGATTGCAAATAACTAATTTGTTCAATAGTAACCTACCAAAACTTCCATATGAACTCCAACAATGTCTGATGCATCCAACTTCTTTAAACAATCAACCATTGCTCTGGTATCATTCGTAGGACATCCGACCTGTGCACCCAACCTCTGTGCTTGAGGTCCGGGTTGATTATTAATTACCCAAAAGTGAGTTCTGCAGGATTTTTAAAAGGAAAATGTGTAAATAACTAAACACCGAATTATTATTATTAAAGTTCACTTACCCTGTCCCACTTTCCGAAATTGCCCGATGAAACAAACCTATTATTTTTATGCACAAAGGATAAGATAAATAAACAAATTCTACTTTATGCAATCCAAAACATCCTGTACCTTTAGACATTGGTGATAACATGTGGAAATGAGAACTAACTCCGCCAGCAGATTCTCCAAACACTGTAATTTTGTCGGGGTCCCCTCCAAAGCTTTCAATGTTTTCTTTAACAAATCTCAACGCCATAGACTGATCTTTCAAAGCCATATTTCCACGAACAACTCCGTCTCCAGTTGATAAGAAACCCATTGCAGCCAGCCTTATTAAAAAATATTATTATCGTTGATATGTGACTGATGATGTAATTTATTTGTATTTTCTACAGTTTGAGGTACATACCGGTAATTGATGGTGACGAGGACTACGTCATTATCCATGAAGTAGTGGGGTCTCCAAAGATCAGATCCGCCATTAAGGTAGAGGCCTTTATACGTATAACATAGTTAAGTAGATGTTATGGTTAAGAGAAAATTAGTGACCCAAATTATATTTTTAAAATCCATATGTACTCACCACCATGAATGTAAATCATGACCGGAAATAGCTTTTGATCATCATCCTCCTTTATCTAAACATTCAAAAGTTTAGCTCATCATTCGTCAAATCATGTTTCATATACGATTAAGAAAAATTACTTTTGGTGTAAAAACGTTGAGAAAAAGACAATCCTCATCTCCCATGATGATCCCGAGCAGAAGTTCGAGCTGGATGCATTGAGCCCCATAACTTCCAGCGTCTCTGACACCTTTCCATTTTTCTGGACGTTGTGGTGACTGCAAGTTAAATTATACAAGTGGACGTTTTAAAATGTGTTTATTTTAAATGGAAAACACCCCGCAGATAACATTCTCCGCTAATATAATCATGGAGGTATGTGCGTCAAAGGATAATCTAAACTGTTTATAGACAAACAGACATGTGTGTAGTAGGTGGATCATCATCCTGCATATAAAATCAGTGGTCCAATAACATATACTAAACCAGACCTTGTTTACGTGATTATTTCTGTTTTCCTACATTTCGTCAAGTTTAACAACCTAAATTCGGGTCGTGCCAAGTTTCATTAAAAGCATTCATTTTTTGCAAAGCAAGTTTCCGGAAGGATCTATAGCACAGAAATGCAACAAGTACAAACAAATGCGTAAGTAAGTTTTGGGAAAAAAAACGCATTTTAGTGGTTGTACAGAGTTGTAATCTGACCTCATGATGAGTACATAATTGACTAATTGACTGTGACGATAGTATAAAGATTATGGAATCCACAAAACTAGTCGACCTCGACTCGTCTATATCTGTAGGCGTTTTTATGGAATGGTACATATAATTCCTTAGTCGTACAGACAATCGTCCAGTCATTTTCTTCAAAATTACAAATGAACTACAAGTTACATGAGTAATCGCATAATTTGGCGAAGGTATGTGAGTTATGTTTTTATGAGAAGGTGAGTCTTTTCTTTGTATATGGAATTATGGATGGCTGGAGGAATGCCGCTTTTATAGTGTAATAAATTCACCAGAATTCATATATTTTGCACGTGTTAGAAATCCAGTCAATTATTTCGCGAATATAAAATGTCTCAACATACTTTGCCAAAATTAATACACATCCTCCTCATTTTGCATAATACTTTATGGTCACACAACAATTCTTCTATTAAAGACACTTGGCATGATCAGCAGACTACTTAAATTAATTCAGTCCAATTGATGAAGCGAATTTATTAATATTTGTTTTATTGGTCATCATCACTCGCAGTCACTCTAATCAATGAACCCGTCATTCAAAGTCCATGCAGCCAGTGTTTTATTGATAATGATTGATAATGACATCGCCCTCTCCACCATGTGCCAGGGATGATAAAAAAGCATGAATTTAATTCCCTCGACAGGAAATAGTATTTAGTTTGTAAGTAACTGCTCTGGCTAAATAATTTTAGTACCTACCTCAAACCTTAATTCCCCAGTGGGAGGCTTCGCGTATGGGATAGCGAGAAATTCGAAATAGTCTCTGCCTCCTCGTGACACTGACTTAATTCCCTTCAGTCCCCCGTACTTGGTCACCACCGTCGGTCCACCGAACGACTGACTCGTCGTGATCCTAAAGAATTCCACAATTTTAAACAAATCCTTAAATATTCCAGCAGATATATGCATGGTTAGTATAGTTACGTGTAGTAATAGGCGATGGCCAGGCCGAATATGGCCACGAAGACCTTCTTCTCCCCCATGATCCGCATCTTGACCACGTTTTTTTTAGAAAACTAAACTATAACTAGACCTACAAAACTGGGTGGTCTTATCTGTACCACCACCACTGTGGATTTTCCTCTTTAAACCGATTCATGTATTGTTGCCTGTGTAACGAATTCGTTCGTATTCAAACTAAAAATCACGTTATTAAACAACGCGATGGATGAAAATTGACAGTTCCAAGAAGAGATAAGCATTCACTAGTACAATACTTTGGTTTTCTTTTTTTGTTTGTAAACAAGGTGGGCATTCCAATTACACATATTCAACTCCTACTTGCTCGCTTTTAAATACTTTCAGTGACAGCCGGTTAAATTATTTTCCCCGATTAGAGTTCTTCTACTAGTTTGTGAATTTCCAAAGAATTTCCAAAGAAATTTTCCCAAAGGAATTTCTTTTAGATGCTAAAACACTTCACTTCACCGGAGAATTCCAGCAGAAACCTTCTCCTCCAGAAGACTTCCAGTTTAGTGAGCGGAGGCAAAGTATTGACTGGAAGCTTTCCCACCCAACTTTAGAAATATATTGGTGGAACATGGTCTTGTTAAGCATAGCAATTTGTGCACAGACCAAACCATGGACCAAGCTCACGTATAAAAAGAGGAAAAAAAGGGTTATTCTGCTATGTTGGCTTTAACCGAGTGTGAGATATCTAGCAACACTATACGACGAATGAGGTTGCAATGCACGCTTGGCGAGAATGATCCTCAAGTCAAGTGGTGGATGGTATAAGCTTGATGATTATAAAACCATTTATTATATTACATACGCTTAAAATCAGCATGTGGACCTCGTAAATGCAGAAAAGACATGAGAGTTTTAGTAAAAATCTAGCTGGATGTAAAATGGTTTATGACAGAAATGTTTCTTTTTTTATAAAACAGGAATACGATAGTACACACGGAAAAGTGTGTCTGTTTTTTGGGGAAGGAAATTCTCTGAAGAGGGTAAAATTTTGACCCAAATATTACCCTATGAATATTGTTAGCATCATCTCTTACTATTCAGTTAGGCTTTGGTTAAATGCATACGATGATCTAAATCGCAATATAATTACTGCATTGCTGTTAAAGTTAACGCAAAATATACCACGTTATTTTCACTACACGGAAGGATATGCTTACAGGGATGGGCAATCCCAACAATTTCGATGGATTACGGATTACAGATTAATTGATTTAAAAATTTACATGGGATTACGGGATTGGGATTACTTCGTTCCGGAAATACTGTGGATTACTTGTTGGATTACTGGGATAAATTAATGACGTGGATTACGGATTACGGATTACAGTAATCAGATTACGGATTACTATCTGGATTACAAAAATCTATATTTATGTATTAAGGGGTGAAGAGAAGCGAAATCCCTTTATGGATAAGTGTTGGCCGTCGGTCTGTATCCACGATAACTTTAGAACGGTTTCGAATTTCAACATGCGATTTTCGACAACGGGTTTCTAATGTTTGAGGTACGGATGAGTTAGAAAATGGGAATTGTAGGTCATAAGGTCCCAGTGCCACGGTGACGACGCCACGGGTCAAACGTGTCGAATTTTTGTTTGCCGCTTTAGACGTAGTTTCGGGCGAGGATTACAAAAATCTTCATAGTTTTGACGTGACACGAGTCATGTCACATGACCGAGTGACCGTGTCGACGACGCAAAAGTCGAAAATGTCGAATTTTTGTCTTGATCCTTTTAGACGTAGTTCTAGGCGGGGGTTTAAAAAATAAAATCTAGACATAGTTTTGGTATGCCATGACCGGGTGACCGTCTCACTCCACCCCTTTGATATATTTCGTTTGCAACGGTTTATTCTGAAATTCAAAATCTGAATAGCGTCACACTTATATTCCATGATGATGATTAGTTCAAAAAACAAGAGCTTGGAATGATTCATCCGACAGTCGGTTTCTTAGGGCAGACAAAAATGTGTTGTAGTAAATAGACCCCTCTTAACTGTTCCAAAATTCTATAAACTTTGCACCTCTGCTGAAGAATCCAGAAGGTAGTTTAAGAACTCAAGTTCTGGAAGCGACTCAGACTCAGAGAAGTTGCAAGATGGAGCTGTCATGCCGTTTACATAAGCAAAGTAATCCAAAGTAATCCGTAATCTGATTACATTTTCCAATTTCGTAAATTGGGGATTACGGATTACACATAATTTCCAGACCTAAGTAGGATTACGGACTACGGATTACTTTAAAATGTTAATTTTTCGTGGATTACTGGATTACGGATTACATTCAATGTAATCTGATTACTTAATCTGATTAAAGTAATCCTGGGATTGCCCATCCCTGCTTATAAAGGGATGAATCATGCATTTGCAGAATTATTAGAGTGTAATGCTATACATGGTATAATTGTTCCTCCTGAAATGCGTGGTGATGAGGTCGGTGATGATGGTATTATCGGTGTCATCAGAATAATGGGCATTGCCATAAGGACTAAAATAATATATAGCCAAGTAGATATTAATACAACTTGGTGTTATTACCACGCTAAACGAACCCATACTAAATTATTAAGCGTACCAGAACAGCTTCTTTCTTACGTACGTACGTATTTATGCATTTTAGGTAGGATGACGATGACATTGAAACGGTCCTCCACCTTTTCCATTAGTTACGCCCATTGGGTTTACAGATTTGCCAGAGAAGGAAGGAATGGAAGGAATGTTGGTAATCCTTATACTTTGGAATTCTATTTTACATAAATTTGTATACGTGGCACTACTAAAGAACCTGTGAGACACCTCGTAACAGGAATCACCCTTTGTATTAATAACTTATTTTGGCGTAGTCAGTGTACCAGTTTGCTCCACGTTAAAAAATTCTACCTGGACAAATTGTGTGAGCAATGTCTCGCTTTACTCACCTTTTCTTTTCCTCTTGCATTATTTCTTTGTGATCTGGTCATGGAGGAGGAAGACATGATGTTATAACGCATAAATAATACAGGCAACATGATTCCCTTTTGTTCTTTGTTTGTCGATCGAATTGGTCTGAGAGGAGATCGTTAGTGACTTGTAATGATGATGACTTTCTGACCTTCAAACCTCAACAGATATCACTAGCGAGGTGGTGGTGGATGCATCAGCATGTACGCCAGTTAAGTTAGTCCATAATTTGTATAACTTAGCTTGGATACTATAATTGCATAAATTCCAAGATACATATATGTACCTACTATTAAACTATATTATGTAAGTAATGATGTGAATAATTATTATCAGGGCATGCAATCTTGGAGAAATAAATAAATAAAGTTTGATTGCGCAAAAAGAAAGCTGAACCAGAGAGCTATGCAATTAAGTACTTATATTATGTCTTACCATACTAATACCATAATCGAACTGATCACAAGTTCAAAGTCGTCCAAATATGATAATCAGCTTGATAAGGGAAGGATTGAAGTTTGCAATGTGCGAACACACCCAAATAAATAAATTCAGATAACCCATGGCCAATACATAATACCAGTCAGTCTGATAATTTTTAAACTTTGATCTCTGTGCATGGAATAACACAGCCTATGGTGAATGACGATGGTAATTTAGGGTTTCTTTAAAGAGGTCGATCATATGTACCAGTTGACTGGACGTTGATAGTGTGGGTGGCATGATTTTATTATTCTCCATGAAATAGATTAATTTTATGGGTGTCGTCTAGTGTTTAGATTAAGATTTTTTTGTCTAGATGAGCATACGCTGCTTACACATTACGAGTGAATAATTAATTTAAACACAGGAAAGTTTGTGAGAATTTTTTCTTTTAAATTTAGAAATTAAGCCTTAATTTTAAGACCAATAATTATTGAAATACTTGATCAAATGAAACTGAATTAGTTGTTTCTAGAATTGACTATGAAATTCGCAGTGGAAATGAATGCGTGCTTGTCATATTGACAAAGAAAAAAAATAAGAACCACACACAATATGATATCGCAAATCCCAACCAGACTTTGGCTACTTTGACCTATGCATGACTTCAGCCGAATCAATCAATGAATTTTATTATCAATATTTATTATTATGAATTCTCTTTTTCTTAATGAGATCAGAGGCTAGGAGGTTTTATCTGACTATTACTGGATTGGTGGTACATAAGGCAAAAATGCCAAGGTGAATGAAATTTGACTCCGAGTCTGAAAATGACTAAAATGCATGTAACTGTATATGTATATGTATGTATCTATTTAGGACTATGAATTCATGTAAAGTAAAGTAAAGCAAGGGATGCAAATAATGTAATGCGAATCTTCAAATTTTGCATATGGTTTCAAAGACTACTTATTTATTTGCAACCAATAATTGACCAGGAATGACAAAAATTTATATGAAAATACAATCGACTTACTAGTTCATATTAGAAGACTTATATTAAAGAATATTATTGACTTAAGATAAATTATCACGGGTATAACTCAAATCCCCAACTCGTTTATAATATCCTAACCTTTTCCTTAACTGAAATATCTAACTTTAATTATTGATAGAAATAATCTAGTTCGTGAAGGTAACACATTTAGCAAAGCTCAAAATTGTTCATGGAAAACAAAATTAATTGATGAAATAAATTAGCTACTTAGGTGAAAAGATTTGAAATATTAAAATTCATTGGGAACTAATTAATGTAGATCGCCGCCCCCCCCATTTCAGTTCTTTTTCTCTCCACATCCGTTCTCTGCCTTGTCGCACGTTTTGGCGCAAGGTTTGTTGGCGCAGGATTTGGCGCAAGAACTGGCAAGAGCTGGAACTCCGGTCTGGTTGATGGGAAGGACTTTCTCCTTGCCGTCAGTGATCGCCTCCGCGCGTGGCACCGTGATGACCAGAACGCCATCCGAACTCAGGTTGCAGACGACCTTGTCCGACTTCCCGTTTTCTGGGAGGAGATAGCGACGCTTGAACTGACGAGAGATGTAGCCGTGGGGGTCCTCCTTCTCCTCATGCTTTCCCTCGACGACGACGTAGTTATCAACGGTCGTCACTTGGACTTCTTCAGGTTGAAATTGATGAACATCCAACTTGACCTATGCACAAAAAAACATAGAAAAAATATTAGTTTCCAGTTCATTTCACAAGTAATTTCATCCCCTTAATTAATCGACAGTATAATCATTATTTAAGTTACCTCAAACTTGTCCTTGGTGCACTGGACTTCAGAAAATCCACTTTGTTGGGGGGTGTGGAGGCGGCGTGGGCGTTGATGGTGGGTGAGGGCCCAGCCGGGATGAGCTGGCAAAATGGGACACATCGGAGGCAAGTCGTAATCCATCAGACCAGTTCCAAAGTTCTGGTTGAACATGCGGAAAGGATGGTCGTAAAAGTTGTCGTAAGATCGGATGGGAAACATTTTCTGTAAAAAGTGAAAAGAAAACGAGACAAAAATTAGGATGTGATTTAGGCAGTTTGCAACAGGTTTCTTTTTGTAACCTTTTCCTACAATTTTTAAAATGCACAAAATCTAACTTACCAGTTCTAGTTCTTGAATGAAATCGAACGAGAGAGTATTATTAATTAAACTGTATTTTACTTGGTAGTTTTCTATTGTTTAAATGTTTGAAAGTTTGTGAAGCTTTTGTGAACTGTCAAATTCAGACTGTGACTCGGTGTGTATCACAATGTGGCTTTTATAGCGGAAGCCCTATACAAGAATACGCTAGAACTTTCACGTCCCTACCGGACAAGCGCAACGTGCAAAGATCGATGTACACCCGGGTTTACTAACATTACAATATGCATGTACCATTGCCTTTCTCAACAACAAGATACTGCCAAACATAGCGTTTTCTGTTGCATAACACTGCCTGCAATGGGTCACGTAGTCAGCAAAGCATGTGCAGAAACGTGGTTTAGATCAAGAGTTTACAGAAAAACTGTGAGCGTGAGAATGCCGTTGTTGGTTGTGCGTGTATGGTATCATGTATGACATGCTGTAATTTGGTCATATCAACATAAACATGTTTTGATTAGCATGCATATTATTGCATTTTTGCATTGTCTTTCCTGGTTTATTTGTTTGTTTGAGATGCTCAATAGTTTAAGTTTTTGCCAAATATTACTATTAATATTACGAAATTGAAAACCTATGTGACAAAATATTCAAAGTTTTGCACACATAATTAGACTAAATCATTCAAAATTCAGATCGTTCTTTCAGGTAAAATTTTATTGCACAACTATAAATATTCAAAATTATTGTACTAAGAAGGAATAGTGTCATATTTACTATTACTTTTGCTATTTCCCCCAAATTTCATTATTATTCGTCACATTTCTTCCGGAAGACATGGAATCCTGTGGTGGTGGGTCACCATCGTCGACAACTTGAACCTGTAAAATTCTCCTGACCTTGACAATCTTCCTCCTGTGGACTGCAGCCTTCGCGGCCGGGATGATGCATGGGATAAGGATAAACGTGACCACAAATATCGTCGTATAAACCCCACTCGTCCATCGATTCAGGCAGGAATGCGTGAAAGAGGCGACATTGCCGAAAATAATGAAAATCGCCGCCTCACACCACGAATACCTTATTAAATAAAAAACATTTTTTTACTATTATCCCATCATAAATATTTATATAAAATAGTTGCCCAAAAAGTTAATTTGAAATACCAAAATAACCAGAAAGGGTCCCCCACAGGAAAGAAAATAGTTGCGAGATAACCGACAAAAATGCGACCTAGTGGAACTCGGTCGATCGGATGACTAGATGAGACCCCAAGTTCCGGCTGGTCTCGATAATGCTCGATATTTCGTAAAGTACTCCTCTTCATTGCACAATAATCCGTGATGGTGAAAATTATTCGAGGAAAGATGAGGAGACAGATGCCCGTGAAAGTGGACCATCCCGCAGAAGAGGTCGACGAGGAGGGAAAGTCTTCGGAGATATACTGCGAATAATTTTCTCTGGTGCTGTTATCATTTGAGAGACGGAGAAGGTGGTTGAGATCGAGATGGTCCACGATACAACGGGAACCCACCATCAGGAAGGTTATCGCCATGCATCGAGACCCTGGTAAAAATGGAATTGGTTTTTACGGTAAAATTTTTAAAATTTTCATTTTATGCGGTTTTTGAGCTGGTGTATTTTATTTTTACCCAGACTAGAAAACATTCTCATTCCGACAAATATTCTCGTAAAGGGGAGATAAGCTGCCTTACTGGGAGCTTCGTTTAACCGAGAGTCCGTCTTAGACGGAAGATTTGCATTAGTCATGACCACAAGAGAGATGACAATATTTGCAAATGTGAACCATACTGGAGAGAACATAAAAGTAGTAATTAGTTTCATATGCATTTTACTTTTTCACTTTTTGTGTAGTTCATATTTGCCTTTGTCTGAAGAAGTGTCATGCAAATTCTCCATTAAAATGATCAGTTGTAACGCAGCTTGTGGCGCAGCTTGGAAAAAGCTCTGAACTCTCATCACGCATCTGGAGACTTCCAATATTCTAAAATATTGCTGAGACTGCATTCCATCGGAAAACGCTTTTTTGGCCGAGATTGCTCCTTCCAGAGATCTACATATTTCATAAACACCGTCCAAGTTTAGATTTTGTACAGTTTCCTAAACATGGAAAATGGTTTCATTTACACAAACGACGAAGCCGCTAATGGAAAGCAGTTGACCAAAAGTCGCATCCTCTTTCCTTTCCGGAACGTTCGATCAAGTTGGTCTGGCCTGCAAGAAAAGAATTCCCATTTTTTTAAAATCCATACAAAAGATCATCCCATTACTCGAGTTACTGAATAAATCCAAACTGATGCAGCATGGAAACAGCCCCTGTCGCAATTAGCGTCACGGTGAAGAGACACCCCCATTTTTGTCCATCTCGGTAGTGCCACACCGTCAGGGTGCAGTCAGTCACAAGTTCTCCCAAATGGATAATAAAAACAATTATGGCGAAAATCACGTCACTTCTGGTCACTTCAATGTCGTTCGGTAACGGAAATAAATTTTCGTCTGAGATTCCACTGTAGAAAAATCCATTATTTCTTCGACCACTCCCATGAGAGTCTTGGGATCCTGAAGATTTAATCGACACCTGGTCAGGGTCACCCCTCCCACGAGTGGGCAATTGGGTAAAATCTCGGCGAAACTCGGTGTCACTTTCACTATCATCTTCCTCGTTAATCCGCTCTCGAAATCCGATCCTTCCATTACAACCGGAAGAATGTGGTTGACTATCACTCGTTGTTGGTCCGTATCTCAAACTGGCGTCATATTCATGGTCAAAATTATTCGAAAACTGGCCCGGTTCTGATAAATGGCTGAATATTTTTTCCGATGAGGTTGATGGAATAGGTTCGTCATCTTTGTTGAGAGAATATGACACTTTTTTCCCACTTTTGTTACCACCAAAACCATTTTGATAATCGTAGTCCAACGGAGATGACGATTTGTACTTGTGCGTGGCTAGAATTGATTTTGGGGGTTGATTGTGAGGCTTCTGAAAATGCGTGATTTCCTCAAGTTGGATAATATTCTGGAAGGGATTTGTATCGAGATTATTCATGGTTGCAGACAGTCAGTGGTACACAGCTTTTGGATATTATTACAGTGTTGAAATGGTCACAAGTTTTTGACACCATCACAGCATCACAACTTTATTATTACAGTATGGCCTCCAGATGATGGCATTTTACAAGGTCTGCTAGCTTTTCTGGCTATATGGTATCATCTATATCGTCGTTTTTTATTCACTTTTTATGCAACTTTTTTACGATGAGATAGAAGATAGGAAGAAATATCTTTTATTTAATAAGGTATTACTTGTTCCGACGGCCACAAAATTAAGACCCAATTACACAACGCATTCATCTTTATGCTAGGCCATTCGCAGTCTCACATATAATATTTTAACAAAGCCGTCTGCTTAAGCGATGTGCATATATGTATTTATAGCTCAATTTATAGCTAGCATTGTTAATGCACAAACTCTTGAAACTCAACTACGTAATTAAGATTAAGTGAGTGCCAACTTTATTAGATTTAAATTGAAAATAAATAAAACTTATCTACACAAAAAAAACTTGTAAACTTTTCATGTTACGTAGCACATCTAGTCGCCAAACTCACTATGTAATCGCAGATGTGTGTTTCAGAATAATCCAAAACTTTCCCACTTTAAGATTATCCGTCAGTATTATTATTTTCTGGTATGACCTCAGTTACACTTGGATGTTAGGTTGATATTTAAATTCCAAACAAGCTCGTTGTCAAACGTCTCAGACTAAAGTGCAGCAAAAATATTTCAGTTTATTTTTTGCATGCATACAGCTTCATACACATATTTACAATTTAAATGATAATGTGTTGCAATAAATTAAATTAAGGTAAAACAATGCGCAGCAGCAAAGTCGCAGTCGTCGCGAGGTGTGGTATCTTACTTATTATAAGTAAGATAGCAATAAGTAGTTGACTGGCAAAATATTTTTTAACACACCTTCATCCAGCAGTAAAGAAAGATGTGTGACACACTAAAAAAATAAGACCAAACAAAACTGGTAACCAGTAATAATATTGTAATTCCACTCGTGTCTTGGTAAAAAAGCACGCTACACAAAGATACCAATCAAGATTCACCAGCTATAACTACCCAGCACACCAAACCACCCAAGACAAAAGAGTCATGACATGGCTTAACTATTATCTCTGTACGAAAAAGAAAAGTGGATAAAACGCACGACCAAATAGCAACGAGATATATTTCGACTTTATAAAAACAAAAAGCGAAATATGGAACACATCTCGGCAACAAAACTGACTCTGCTCGTGGCAAAACACATAAATAAATGATGATGATTGTTGACTATGCATGGATAAAAACCTAGTATTATCACCTAATAATTTTTTTTATTTCGGCTCGTATATGCATTATATAGTTTTTGTCATGACCTAATATACATGTGTGCATACATACACATCAAAGTTTATAGCTATGTATGTGCATAAGGTTGTGTGCAATCAAGTCTCATGGTTTATTTGCAGGTGAATTTAATATCAGGTAGCGAGCGAGGAGGATGATTGTGTTGGTAAATATTTGTGTAAAAAAGGAAGCCTATGTAATATTGGTGAGATGGACTCTTGATTTAATACGAGAATATGTTGCAGAAGTCAACATTCTGCTGGACAACTAAGGCGATTATAATAATTGACGATGGGCCGGATAGGTACGGAAACCGGAGGTGGACGCTGAAAAGGGGTGAGCTGTGCAAAAAATTCCATCCGTTTACTAATTACCTCATTTATTACAGTACAGCCAACCATCACCTAATTCTGTCGAGGAGACGAGCATACATACATATTTTATCGTTGCAAACATTATCATCATATAAATAATTAGTGAGTGAACAAACCTGCATAGTAATTTTTGACGTGCTAATCTCTTACTTTGTGTGTCGATGAATTCATTATGTCCTCTCTTATAAATAAGCAAGCACGACAAATAAATAGTCATACTTTTTGTAGCCCAACAAGTAAGGACTTAAATATCCTCACTTTGTATTTACGATAATTCAAAAACGGTTTGGACATTTTTGATTGCTTCATGGTTTCAAATAAATGTTGGAACATTGTACCAATAAATTATTCGCTATTGACAAGGGTAATCCCAAAATGTCTTAATTTATTTCTTCATATTGGCTCGCGAAATGCGGACTAATAGGTAATGCTAATTTTGTGTTACACATTTTCGCACTTGTACTTCATATTATTTACATGCATGAATTTGTACCTGTCTGTATAAATAATATAATTGAATGTGAAATGATAATAGACATTTTGGTATTTGGTTTGGCAAGAAATGATCTCTTTTACTCAGATACAATGCTCCCATCCTCATTCTCAACAACAAAAATACGTCTAAATCTTACTTACGTACATATACATGTATCATCAGTCAATTCATATTTGAACCTTGGAATTACATCACTATTTTATTATTACTGGTATCGTAATTAAAAGGGATATTAAATTTTTAAGTGGAAATTATTATTCGTGTTACTTTTGGGTTATTAATATTAAGATCAATAAAAGATGATACTTCTTTTATTACGTTGAGGTTTGTAAAGAAGACGAAAACCCGATTAAAAAAACCAAGACTTTTGGATGTATTGTGAGTTTCGGATATATAAAAAATAGGCTGCCTTTTTTTGCGATGAGTAATTTATACAGGAGGCTGAGCACTCATTCGAATCGACGAACGTCAGTAACGATAATAATAATAATAACAATAATAATGGGTCGAACATTATGTATGTATGTAAGCATGACAAGACATACATAATCGATCGACTACTAAATATAAAATTATTCTGGAGGTTGTTTTTGCACTTGCATGCAACGCAACACCATAATTGAAATTGATCAAACTATTCTTATTTATAGCGTGCCTAATTTCCAGGTATAATTAATAATTAAGAAACTGTGAATTACACACGCCTCCAGTTATACAATCATCACGCACAAAAATTTTACCAACAAATAGGGCAAGTAATTAGGTACAAAGTGAGGATTTGGTTTGTTTTATGGGCCAAAACCAAGTTAAAAACAATCTTATTATTACATAATTGTAGCAGGCTCACATTTTGAGATGTGCTCTCACTCTCAATAATAGGTGATAGTCCAGCATGACAGCATTTAAAAAATGTGTAGCTCAATTAAATAATAATTAAATATGTAATTAATTAAATTGTGACAAGACTTATACACCGTAATGATTTAAAAAATATTGAGAAACACATGTAACACTCTATGCACTATCTTGACAAACAAACAATCATTAACATTAACGGCAAGGTGCTTAGCTAGCCAAAAGATGATTAGATAACGACTTATTTAGTTATTAGCCTGCGCATAGAACGAGAACCTAATACAATTTCAATTTTCTTTAGGTTGTTTCCATTTGACCATCCCACGTTATTTTCAGACAAACTCGGTAAAATCTTCAAAAAGCCGTTTCATGGAGGTGATTGGAAGCAAAGGTGCTTCGTTTGACAATTCCTCAGAACTAGAAAGTCCACTGTCCGGGAAAAGACGAGATCGTAGCCGTTTGATATGTCGTAATCGTTCGAGCCAATTCGAAGCGTAGGGGTCGGCATTTTTAGCTTGCATTTTTTGATAAATCACAGACGCCAACTGAACAAGGGAAAAATAATTTAATCATTAACTTCACTATGTATAAAACTTGATTTACTTATAAATTATTATATTATTTTTTACATTGGCGTGAAGAGCAAGTTGTCTAGCCATAATGGGAAGATTCTGATCGGAAACAATCTTTGCTTCGGAGTGACCAATGTGATCAGCAAGGATTGGCAATGCTGATTTCACGACGACACGATTCGTTCGGTGATCCAACGGCTGGATAATCACCCAAGCGTAAAGAAATTGCGCCTAAAAACAGAGAGAAACCTTGTCTTGTAAATCATATTGATTATGAGTGATGGCAATGTGGGCACCTTTATGGTAGAGATATCGAACTCTTCATCACTGTTATTATACACAATCGTCACATAATCATTCCCGATATGCCTCTTCTTGCAATTTCCTTGTGGATCATTCACTTTATTTGGCATCAAGGTGGCCACGTGGAATATTACCTGTTATTATTTTTAAAATTTGAAATATATATTCTCATATCTAAGTACTTAAGACAATTTTGGTTAATAGTAAAATGGTTAGCAATTTGTAAACATTTTTTTTTACTTGCAACTACGAAAAATATTACAGCAATTAACACTAACTGACTAACCTGCATTACATCATCCTGCCAAATCGAAGCAAAATCGCCATCGTCCCCGTCTTTTGACAATCCGCCCATGTAATTCTTTTGTGGATCGATTTCTTTAAGTTTGATCAAGGAACCCAATCCTTGCAGAAAATCTCGATATCGTGAAGAGCCGTAAAGATTTTGAAAAATAGCCGTTTCATTTTTGGACTGACTAGGACCAACGTACACCACGCCAATTTTATGAGTTTCATATGGAGGGATATAGTCCAGAACCTGTTCAAAATGAAGGTATATATTATCATACTATCCTACTTTCTACACAAGCAAATAGCTGTGAATTAAGTGAATAATTCTTCTTACTCTTAGACTTTTAGCTGTAGATTCTTCAGAGGGAAGTAAAATAGGTCTCTCGCCCTTTCCAACAATTCCTTGAGAACAAAGTTGCAAAAAGACGAATCCTGGAGTGACTCCTGAGCGTACACCAGATTCAGGCTGTCCACCAGCTCGAGCATCGCGTGATACAGATTCGCCATTTCCAAGTGACAACATTCTTCGAAATTGGTTACGAGCCGCAGGCATCATTACCTATCACAAATGAAAATGAGAACAATAAGTTACAATAAGTATCTCACGTTACATATTAACTGATAATGTACGCACCGAGATCGTAGAGACCCTATCGCGTTTAATAGGACCAATGATTTCAGGTTTAAGAGCTTCTGGACTACCAGTCAAACTACCGGAGCGTTGGTGTTGTTGAGTATTTTCTTCCGGGATTGCTTCATAGCTTCGTCTGAATGGAGATGTGGTACCCTTGATACCGGGCCCTATGGGATTCATTGGCGGGGGCAATTCTTTATTAGTATCTTTCCTTTCTTTTGGACTAGTGGATTGTTGCTGTGATTGGCTATTAGATTGAACAGAAGATGTTTGGAATGCACCTTCTTGGGATGATTCGGAATTGGGGAAGGATTGCTTAGATGATTTAATGAGAGGCGAGGCAAATGTAACAACGGACATGATTTCTTCCTCGTCTTGTTCCTCAATATCTTTTTGAAGGGTCATATGTGAAGATTTCCATGTGCTGGATGACATTTCTGGCGATGAGTTTGAACGACAGACTGGATTTTTCCGCCTAATGTTATCTCCGTCAGCGCCAGGAGAATCCGGAGTTGTGGGGGTGCCAGGTGTGGGCGAAATAGTTCCCCCACTACCTGCCAGTACAGAATCTGTAATACATAATATCGAATGTAATTAGCAAATAATAAACAAATTTTTATTTTGAAACAAAAACAAACCTTGAGACACTGATGTTTGCGAAATTAACAAAGGTTGCTGACCATGTGTTGGAGACGAGAGCGTAGAACTTGTCGTACTCGACATGAAGTTATCAGCTTGACAGGGTTCCACAACATTTTGCAAGTAAATAGACGAGAGATCCTTGTATGGAATGCCTGCCGTGTTGTTATTTCCAGTGTGATTCTGAACTCGCATCATCCACGAAGTATTGCCGGTAGGACTGCGAATCAAGATTTCAGCCCATCCAGCACACCAACAAGAACACAGAAAGGTCTCGCTCTGCAAAAAAAAAACAACCAGTTATATTTAACTGCATATTTCAATCATGTTGTGTGGACATAACGGCAATAAATAATTACGGACCTTTGTTTTATGCGAATATTCAGAAATGAAAGGAGAGCTACCCCCAAGAAGTCCAGACCCAATGTTTCCTTCTTCACCATCAGCACCATGATTAATCAATTTGTTCTCCAATTGCAAATCATCTTTCATTTCTGTCTTTCTATCCTCAACTCCACCAACCGAACAGTCGTTGATTCCAGGTTTTCCAGAATCTCCAGTTTGGGGATACTTTTGATAAGCACCTGCACCTGCAAAAGCCGACACATGTCTTCTTCGTGCCAAATTACTTTGGTTTTGCGATCCAGATGTTGTAGTTGTAGTACGAACAGAGAGACTTCGTGAAAGCGCAGGGGTTGCCGTTGCATCATGGGATGCTCTTTTGCTGTCCTCTAAGCTCTTTTGCTTCCGACAAATAAGGAAACACTTGTCGCAAACGCCGTCCTTGAGTTCCTTTTGAGAACAACCACTTGTCGTGATTGTAATAATTCGGTTATCAATTAACCATGATTGAGAAATTCCACCCTCAACTAAAAAGTTTGTGGTTGGGAATCTTGTCGGAAGGGCGGAGCAGTCAGCAAATGCATATCGCATCATAAAATCCAGACAAGTTTCGGTCAACTCGTGATGAAATGTTTGTAATGATTTGTCAGCTGCATCTTTGGAATCGAATGAGGTCAGCCGTTGCCCCACAACGGCTTGAGTATGACCAGATATGGGTCGTTCTCGGCGCTGATCTGTTTGTCTCCGATCGGTCAGACTAGAGCTACGTTTCCGGTTGGACGAGTCTTCATTTTGCAATCCTAGTGATGATTCATAGCGACGATTACCCTCCTCCAGGGGACCCCACACGTTGGATTCTAATCCTTTAATGATGAACCCGACAAATTGTCGCCTGCACAAAAATAGAACAATTAAATTAATTAAATAGTAGAATAGTACAATTTGGTGATAGAGAAGAAATGCTAAGAGAAATTATTTTATAATTTATATGTATAGGTTAATTACCGAAAACTAAAACGGCATTTCAAGAACCATAATGCAATGACGTGATGTGCCAAAGAGACTCTGAGGTAAACACAAATATAAATTCATAAGTCTCATTATTATTATTTAAGCATACAATTACTTGATGTGATGCGTAATAAATACAACTAATTGCGTAACTTACGTGTACTGGTTGAATTTGAACGGGTTGGTGTATGGGAGTGCAATCGCGAAGATTGACATGTATTGGACATCCACAAATGAGGCGAACACGCGAGGAAGGTGTATCAATGTCGACAAGAATTCTAAAACGGGGATGGCGATATCAAACCTTGGTGTGATTTTTGACACAGCGAGTAAAACATCGGGAAGCAACTTATGCATCGTGTCTTTCATCTCGAGGGTACAGACCGTCAGGGCGAGAATACACATTCGACATATTTTTGACGCCACGCCTTGTTTCAGACACATGACAATCTTTTGTTGTGTGGTACTATCCAAGAACGAGTGGTATGAGACCAAGGCTGTAAAAATTGGATACAAATAGGCTTGAAAATCCGTCTTGGTCAATTTTGACGTTACAGGGCAGTTCTTTAATGATTCTGGCAGGTTGAGAGATTTGTCCATGATCTGGAATACAACATTGCACACCAAATGTTTAAAAAATATTCAACAAATGCAAATTAAATATTTTACCATATTGCATAAGGCATTTCCAAGATAATCTATATCATTCCCATTCTTTGACAATATCAGAGCTTTATTTTCCAGAACGCTTGGCAAACTGCGTAACACGAGTTCGAGCACATTCCAATCTATGCACAAAACCAATAATCACATCAAAATGGACGGCGTACAGAACCATATTGATCTGAATTGGCAGTCTCACCTTTTTCCTTCTTTAAACTTCCTACGACTAGTTTGCATGCTGCCGTCAACGAGATGAACGTCACACAAGATGATTGAAAGGAGGAGGAAGTTCCTGGCATCATAGAACCCCCACCAACCCCACTACCACCGCCGACCGAAGAAACGGTTATTTGTTGGCCAATTTCTTGCTGGTCTAGAATCATCTTTTCATCCCCGTCGCGGTGATCAACGGCAAGATAAGAGCTGTACGTTAATTTAGCACCTTCCAATGGAAACCCGAGATGATAGAGGGAATTAGCACGGATCGCAAAGAAGCAATCAAAAATCTAAAATAATAATTATATTATAATTAAAAACTTTCAATCTTCTTCTACTCTACTACTATGTACGTTCTTCACCTTATATCTAATTTTGTAGCAAATGTCCAAAACGGCAGGTTTTTTGTAGTGATTCCCCATATGTTTCACTAGACTTTTGTACGCACTCACTGCAATGGACGATGGCAAATGGTAAATTTTTCTTTTGAACAGTTTCACAATCCCTTCAACAGCTCGCACAATGTCATCAACTTCGCTTTCAGAGTAAATGTGAACTGTGTCTGAGCCAGTTTGCGCATGAATTTCATAAGGTCGATTAATTATCTGTACATACGATAGTAATATGTCACTCAATATCTAACATTAAATGAGAAGTAAAACAGCAAGTCAGTATACGAATGTGTGTACCTTGTCTAAAATGTGCAATAAATCATGCCCCTTCTTTGACGATGATTCCATCAAGAAGTCCACCAAAAAGTTCACACCGGATACTCGAACATTAGGGTCATTTTCATTCTCCAAGTTCTTCATCGACGGAAGTATGACTTTGACAATCAAGTCTTCTTCATAGATATCTCTGTTCATCAAGCATATCTTTGTAATGATGGGCATCGCCTTGGCTTTCACAGCAGGTCGGACTTCGAATCGCAAATGTTTTTCGGTAAAAGTGACCAGCGACTCAAACCATTCCGCTTTGGCAGTATGAAGTTGAGTAGAAGCTTTGTATTGCATTAACTTTTCAACAGATCCAATCTAAATCAAACAATACAGATTAGTGGTTCTTTTCATTGTTTGATATACTTTAACAAATATGTAATAAAACTTTGCACAAATTACCGGTCTAGACAGATAACAACTGTCCACCAAGTCAAAAAACTGTTCTACTTCTCCGCAGAAACTTTTCGTAAATAATATGGCTTCAATAGCGTCCAAAGTGTTGTTAACTGCCGTCATAATCTTCACATAATTATGTGGATCGTCCTTACAATCAGTCTTTGCGAAACTCAGTATTCTTGACGTTATTTGAAGAATTAGATCCCACGTTACGGTTGTCAAAACGTCACAGTTGCTTTGCACCAGTTCTTGAATTCTTAGCTGCACTTCATATGTTGCCTTCTTATGTTTTTTGTCCAGCGCCTTTGGGAAAATACCATGAGTCACGTTAATTAAGATAATTTGACTTATTCTGACAAGTATATAAGTGATAATTAAATCAGGACATTTACCTTATCGAAAGATTGCAATACCAAATTAAAACTGTACTTGAGACCTCTAATGAACTTAACACCCCACAAACTGGTTCCAACTATAATAAAAATGCACCAAGTTTTTATACATACAATTAATTGTGACTTTTACTGCAAAAGTAAATTACCTAAAACTACAGCTCCTCTAACCAAAGTTTCGTTGTCGAACCGTTCATCCGAGCTTTCCATGAATCCACACATCGTATGAATGGCAGAATTTCCCAAATGAGTCCCGAGCAAATTCTTTGTAACTTTAGAGCAAGTTTCGGTCAAGCTGTCAACGTTGATTGTATGGCATAACGTGATCAAGAAATTACTGCAAAAATTAGTCAAAGTTAGTTTAATCCAATTATGTAGCCAGCCTTCCCAGCAATCTGTCAGTATGGTCACTGCTTACGTTAAGCAATCAATTGGCAGTCTCCCATATGACAAAACAGCCTCGAAAAGCTTGAGACATTCCACAGTGTGAGGTAAAGACTCGGAAATGCAGTTAATCACGCAAACATTTCTGGAAATTATAGAATTGTTTACAATAGCTATTAAAAAACGTCAAATTTTTCTACTTACTGAATTATTTCGGATAATATGTCCTGGTCCAGAAATGTATTGTTGTATTTAATCACATTCTGTTAATTGATTTGAAAAAATTAATACTTTTGCACCAATTACCAATTCAACCAAATTCAATCAAATGCTTACCACCACAAAACCGAGAAATGCAATCATAGGAATGTTTCCAATTTGTTTATGGAAGATCCAATCGTGCAAGAGGGGACCGAGCCTTTCTTCAAAATATTCGAGATCCTTCCCATTCATTGTTAAACTCTGGAGGAGTTGAAACTTTTTGTAAATGTCTTCCGGATTTTCGTGACCCTTTATAAAGACAAAAAGCTTGGCCCTGATGACCCCCGTCTTCTCCATCTGGGCTTGCACCAGGGCCGTCATCAAGTCGAATGTGAGGTGACGCGCCTCCTTGGACGGAGATTGACCATCTTTGGTTTTAAATAAATCGTTCACCAGGGTCCAAATCTTCTCTATGACGTACTGCACAATATCAAACAAAATGTAAATTAACGGATAAACCCAATTTGCAGTGCATATGACATAAAACCGTACCAACTCTGCCTTTTTCGTCTCGCATGATTCTGTCAATTCTTTAATGGCTTTGATACGATTGGCGAGCGGTGCTTCCGGTTTGAGGTCTGCTTCCAATTCAGCGGTTAAGATGACATTATTATCATCTGGTCTGGCCCTTGGTGGTGCTGCAAAATAATAATAAAAATACATAAAAAATAATACCACCTTGCTAATTAAATGCCATCGCCAAATCCCAAGCTAAACCAGATCAAGCATAATTATTACATGACTTTAGTCAACTCACCATTTCCCTTCAAATTTTTCAAGAATACTCTAAACTTTTCAGGAAACCTTGTATTGGACATGATTGGTTATGATGATGAAATGGCAGCTCAAAATCAGAACTATTTTAAAACGAAACCTGCAACACCACCGACACGAACCCCAGCACCACCACTCCCACAATCACAACCATTGATTTATCGTCCCCTTTTTCGAAATTTCCTGTAAAATTATTACACACTGAGATAAAGTCACCTGCTGGAAAGATCATAATTTCACCCTAACTTTTTTCATTTCAAATATGTCCTCCCTTGACTCTTATACTTTAAAACAACACATTGATTGATCAACAATATGAAACTGCTATTTAGACACCAACAATTTACGACAATCCCATTGATTTCAAAGAGTTATTATATCAATTAAAACCTGACCTTACCCGGCGCCGAGAAGCTCGCAGTAATCTTATTATATAATGAATTCAACATGTCGTCAACACAAAGAACATTTATGGTCAGTCATTATATTATTATTATTGAGCAGCACACATTTGAAATTTTATTAGTTACTCTTAAACTATCATTTTGGTTACTTGTATTTGACACTGCGGCTGGATAAGCACTAAATCAGTGCTGGCTTATCATCGTCAACAAAGGACGTGATGAAACTTGCACACAATCTTTCACAGCAGGGTCCAGTTTATTATAGCGAGTGAGTGAAAAGTTTCGTGTTATGCGGTGAATCTTGGGCAGCCATGTGATTAAGCTGGAGAGAGAGAGAGTCCAACTCTTATGTCATGTCAAAAAAGCATGAAGGCAAGGAATTTTTAATTATAATTTTATTGTAATTAATAAATACTAAATACCCTTATCAAAAGTATGCAATGAATGAGCATCGTTAAATTAAATGAGGGAGCAAATTCGCGATAAATAAATTCATACAACGCAATTTAATTTTTGGCGTATAACATTTTCATCAGGGTGAGTTAGTTAGACGCCGATTTATAGATTTTTGCCAAGAAAATCGTAAATATTCTCAAGTTTTGCAGATTTGTTTTTATCGATGAGGTGTTTGCCAATTGGTGATTCAATTAAAAATTTTGTCTTTTAAGAGTATCATCATATAATTTCTAATGCAGAATTATGATGCAATATAAGCATCTATGGTTGAGATTTGCATGATAACCGTAATAAATGGGTTGGACAGAAAGGTATGGGGTCACGACCAGCCCCACAGATGGGTGGGTGTGACAAAATGAGGTAGGTGGATGGTCCACAGGACTAATTTTGTAGAAGAGGAATGCAACGATGTGTTTCTTCTTTTACACGATCCACACTTTATTTACGCGATGTGGTGTAGTAGTCCTTTGTTTTTGTTAGTGTGAAATGAAATGAAATGAGGATCATCATCAGAACTAAATACATCTTCTATCTATCTGCTCTTGAGCTTGAGTCACTGGAATAAATAAGAGTTTGTTGGCAAGGCCATCCTCTTATGTAAAACGAAACCCAGTCGTCGTACCACTCGAGTACAAGTCTACATGTCTGTATGTAATTCGCTTACGACGATAACAACAACAACATAATAAATAAAACAGAGTAAAGCACATATGTACTTATCAGTGGCTGACAGGTAATCGAGTGGTAACAAAAATCCACAAAAATATACACTATTTGTTGAGGTACTTGGACAGCGATGCGTATTTGGGAACTTTTTTAGGTAAATATTGTTCAATTGATGGAATGATCAAGGTTTCTTTATTACATGAAAACGAATTTTAACACTTTTCTGAAAAAGATGTAACATTCCAGTTCCATTTATTGTATTGAGTTTTTAATGCGATTTTATCTAGTCTAGGCGTCTCCTCGTCTGGCAGAGTTGACTTTGTTGGCAATAAATATCGTATATATTCTTAATGTAATGAATGACAGGATGAAATTGGAGCTAGTTTAATATGTACATAGTAATAATAAAAGTTTGTAATTGTGCATGCTCGTGCTTTGCCTTAACCTTTTATAAGAGTTCCGGTCTTCTCAGTTTCTTCTAGTTCTCATCTTGCACACATTCTCTCTTTGTGAAGTATAGTATGAAATGCATCTTCCTCTCTAAATGCATAGCCTGATAAGATGATGTTCATAATGTATACACAACTTTCAGGCTTCATCTTAATATGATGTGTTATTGGATGCACACAAGAATGGCTGGGGGTTTGTAGACGGTTAAATATTGACTTGAGAAAACTAGGAATATAAAAGATCCTATGTTTGTATGTACATATTAAGTACCCTCCGACCAAACCCAGCGTATATGTAATATTAGAGGAATAAATTCTGAATCCGGATGTAGATATTTACTATTTCTTATATTTCAGAATTGTGTTTTTAGTAAAATTATTACAAGAAATCGAAACTGTGTGTTAATTTGTTAAGTGGAACTTTTCAATAGTTGCGTGAGACTCATTTAACCAGATGAGACGGATCTACTCAAGTTAGTATCGCAATTATAAACATCGTACGGTGACATGTGCATAACAATAATTAAGAGTGAAATCAGGGACCCTTGATCTAGTACCGTTTTATGTCTGACATGCATACGTACGTCGTCATTACACACATAATTGGTTTTCATCAGGTAAATGTCATTCGGTTACTTTGAATAGAATTGAATATAATTGTACCTCGCTGAGACGAAACAAGTTTTATCTCAATTATAAATCTCCCATAAAACCATCGCGTCAGTCAATCATCAGATTCGTCCGTCTCACACAAGGAAGATATTCTGTACATACGTGCATGTCATGTCTACTTTGTTTAGGAAGTGATTAAAAATGTATCTGGGTATTTGGAAAGTCATTTGACCACCTCGACCACCCACCCACCCACTCTTTGCAAAAATCAATAAAATCAGCATAATACTTAGTCGTCCTTTTAACTAACTTAAAACATTGTTATTTAGTTCCTTGGTTTACTTGAAAAGTTGATCTAGATCCATTCATAACGGTGGAGAGAGAGTTAATTTTACTTGAAAACTAACTTGAACTTGGGTTTAAAACTTGTAGAATAACGTGATGATGTCTGTCAAAGGTAATATTCATGAGGCAAGCGTCGTCGTCTCAAACTTTGATGTATGCAAACAAAATCTATGTATATTTGTACACTTGCAGTTAACCTAGAACTTGCAATTAAACTAATTCTTGCGTACACAGTTTCAATTAAAAGTTACAATTTTACTTCTACATTGTTCAACTTAAAATAATTTTCGTGTTTTAAGTAGCGAGTGATTTACAAAATGGCAAAACATTCATTTTAATGATGAATCTGCTTAGTATATGTGTTCCATCCTTATAAATGAGGAGAGCTCGTATCTCTTTCGAAATAGTGAGTGTCCAAATATTTGCTGGTGAGCAACGAGAAATAAATACATTTTCACCGTAAGTACAAAGGACATAAAATCTACAAGAAGTAGTTCTTCTTCTCGGGTAAGAAAATCAGATTAAATGTATTTGCACAATACAGTTTATTATCTTTTTTGACAGTCGGCCATAAGCAGTTTATCTCGAAATGACACCTTTTCAACTTCTCTATATGCACTTTATTTAACCTTCTTATTTATTGAGTAAGAGTCATTGGAACGAGAAAATCACGCTCATTTCTGTCTAAAATGTGTTACCGGAAGATGTTACGGTAGGAAATCATAATGAAACTATCTGCTCTTGGTTTTAGTTTTAGTCGTCATTTTCTTCTTATCGTTAGTTAGTGGTGGTATTAATTAATAGCGTTGTGAGTGACAAAGGCAGCCGTGCCAGCAGTTAATAATCTGCGTAGGCAGGTGTATGAATAGGCTGACAGGTAGTACATGGCAGACCGGTATTAATATCATCATCGGCTTCCTTTTCATTATGAATGTAGAGCAGAGAGGAATCCCTGTTCAAATATAATGGCGAATCTAATGAGAGAATTAGCAAACATGATAAATTGCAAGTTCATTCATCAAAATAAAATTGCACGTCTAAAATTTTTGCACATGTATTTTATTCCTTTTCTGATATGTGCACTTCTGATCAGAGCGATGAGAAAAGTGAGACAAATTTATAACTAGCGAATCTATCAATAGCTGAAACACAACTTTGATTTTGCGTACAGACAGACTTGACCTTATTAAAGATCACTGTGCATAAATTCGTTCATAATCAATGTGTCTCACCCTAAACGCTACCACCGTGGCTTAACTTCTGGGTGGTTATCGTGATAAATACGTAAAATCCACCGCATAAATGAATCCCTGAGACATAGGAAGGATTCATCAACTTTACATGTCTTATGGTTTTCATCCCGTCGTCAATTTTAATTTTATGTCCCGTCATTTCATTATCAGTTGACACGACTAGCGTACGGGTTAAAGAAAGTAAATAAAACTATTGAATACTGAATACAGCGTCATCGTCGTCGTCGTCATTTTATGAATTAGTTAAACAAACCTTTTATTACTCGCCAGGCAGGAGTAACAGCAAACCCTCAACAAATTAAACATATACTTTACCAAGATAATCTTCACACTAAAACCAAACTTAAATATTATCATCATCATCATCATGCCTAACCTCAATAATCGTTTTTATTTTATTCGCAGAGAAGAAGAAGAAGAAGACCAAGCAAAAGCTCAGAGCAAATCTCGCATCAAGTTTTTACTTAAAGAGTCCTCAGGCAAAAAAGTTTGCAACTGCACTTTTGCAACACGACTAAAAGGCAGAGAGCAGGTTTAAAATCTTGTTAATCTTCCTCTCCTTCTTCCTCCTCGCAAAGTTTTATCAGGTATCCATCCACAGGCAGCACAAGCCACAGAGAACAGACACCGATATTGGCATTACTTTTTTCTTCTTGCATGTTGTTGTTGTTGTTGTTACTTTACCTCAAAGCCAAAGCAGAGGAAGAACACGAAGGTGGTTCCTCTTGAGAGGAGAAGAAATTGAATTGGTTGGTGGAAGTGCTAGAGTTGATTGCTGTTAGTTAGTTAGTTGACCAACTTGCACCTCTAATTGTGCAAGTAGCTGCCTTTTGATAAAAGTGGTGGAATTTCCACACAGTTTTTTGCAAATCAATTCCGTATTTTTAGCAGATATGGGTGATTAAAGGTAGCGAAACGGTCTCAATTTACCTCCGGCGTAAAAAAAGTCTCACGTCTCGAGAGATAGAACTGACTTACTTTTTAGGATATCACTCACAATGGAACGAGCAAGGCACAGGCTAAGAAGGTTGGCGTTGGTGGCGTCGGGTTGTGGTGGTGCCGAGAAGAGAATGCCGGAAAATGAAAGGCAGACAGTTTTTAGATTTAGAAAATTTTCAAACTTTAGTGGTGACAAATTTATCAAGGTGTGTTTGGTCTCGTCGGCTGTGATTTACTTTTTGTGCTTGTCCAGTCATCCCGTGCTCAGTGCAGAGGTTGGAATTAACACTGGACAACGAAGTGGTGGTGGTGGTGGTAGTGAAAGTAATTCGTCTTTAAGTCATCTTCGTGAGATTTTACATCGTGGCGAATCCAGCAGGTCGAAAGGTGGTGGTGACGACCATGGAGAAAGTGCGTTCGACAGAAGTATCAGTGAATCAAAAAATATTACAAGAGATAAAATATCGTCTCATGTCAATAAGCACCATTCAAATCCTGGACATAATCGAGATTTACTACACAATTGCAAAAATTGCAGTAGTACTAAAACTTCTGGAAATGATCATGTTCAGCCAGAGAACGAAGAGAGTGAAGACTCACATAAAATTGAGGCTATTTTGAGAGATATATTTTTAGGTAACAAAAAATAAATAAAATATGCTTGGGAAAATTTCTGATACAGGATTTTCTTCAAAATTTCAGATGAGCTTGACGACAACGCCTTCGCACAGGAAGACGATGACGAAGACGAGTTGGAAAATTTCAGTAGTTCTCGACATGACATCTTGGAGCACAAGGCTGAAGGAAAGTCGAACCTTGAAGCAGGAATCGTGTCCCGTCACGCCCGGTCAGAACCACCCCTTTTCCCCCAAGGGAGGGCACATCAGGGCGGAAACAATAAGGGGACACGGGCCGCTCCAGGAGAAAAAGGCAAAAACAAACGAGCCGACAAGGGAAAGAACAAGAAGAAAGTGTCCTCCAAGGGAAGTGACTTGTCCAAATACAACGAGTACATGGACGCCGTTTTCAGCAGGATGAATGTCATGATCAAGAAGAAGCGCATGGATCCGCTGAGAGTCAACTTATACGCTGGACCTAGCAAGACCAGCCAGAAGAAGAAGAACAATAAGAACAAGAACACGGGTAGTAGCAGTACTAACAATAAGAACAAGAAGAGGAACCACAGTCCAAGAATGGATCTGGAGTCCGAGGAAGAGGACGAACTGGACGAAGAGGGTGAGGAGACTGACAGTGAAGTTGGTCCAGCAAGGAAAAATATTTACCTGGAAGTCGCTCATGACGAAGATGACGATGGTCCTCAAGCTCTGGATGAGGATGAAGATGAAATTGAGACTCGTGAAGCCAACGTGCGGAAAATAAGGTAACTTTCCACTTTGTAAAATAAAATGTGTACAAATATGAAATAGATTTTGAAATTTTCACTAATTTTATATGCAGAGCGATCCTTGAGAATGCCGGCAATTCATCAAGTCCTCTTCTTGAAGAACATCAAGACTCTGAAGGACCAAGAGGAAATGAATCCAAGCCCAAGAAACCCAAAGTACCCTCAAATAAGGGATCAAAATCCAAGGACAAAGGTCTTCAAAAAGGAAACAATAAGAAAAACAATAAAAATTCTCAAAGTCAAGAAAAGGACAAGAACAAGAATAAGAACAAAAAACAAGCACAACAACAAGCTCAACGCACGAAACCCACACGAGGAATTTTGCATGGATTATCATCCCTTAAACGGGACGGAAATGTGGCCGTGATCCGACAAGGAGACAAGGTTCGCATCGTACGAGCAAACTTTATCCTGGGACCGGTCGCACTGGAAATCTTGCCAAAGGTATAGAAATTTTTTAATTTTTTAAACAAAGTTCCTCCATATTTCACACCTTAATAAGTGCATCAACCTTTAAGAACCACTTTTATTCGGTCTGCATATGGACTACGCAATCTTGCTTTCATGAAGTACATGGCACTCATCCTTCTCAATTTTTGGGCAAAGTGCCCTCAGTCAGACTCGATAAATGTATAGTTGAAAATAAAATCCTTTCTTTTTCATTTTCAACTTCCTGCCAACAATGCGCTGTGAGAATGCAACGTAAATGAATTGGTGAAAAGCAGAGAAGCCAACAATACCAACCAGATAATGGCAAAGCCCAAAATTCGTGCTGCCACAAAACTTGCTTTGCTTGAAACTTGAGGCAGGTTTTATAATTCTTATGCTGCTGCCAGTTTCATCGTGGTCGTGGTGTGGTTTTTAACAAAGTAGGTTAATGTCATTATTATCATATTATGATCAAAATGATAGAAATCAGGTTGTGCTGAGTGTGTGTGTGTGTGGGGAGAAGAAGACGATGGACGAACGAACTATCCGTCTAAATCTATGTGATCTTCTTCATCTTTAGAACTCGCTTGTTTGCTGAGTTGATGATAAAACCGAGTTGATGATGATAAAAGGAACCTGCTGAGTCATAAAATTTCCTTTTTGCACTTTTATTCTCTACCTTTCATTAACACATTGGTTTATTATTGGCTAAATGTCTCGTTTTTGTAGTCTTAGTGTTTCTCACGTTCAGACAGATTGATAGGAAAAGTACACTCAGCCAGGAGGACAGGAAAAAAGACCATGAATGCTTGCATAAACTGTTAAATCGTATGTAGGTACAGGAAGTTTGCTATGAATTTGAACTATCAATTATATATCACTGCATTTCCCATTGTAAGTGGCGTTCCTTCATGCAAATCGAGTTATTGTTTTATCGGTTTGGTTCGTGCCATCAATAATAATGCCAATAAGTACATGTTACTCTTTCGCAGTAACAGATGTGTATCTACTTTTGAAAGAAAGGAAGTCGTCAAAGAATGTACTTTCTTTATCGTTAATACGAGTCGTATTGTACGACTCTAGACGACAGGAGAATGGGTGTCGTGGTGGTTGTAAAGGAAAAAATAGGCACCGACACCACATTGTCTGCAACAATTTAGAAAAATGCCAAGATAATAAAATTGTCTCGACCCACAATGCAAAAAAAATCAGTGCAAGTGATCGGATAATAAAAGTTGCTGACACTGCTGCAATTACGAAAGAATGAAAATAGGGCAAAATGAGACTGGATTCGCAAATTCTTATTTTAGAAAAAGAAAGTCTTTAAATTTACACCTTTCACACAATTTCCAATCTTTTTATTCTTTTCAGAAGACCAAGAAATCTGAAGATTCTGACGATTCGACAAAGCCGGTCGCTGCCACGGCCACGGCGTCGAAACTGAAGGGAATTTTAGAAGTTCGGCTAAAGAAGGGTGCCCCCACTCAGATCCGCAAATTGCGCGTGTTCCCACCAAAGTCGGTGAAGGTGAATGGCACTGCGGGGTCATCCGGGTCAACCACGACGACGACCGGAGGAGGTAAAAGGAAACCACAGCAGTACGGAAAAGTGACACCAATGGCCACCGCACGCTTGAGACAAGTCGCCTCCACCGTGGTCAAGCAGACGGACAGCAAAAGGATACAGCCACCCATCTCAAAATGAAGAACAAATTGTCAAATTAAATCTCACAAATATCTTGCTATTTTTTCATTGAAAAATTAGCCGCATTCAAAATTGTTAAGTTTGCGTAATTACAATGAAACTTTTGCCATTTTAATCGTGCCGTTAAAGTTCCTGTCGACCCTACTTTGTACGTATTTATTTTTAAATGTTTTCTTACTATTTATTTTGTACGAGTCAATAATAACTTGAAATATTATCTGCATTCATGAAAATTATTCTTAATTTCACATCTTTTAAATTATTATTAATAGCCCATCTTTTTATGACTTTTTGATCTTGCTCGACAGGCAGATCTTGAAAATATCCCATGTAAAACTTTGAACTGACTAGTCTTCCTTTTTTATACAATAAATGAACTAAATACATATGTAAAGTGTAGCATAATTTATGGATCTAGACGAGTAAATACGTATTTTTAGAAGTACTTTAAGTTTACGTGTTTTGGAGAGGCTATACTTATTTATTATTTATGTATGACCACTGAATTTAAATAAAGACATTAGTGCAAAAGAGTACTAATAGTTTACGAAAAACGAACATTTTATTTATTCAATGTTTCAGAATTATGCGAGCGATTTTTATTTGGCGATTTACGATTTTACTAACTTACGATACGATCCAGAAGGTTACAAACATTCAGTACAATCATTAATTTTAACACGAACACTATAAAAAATTTTGACCACCTAAAAGAGGACGGTTTGGGAAAACCAGTAGGAACATCAACTAATCATCATGTAAAATTTCTAAAAACATTTCAGTGCCAGGATTATCAAGTATTTAGTTTGAGCTAATTTAAAATATGTATAAAATCAAGTAAGTTCACAAATTGGCAATTACCGAAGCACTTGCATGTTACTTACACTACTTCTTATTGAGCGCATTAAAAGATAATTTACACTTGTTAAAATATATTGAACAAATAGCACCATGTTCTCATTTGGTTTTAGTTGCAAATTAAAATTGTCATGCGTGAAAAATTGTACAAAATATGGAAACACATCAAAACAGTCCATAATGTAATATGAAACCCTGACAGAATTAGAATAATATAGACCATTTATCACAGATATGTACAAAAATAGAAATGTCACAGACAGTGAATCAGTACGGAATCGTCACCAGCAGAGCAGTAACATATTTTTAAGTATGTAGACAGACAGATTAAAGAGGAAGAAATGTTTCAAGAAACTGCGTACATAGAAAAGCTGCAAAGTATTACATAAGTACGTAGTAAGCAACAGACATTTTCTGTATCACATGTATATTCTGTATAAGCACTTTTAACACAAAATTGTCTGTAATTCTGAATGTTTGTTCGATCACAAGAGAATAAGAGAAGTTAAAATGGAATACATTAGCACAAAAGACATTACAGGGCACGTCCTTATTATGATGAAAGACTGACAAGAACTAAAGGTAACGGACATCTCATTTTCCAGAGAGGAGAGAATTAAGAACCCTTATTCGCTTATCCTTGAACTACACAAGTCAAGTTGACAAAGAATGAGCACCATTTTCCTATCGAGGAATGCCGAATTCCATGAGAGGGATAGTTACATCCACCATGTTCTAGAGTTTATGAAAAATTTGTTTAGAAATAACATGCTTAATTTGAAATAATTACCAAAGATGAGGATTTCTTACCGGACAAACAACTGCTCGCTAAATTTACGTTTATAAGAAAAAATAAATTAGTATAAAAATAATGTCAAGAATCATTAGTTATGCATATATGTATGTATTACCTGAAATTCGAGTAGTATCTTTGCCTTAATCCATGTAGTAACTTGAGATATGTTAATATGTGTATCACCAAATTTTAAAGGTTTCGCGACTAATTGTAAATCCGGATTTGTTCTAAAACCTAGCCATACTCGATCGTTCGGTGGCCCAGGAAGATTTACGGTCAAAGTACCAAAGAAGCCCCTGAAGTTAAACATATTAGTAATAAGTGCTACTGCATACATACATTTAAACAAATTTAATTACTTTAATTCCACAGCCAAAACTAGTGGCGTTGCAGCAACATTGTTGACAATTTTCTTGACTAAACCTCTATTCATGAGGGATGAGTTTGCCAATTTTTCTAGGAACTTTGAGCTCTTTGACTGCCCTGTGGGATCCTCGGGGTTCGGATTAATTGTTATCAAGTTGTTCAACTCTGAATCATGCTCATCCTCTGAACTTTCTCCACTGTCGTCGGCATCGCTGTCGTAGATATGAGATCGGATCGAAGTACGGTCAGCCCGGTCGGTCGTTGGAGACGAGCTATCGCGAGCACTACCACCAGCCGCAATTCCGATACTCCCACCACTACTGCCGGCACCATTATTGTAAACAAAGGGTGGACCATCACTCTTTCTGGAATTACGACTATTGGCATTCCCAGACTCAGCGGAAGTACGATTCGTCGTCGTTGTTGTTGCTGCTGGTGGTGCTGGGACGGTTTCCGGTTCAGTGGTAGCAGTTCCGCGTTTCGTAACCATTTTGAGAAAATTGACATGGGTTTCAAGAGATACGCAAAAGTTGCTCTCGTAGTTTAAGTCTAAATCAATCCATAATCCTTGATGGTCTATTACAGGTGGAGACGCTCTGAGAAAGAATTTTTGTTATTTGTATTGCCCTTTAATTCATGATTTATTAAGAAAACGTTGGTCGATGGTACCTTAATATCACTGGTATAGAATTTCCTAATGTTAGCTCCTTGACATGAATCCCTTCAATGAATACGGGCTTTTTCATGTAAAATAATTTCTTGTCAATCAACTTTTGAACTTCTCCTTCAAAGAAAAATAAGACGTTTAACATGAATGTTTACTATTTAAATATATGACGGATTTCCGTTAATTAGTCGAAATAAACTTACCTTTCCAGTGGGAGGACTTTAAAAAGTCAAAGAACAGTCTGCCGAGGAGGGCATTTAGGAATTGTGGACTTTGAGGAACTGTTAAAATATTTTCTAAATCGCTCTGAATAGAAGCCCCTTGTGAGTTATGCAAGTCTTTTTCTGGCGTCGTCTTTTTAGAGGAACTTGGACTATTCTTCTCATTGTTTGGTTTTCTGGACTCGGAGATGTCACCAGGAAGGGAGACATTGTCAAACCCATCAGATATATTGTGTGGAATTAAGGATGGACAAATTCGCCTCATGTAATCTCGATATTCAGATATTGGGTCAGGTGGGGCTGGCAAGTAGTAACTAGCTTCAGTTCCAATTTTTGTGGCTGTACATTAACAATAATTATGATTGATTAGGGAGAAATAACGAGGGGAATTGGATTTGTTCGTACCTGCGACAAATCGACGAAACCAGTCATCCTTTTCACGATCACATCTGCAAAAGTTATCTTTAAAAATTAGCAACTGACTTATTTAGTAGTGTGCAAAAAATTCAGTCTTTGTTCACCTTGCAAACAAGTACACCGTTTCGAAACTAGCGTCTTGTCGCTTAATCTCTTTTTCTGTAGATTTTGGACGATCGCTATTTACGATAACGTCTGCAGTTCCAGCATTATAATTCACAGTGGTGTCTCTTTTCTGGAAATCTTCCATAGACTGTCCTTCCGACGGGGTGTAATCACTGCTTATCGAGTGGTTTGCCAGAGTTATGCATATGGGGTACTTTTTGTTCCACACCCGATTGCGAGACAATCCTTCAGGAACGATAGTTATCTTTGCATTCGTAAGATTGTACGCTTTCACCTTGTCAAAAGTATGTAACGAAGTTAGGACAGGATCATTCCAGAGACGTCGTTTTGGAATTCGATGTTTTGCATTTGGATATTGTAAGTATAGTCGAGGACCGTCTAACTTGACAAAGACGACTTTTGTCATTTTAAAATGGCAAGTTTCTGGATTATAATTCTCCAACAATTGAGTCATCCAGCCCTATGCACATTAAATAAGGTAAATAAATTACATACGTTCAAGCTTATTTACATGTGTACACACCTGAGATTTTGTAGGAAATTTCAACTCTCTGTTGTACTGCGGTACACCAATTGGATTGTACAAAGTAAGCGACGTTCCTGCGTTGTTCCTTGTTTGTTGCTGCTGCTGTTGTTGTTGTACTTGGGTTGATGTCAAATTGTTTTCGTAATTTTCTTCCTGTGGCGGGTCGGACAACCCTCTAATCATCACAATGACGGTTAAGCCCCCCAGTAGAAACCACATGAAGGGGGCAAGTGGGCCGAGGGGAAGGAGAAAGTTGGCTGCGAGGAGTGCCACCCAATATTTCGTGAGTGGGTGGTAGACGACGGAAGAAAGTATGTTAATGATAACGGTGGACAGTCGAACATCACGGGGTCGGATGGTGCGTGGAGTAAATTGGACCACACTTGGGACTTGGCTTCTTTGAGCGAGTAACTCTGACTCTTCTCCGACGAGATCAAGGGGGGTGATTCTGATCCCAGATATTAGAGCGATCGGCTGATATAGAGTTGGCTGGCCGTCAAAATACTCTTGAAGATCTGGGGATAAAATTAATTAATTGGGTTTGATTAAAGTAAGCCATCAATTAAATGTATATTTTTAAAAATATTAAACTATGTACCTTCTCCAGGAATGTTGAACGTAATCATTCTATCAATAATTGTCTCTCCATCGGTCAAACCAAACTCGAAATTATTGGGATCTGTCATGTCCACTCCGATTTCTTCAACATACATATGGCTATCATCGCCCAAAGCAGTTTTAAAAATGTCAGAGGAAATATCCCCGTCTAGCGTTTCCTGTGAACCATTAGAGTCGTTATTTTTCGTGCCCTTGGCTGAACCACTAGAGGAGGAATTGTCGTCCGAGGGCGACGTTAGGAATGAGCTGTAAACTCTGGTAAGGTTTTCAGGAATTGACTGAGAAGTGTGGATAACTCCGGTCTCTTCTGGTATAAAGTTGGATAGGATGGATTTAGTTTTATCTTCAAGAGCTGTTTTAAATTTTCCTTTAAGATCGAGGTCTAAAGAGAGCGATTTCTTGTCCCATTTGTTCGTCCACTTGTGCTTTTCTTTGAGTAAGTATTCTTTTAAAGGGGATACATCACCAGAGTTTGGCTTTGGTGAGGGGGGTGTGGAACTCTGTTCGGCATTTCCTAAATTGTTTTTAAGCGTTTTGTAATTAAAACTGATAACTGTTTCCCTGTGGTTACTTACATTTAATTTATTTTAGAAACTTACGATTTTCAATGGGTGCCTTTATTTCCTCAATGTTTTCACTTTCTGGGCTGAATCTAAATGAAGACATGAAAGCGTTTGACGAGGAGTTGCCGGATTTGGTCAATCCGGCAAGAGTGATTTTTCCCTTTTTATCCGACATCTTAAAAATTTAAGTAATGTTATCAATTAGAATTCAGAATTCATATATAGCACACATCATTTAAAATATTCATGATATGATGTAACACCTCGCAAGTATAAATGTCACAGTAGGATGCAATATGGATGGACTAAATCTCACAAATAAAGGCAATCGCTTTAATTGGCTTCACCAAAAATATCCATTGCTCCAAGTTTTCTCATCATCACAAGTAGAAAGTACTTCCAGAAGAGGAATCTAAAATCAAACTAAATATCAGTCTTGGATTACAATGTACAATTGTAAATAAGCAGTAAAAATAAATCGTTATCATTTATCTCAAACTAAAGGAACAAGGTCCAATTTACTGTTTGTTGCTTACTTTCGATAATGAATACTGGATGAGTCACTCATAAAAGCACAGCAAAATCCACCGTGCCGTGATCCTCTATTATGAAACAAAAAACTAACCTAAACCACTTATTGGACATTCACGTCACCTCTAACATCACATGAATTGAATGACGAATGACGAGGATCACTAAACTTATAGAATAATAACACAGGTCATTTCAGTGATCATATATCACATCAAAAGTCCGTAAAATATGGAAAGGAGACCGTGTAATTTGATGGACAGCTTGATTTAAGTTTGGATTGCTATTATATACTTTTTAACAACATTTTCAATTACGAATGTACAATGCTACATAAACCTACCATTTAAAAAAGATTGACAAAACATTAAAGTATTTAATTGTTGACTTTAAATAAAAATAGAACTTCAATCGGGTGACTAATGTTGGTTAAAACAAACTTTGTGGAGTAAAAAAAGTCCCTAATAACTTTTGCAATGTGCTGCGAATGTAGAGCAACTTGTATGCAGTGCATGCTTAAAGTTCGATCACACAATTGCGATTGTGTTAAAAAATATAAGTGTTTATGCAATTTGAGGAATTGTTACCATTATGTACGCTCTCTACATTATTTGAACTGTGAACTGGCTCATCATCCTCTCTCAGTAGCTTTTTTGGCACTATTTTTTGGTATTTTTTGCCTGACTTAATCCTTCCTTTTTTGCGAATACATTATACAGACGTTCAAGTCCATCGCACTTTTATCTTGAGAACCCGTGATCCTCCTTTTTACTTTGTTCTTAACAGTAAACAACCCGGATATTTAAGGATAATTTTACACACTCTGTTTCTTTTATTAGTCTAAACCACGTAAACACAGGCTTTTTCTAGGAGAAAAACCTTTCAAGTCAGTCATCATACGTCAAACCTGTTTTGGTTTACATCTGCTGTGCTGTAATGTAATGTCAACATTTTGCCCAGACTCAGACACACACACTGTTGTTTTTTACGTGCAGGAAATAAGTAGCACGCAACAGACTATGTAGTCGTCGACTGTATATAGTGTGTGCAGAATTGGGTAAAAGTAGTCAATTCTGCTAATGAGAAAGTTCTGCTATGGATTCCTTCCTAGCTGGTAACTTTTCCTTGCTGAGTTGAGACTTTCTCCGCCCTGGGAATTTTCGCGAAGATGACTTTGCAACTTTCTTTTGCACGATTTCTGACTTGTGGTGAAAGTTTATCAATTTCTTCATCCGATGAAATTGGCAATGATGATGATGAAATTGGTGTCAAATTGGTATTGCCATGCCCAATCGGTCTTATCAAGATGGAGAAAGTAACCAAGTTAAACAAATATGTAACCAACGACGTGGCCTCTGACTGAGTTTTTTCGACGACGTCAAATTGTACCTTGAAATCTAATCAGGCACGACTAAAACCAATAAAAAGTCGGAAAGAAATGATGCTTCAAGTGGAAAATGACTTACTTACGAAAGGGATGGATAAACCCACCACAAAGTAAAATTAACCAACAGTTCATACAGTAAATTCAATTGCATCAGATTGCAAGGCAGTCGAGGAATGACGATTGCTTGGGAGGACGACGAACGAGGTCTATAATTTAATGGAATTGTGCCCCCTTCACTTATAAATAGAAGTTCTTTTGTCTTATCTATTATGCAACATGGGGAGGAAGAAAGTACATACGACATTGGTCGTCTGGAGTGGAGGGCAAATAGCAATTTCATATAGTTACATACTCAATTATATATGTCGTGCCACTCAGAAATGAAAGAAATGTCAAGTTTACTCAAGAAAGAAGAACAATTATTAATATTTTACGGCTTTTAATTTTATATGATTCTCCTAACATGGTGTTCTTGAGACAAATGAACATTAAAATGACGTAGGACTCCGTAAGCTATAATTAAACTTTAATGGATTTAGTAACACAATTTCATAAAAAAAAAACTTTCCATGAGTAAAATTCATTGTAGGAAATACCATAAAATATTATTTATGAAAAGAAATGACTAATGATGCATATGAAATTATGTGGAGAAAGCATTATCAGTTTTCTTGTTATGAAATTCATGTAAAATCTCATTTAGCCCTGCCGACTACACCTTTTGTTACTGCACATCTGCTCATGCTGCACTTTCCGTGTAAAAACTGGGACAAGTTACGACTTGTTTTTGTAAATAAGTCGTGTTCAGTCCTGATTCTATTTTTTTCAGTCCCTACGAAGTCCCTGAAGGGGTTCCTGAATCGAGGACTTGAATTCAAACGATGTAAAGGAAATCAGGGTGAGAAATCGGTTCGTCATTTCATTTTCAATCTTTATCGTTACCATTTCATTCATGACTTCTTGGTTGTCATACGGTGGAATTTTATGTAATAAACGGCCAATTATTTTTTAATCACGGCTCTAATTGAAATTGAAGTTTAAAATTGATTAGAAAATTTCTTGACTCCTGTATCTAAAAGTATTGTGCTTAAATATAGTTGTGATCTGAAATTGACCTGATGTTGACGAGGAGAGGACACTTATAATCTAATCTATACAGATTCAGGAGCAGGACGGTAAGGAATATTTGTACTGTTTTTAAAGGTGTGGCAAGGCATGAATATTTAATAATGGCTGAAATTCGCTTTCCCTTCTTCTTCGTAAGCATGATTAATAGATCTGATTGAAATCTGTTTAAAAAGTACAACCGAGTTAGTGACAATTGATCGACTAAAGCTTAAATGAATTTTTAAAATAGATAATATTTGGTTAGTAATTGTAGCCTTTTTTGTTCTCTTGATTTATTTAAGGTTTTAGTAGGACACCGCACAAACACAAACAAAGGTTAATTGTTAATAACCCATCGTCGACAAAATGAATTCTGCTTTACCGGCCCCCACTACAAATACTCTTCTCCCACCATCCCCCCAACATCTTCCGGGTATCTCCGACTTTACCATAATTAAACCCATTAGTCGTGGAGCCTTTGGAAAGGTGTTTCTCGGTCATCGAAACACCTCACCCGACACCCTCTATGCCATCAAAGCTATGCGAAAAGAAGACCTGATTATGAAGAACAGCGTCGAAAAAGTGGTGAAAGAACGGGACGCCCAAGTCCTGGCAGGATCTTCCGATCCATTCTGTGTCAAATTATTTTACTCTCTGCAAACCAAGAACTATATTTATCTGGTCATGGAGTACTGCATCGGTGGGGACTTGAAAAGTCTGCTGAACCGCATGGTTTTCTTCCCCTTGAAAATGGTGGCTTTCTACGTAGCCGAAATCGCAGTCGCGCTCGATTTTCTCCACAAGAACGGTGTCGTTCATCGCGATATCAAACCCGACAATTTACTCCTTGACGGAAGAGGTCATATTAAATTGACCGATTTTGGCCTGAGCCGAGTCGAACTGGGAAGCATGTTATCCCTCTCGCCAGGAAAAATGAGGACGTGCTTCACTCCAGGACAAATCGCGTCACTCAAAGCAAACCTTACATTTTCAAAAGTCCAGTTTGAAGCTGGGATGAATGTCGCAGAGATTACGCATAGGACACCATGTGCCTCTACGCCACGTCGACTTCGAGTTCCGTTAAGAACACTGCGGCTACAACAACCACCGACGCTGGAGCAAACACCACCACCAAAATCACAGATGACGCCGCTCGCCAAGACACCAGAGTTTGTAAAACAGACCATCTTCACGACTGGGGAATGGTCCATTATTCACACCCCGAAAGGTCCGAAGGAGAAAAGGGCACGCATTGAAGGGGATGACTCAAGTTTTATCAATTTATCATTCACTTCTTCTACTTCGGGATCGCCACCCATCCCGCTTAACAAGCTTGGCCTCGAAATTATGCACAGTTCTCCACTTCAGGAGAGAAATAGGGACGGTGCTGATGGGGCGTTGATGATACCAAATTTTGGTGGAGAATCTCCCGTTGTGGCATCGTGTGCCAATCGGGATGAGCCAAGCAGTGGAAGTGACAAAAACCTAGTGTTCTCACCGGAAGGGAATTTCGCCGATCGTTCCGACTACCATGCCAGCTTTAGTTCTAATGATAATGGTTGTTTAAACAATTCGATTGTATTCCCCTCCTCTGCGTCTGGGAATTTCTCTGTGGATTTCTCCAACTACAAACTTGACGAGGAGGGGGCCAGTGGGCATCTTTACTACAAGGATGAAAATCTTGTACCCCCAGCGATCCACTCTACTACCAATTTATTTTTACACGACCACCGATTACAGTCTTCTTCTTCCGCAGCATTAAAACCAGAATCGCTCATTAATCTTGATGCTCCCCCTCAGCTCAATGAACTTGACAAGATTGACGAGAGTCAACAAGGCGAGGAGGACGAAAGTTACCATCACCCTCGACTATATCACTCGTTGGGGGAAAGGAGTCCTGAAATTGGAAGACTTTGTCACACAGAAAAAGCATCGATAATGCGTCACTCTCATTTTCACGGCTTCCATGAGTTCCATTCTAATCATGGACGGTCGAGCCGAAACTGTAACCTGAATCTGAGTCCACCCCTCATGATGCCACAATTACTGGAGAACATTGAAATGAAACGTGACCACCAATACCACCACCATAACAATTACGCTTCTACATCTTTAACCAGTTTCACTTCAGGAAAACGAAAAAGATGGACCGAGTCGACGTCATGTGGAAAGAGCAACCTGACCTTGGCCATGACACTCTTTGAAATTAATAAGGAATGTTCTTTAAGAATGATTGGGCTATCTTCCGTGGATAAGTCACTCTCAATGGCTGCTACTGCTGCTGCGATCAACACAACCCCCGCAATCTCCGGCTCACCAAATAATTCAGTGTCAGACAAAAACATCATCGGCACACCCGACTACCTCGCTCCAGAACTGATTCTACAACAAGGAGGTGGTCATGGCGCCCCTGTCGATTTTTGGTCCCTTGGCGTCTGCTTTTACGAATTTGCCATCGGAATTCTCCCGTTCAATGATGACAGTCCCCAAGAAATTTTCAAGAATATCGTCAACCGTCGACTAGAATTTCCTGACGACATGGATCCGACGTGTCAGTCCTGCATTGAAGGCCTCCTAGAAATTGATCCCACAGAAAGGCTGAACTTGAAGACGATACAAGGCGTTAGATTCGCTCAATTATTCGAAGGCATCAAATGGGACAATTTGCATGATATGGAAGCCCCCTTCATTCCACAGCCAGATTCCCCCACGGACGTTGGCTACTTTGCACCTAGAAATCAAGAACTCAACATTGAGATTTCTGACCTATCGTCTCCCTAAGTGCCACAGATTATAAAAAAATATTGTACCTAATTTAATTATAATGATAAGCTAGTAGCATAATATAGTTCCCTTTTGTCCGTTTTTTTCTTAAGTACAAACAATTAACGCGCAGTCGATCCATTGTCACTACTTTTTTTAAACTTTGATAATTTTTATTGTAACGATATGTGTTGGATACTGACTGATTTGATAAAGTACATACATATATAGCGTAGTAGACTGCCTATTATTTGAAATTTTATTAGCTAACAGAAAATTTTGAACATATTCTACAAAATACAATGTTCATGAAATAAATGTGATTTTTTATAAAAATTAAATTAAAATCTGGTTTCAGATTGAATTAGACTATTTGAGACAATTCGTTGCACAAAAATCAGAAAAAAAGATGTCTGGAGCCCAGCAAGGCGCAGCAGCGAGTGCGGGTGACCAACAACCAGGTCACTCATTCATGTCGACATTACCGGAGATTAAGAATATGGAAAATTCCTTAATTTCACTGTTAAATTCCTTCCATGCTGGAGAACTAAGTGCGTTTGGGCAGTCAAAATTGGAAACAATGAACTTGATACGAGAAAAACAAGAGAGACTTGCACGTATGCATTTTGACATGGGATCATCCAAGGTGATTAAATATATTTATGACTTGTGCTTTCAAGTTATACTTGATCACAGATAGAATTTATTTTTGAAAATTAGTTAATGCATAGGAACATGGCAAAATTGCATTCAAATTATTAATTGTTAGATATATGTATATATCTAAATTCGCAGTATTGGCTAATATAAATATATATTTCAGCAAGGCGACGCTTCCAATAGCTGGATGTCAGAAGAAACAGATAAGCTTGTGACTGGACTTGGAGAACTGTCTGTGGAAATTGAAAAACTTCACGAGTCTGCCTCTTCATCATCATCTTAAGTAATATTTAAGATTAAGATTGAACATTGTTGTTTTTTTATAATTACGTAAGCAGAGATTAAATTCCTATATGAACTTGAACTACATTTTCGAAGGGTGAGAAATACTTATTTGGTAAGAGGAGGTGGAGGAGGGGGTGGCATCAGCAATTCAGGAGGGAGTGGGGGTTGTTGTTGTTGTTGGGGATAAAGGGGGAGTTGATGGGTCGGGGTGGATGGCACAGTTTGCAAATAGTGAGCAGGAGTAAAACGAGGCAGTCCAGTGTTGTTGTTGTTAAATCCAGCCGCGAGTGGTGGGGGTGGTGGAACAGGTTCAGGAGCCACCGTCTGCAAAGTTTCGCTAGAGGTGGCAGGTGTGGCTGTGGGGAGGAGTCCAAGACTTTGTAGACAAAAAGCTGCAGCATTCGTTTTAGCCATTTTCTTATTGTTAACTGCCACACAGGGTTGATACTCGACTCCATTTACAACAACTTTATACACAAACTGCTTCTTGTGAGCGGGACCATGTTCGAAGACCAAGTCAAAGTCTGGTGCGCCCCATTTCCGCTTAGCACATAACTCCATTAAAGCACTGATGGGGTGTTTTCCTACAAGTTTCAATGTCATTATTAGTTACTTCATTTTATAATAACTACTAAAAAAAAGTAGTATATGATTTTTAGCCCGAGTCAGGGCTTATTTAACTGTCGTTTGTAGTACGGTCAATTTGGACAAAAATTTAGGTTGTCCCTGGCCCTAAATGAAATCTACTCTGTATGTTATTTTAAAGTGTTATTTCCATACCACTGAGATCATAAACGAGCGGCATTGCAGGGCCCTTCTTCAAATCCAAAACACTTGTCAAACCTTTCTTATCAGTTTTCACTTCTAGTGCGAGTGGTTGTATATCTCCAGATTTAGTTTTGCCCAGTCCATCGCCTGGACGCCAGCCCATTTTTTGCAATAGATGTAATCCCATAGGACTCTGGACTTCTTTTGCCTTAACCAACTGATCCCTTTTTGCCCAAGCTTGAGGTCCTTGTGTAAGTTCGGATTGTGTTAGAAATTTTGGCTCGAGAGCCTTCGAGTCAGCCCACTTTTTCATCTGAGAAACAAATTAAGAAAAAAAATATGAAACATGTAAAATTAGTCTCCTGTGTCTGATCGTTTTTGTGTACCATTTGAGTCGCGTCTTCGAGTTGTTTCTTTGCATCATCACTTTTCGGATTTTCGCTAAGTTGCCTCATTGCTTTCAGTCTTATGGCTATCACATCGCTAATATCAAAATTTGGGACTTGTGGCTGCTCCAGCGAAATACTGTGCTGTGGAGGAGGAGATGCCTTTTTTTCTTTTTCTGGTTTTTCCGTACTGTTCAGTAAAGCCACAGTTGTTACTGTTTCCTCTCCTCCCGTCTGGTCTCGAACCATGGGTGAAACGGCATTGACTTTTGGACCATCCAGTGGCACAAGACTGAAAATAGAGTAAGATAATGTCATTAAACTAACGAATAAATTTTATTAAATTAGTTTACAATCAATATTACCTAGTAGAAGCAGCTTCAGCAGCTTTTTTCTTTTCTTCTTCATCTTTGTCGACAGGGTGCCATTCTAACTCTTTAATCCTGTGTTGGGTCTGGGCAGGACAAAATAATAAAAACATACATATGCGAATATTTCCATTAGAGGGGTATGCAACGCAGTAGATGATTAGCAACTTACACCACTGGACACGGGAAATGTAACTTTCAGTTTTGCACTTTCAATCGCGAGAACTTGAGGAGTTCGAACTGAATTTAATTAAAAAGAGCATTTTAGAACAGTTTTCAATAAATAATCTTTAGAATAAGTAACAATTAAGGCTTACTCGGAATGGGAACAGCATTTCGAATATTGAGAGTTATTTGGGGAAGTGGTCTATCTTTGACTTGGAATGGATGATGAAGAAAATGATCGGCATCCCCATCGTCGCCGGAATCATCGTCCGATATAGCTACCCCATTCGCATCCCTTTTCGCAATTCGTTTGCAGTAATCAGTCAATTCTTCCACACTTTTTCCGCCTGCTCGAATAGCCATGATTTGGTCACGGGAGAAAATATCAGAAGGAAGAACGCCCCTTCGCATCAGTTTGGCAGCATTCTTCCTGGCAATTTCCAACAGTTTAGCCTTGTCAATGATATCATCCGGGTGACGTCTCCTCCTTTCGCTAGATCTCGACCTGGACCTTCTCCATCTCGGAGGAGATCGCGATCTTCGTCTACTATCACGAGGACTCCGGCTTCTTTCTCTCCTGCCCCGTTCGTCATGTTGGTAATGACCATGTCTTCGATCACCTGCACAGGAAAAAAACAGTAATAAGTAAAGCAATCCGTTAATAATGTGTTAATATTTAGAATTCTCGTAATAAAAATAAAAATAAAATTGCATTACCATGATTTACGGGATTGTCATAATAGCTTCTCTCGTCAAATCCAAATCCTCGCCCATCAGATCTACGCGTAGTCTCTTTTTCGTAATAATTCCCAGCATCGTAGTCCCTCTCACTGCGTCGACTATAACTCTGTTGGGACTCATAATGATTTTGTTCTTTCTGCCACTTGGTATCTTTATAATTGTAGGAGGAGGATCTTCTACTGCTACTACTGACATGGAAATCTTCTGGTGGTGGTGGCGTAGGAGTTCTTGCAGGAGCTTGCCTAACCACTCGAGATGATGATGATTCGCTAGTATTATCTCCAGACTTTCTCCGCTTATGAGAAGAGCTACCATCTCGTGAAGTGGATGACCATTCAAGATTGTCGTGGCGTTTATCAGAGGAGGACGAATGTTTGGAACGTTTCACCTCATGACCATCCTCTTTTGGAGCCTTCTTGTGACTAGCGACAGGCGGCTCGATCCCAAGCAGCATTTTTTCTTCCATGTCCAGCTTGTAAGCTTGAGATGCGGAGATCTTTAATTTCTTACTTTTATGATGCTTCTTACCAAAAAAATCATCCGTATCCTCTAAAATTTCACCATCTTCCATATCTTGCAATGGTTGTTGTCCGCTTGCTCGTCTTATGTCGTCCTCCCTCTTCTTGCTCTTACTCTTGATAAGCTCGTCATTATTGATGACAATATCCCCAATGTTGGAGACCAACCCCTTGAATTGGCGTTTAACTTTGTGTCGATGTTTTTGAATGAGTGTGTCGACATCATCGCCATCAACGGCCCCTTGGCCCTCTTCTTCTGTACGGCGATGTTTCTTGGACACTTTTTTCCCATCCTTGTGTTGTGATTCTGATTCTCCATTCTGCTTATCTTTACCGTGGCGATGTTTATGGTGATGAGTCTTCTTGTGGGATGGTTCCTCCAATTTCTTCTCATCTTCGTCGTCACCTCCCCCACTAGAATTGTCATCTGAATCGTTCCCTTTTTTGTCCTTCTTTTTTGATTTCTTTGCCTTTTTAGACTTTTTTCTCTTTTTCGAACCACCTTTGTTGGACTCTTCAGCCTCCTCAGCTGCCTCCTCGTCGTAGGAGGTGTTGAAGGAGCTAAAGAGTTCGTTCAAGATGTCCTTGGAGGATTTATTTGTTGACGACATTTCTCAAGACGGAAGAGAAATGTCGAAAACAAACAATCAATCGTCAGGGGAGAAAAACCAAGACCTGGAGGAATGTACTGCTGCTTTGCGACCGTAGGAATCAAGGGAATACGCCAAAACGGATGAAATTTATGTTGCCAATTTTGATAAGCAATTATTATTTTCTAAATAATTGACCAAAAATGTGAGCAAAAATACATGCAAAAGTTTCGTCTTTGCCGGTGGCGAGTTTGTGCTCGTTCCACTTTTCCAAATCTCCAGCAGCAATAATAGTCAACCAACCGCAACCGCAACGAGAGTTCCGAAATAGTACCACAAATACGCAGTTTTAATTATTTAAATTGTGAACGTCACTTAAGTTGTGAATTGTAATTCGTTGTGATAATAAATATTATAAGTGTACACTTAATAGAATTCGGCAATCTCACCAATTTTTAAATGTAAGCAATACGATTTTTTTAAACTGCGTAATTTGCGATTTTATACTTAATCATACATCATAAATTTTGTTTCATAGATTTAATACGACAATGTCCACGCTTCCGGCGAACAGTACATTCCTCCCCGTTCTGGATGACCTTCTCAGCCCAGACTTTCGAACAGTTAGCCTTCCTGGACAAACTCCCCAAACTCCAGCAGAAACTCCAGTGTCTGCCACGAAAGTGACCACTTTTGTAGAGAGTCATACAGGACAGCTCACCTCCAAAGCGTCGAATTATCCAGGAGTGGTTAAAGATCAAAATGCCAGCAATTCTAGACCCTCGACGAGTAGTTGTGACCCTATGACCACATCAATCTATGTTCAGCAACATCATACCGTGAATGGAGTCGGGGTTAAGAAACAGACGGGACACCAGCGACACAAATCGCATGATAACCAGCAAAATGCAGCAGTTGCAATTCAGAAGTGGTGGAAAGTAAGGAAGGGGAGGAGGCGACATACGAGTGCCGGAGAGGGGACAGTGGATCTCAAAGCGGAACGAGCTAAACATTCCATACGACATAACAGAACTGAGGAGCATGTTCGGTTAGGACTTGAAAAAAATTATTAATAATTTTAGTTAGTTAATTAAATGGAATTATTATGATACAGATATCTGGAGATGGAGGTCCAACGCTTAAAATCCGCTCTGGTAGCTGAAAGAAAATTGCGAGGCTTACAAGTTGAAGCGATTCGATCTCTGTGGGGTTAGTACATATTTATAGCACATTGCAAAAATGTCATTTTCATTTAGTATTTTGAAATTGTTAAACTAAACTTCATGATTTATATTCTATTTATCTTTTAGGGGAAGTACAAAAGGTGTCCGCAATTTCTGGTTCGCCTGGCGCCGGAGACGTGATGACCCAATCGATGCCAAACGGATTGCCCTTAGGATATAAAAAACAGCAAGGTGGTGGTTGTATGACCATGTCCCTCCAAGGAAACTTCCTGGACAACCTTCAATTCCAAAGCCAGAATGAACTGTCGTCCTGCTCTTGCACGAAAGAAATAAAAAATCTGAAACAAAGTTTTACCACCGAAATGGCACAACTTCGCGGAATGATTGATCAACTTAGAGTTGAGGGAGGAAGTAACAGTAGCATTAATGAAGATCCCAAAGCTTCTCTCCAAAAGAGGCCTTTAACGTTAAACCTGGGTGGAAATGGGGGTGGAGGCCGTCCAAATGAAGTTGTGGAAGAAAAGAAAGAAATTAGCGGATATGCGGATCTTATGGCGACCAGTATCATCGAAGATGCGAAAGAATAAAAAATAGAAGCGACCAACATCTGGCATACTAAAGTGTGATGCATTGTTTTTGGTTTCATTTCAACTCAAAATTGCAAAGTGCATATATTCCGAAATAGTCAAGCATTCGTCTCCGTGTTAAAGGAGGCATTGTTAATTGATTGCTTTTATGTAATACGACGCTAAACGGTGTAATAGCCAAATTACTTTGTAATTGTAATTGCAGAGTGTAGTTAAATACAGCACTGCTAACAGATTATAATAGTGTGTACTAAATTAAGTATTATGTACCGCTAGCCAGTACTACACATATAGCCTTTTCAATTATAGTGCCACCAGACACAGTGCATTCGTATATAAGGCTAGATTGAAAGTTAGGCCAACGTACATGTATAACAGAAATAGACTTGCAAAAGTTGAATAGTAAAAGTTATTTGCAGTGCAATTCTGATGGCGAGGAGAACTCATAAAACTTAATTATTGAATCCTAACTTTGTTTGTTAATTTAAAACGCTTCTTAACTACAGTGAACAAGAATCTGTCAATTATTACAATTATTCATTTTTTTACACGTATTTTTTTACTTTATTTTTTGTCAAAAATATCCAAATCGGAGGAGTCACAGCTAAACTAAATCTTTCATGAATGACCACATGATAACAAACAGAACTCGAGTTTATCCTAATTTTTCAGCAACAATATCCGACCGAATATATAATTATAAATAATTGCTATTCCTGCTGCTCATGCGCTACATAATAAAACTTTATAAATATAACTTTAAATGGATATCTTGAGTTCATTAAATTTCATTCAGTGGTCTAATGCCAAGAGTATTTAGACCCACAGCTAGAATCCTTTTGGACAATAGAAATAAGGCTAATCTAGCAGCAGCAAGGTTTTCATCCGGTTCTGACATGACTTTCAACTGTTTCAATGCTTTCGAAACTTTGTCGCTTAGTTTAAATAAATAAGTTAACAATATACATGGCTCCAGTTCAGAATATGATGACCAAAAAGCGTCTTCAAAGCTAGAATATAAAATAATCATTATTATACTTCAGTCAGAAATCAAAGTACAACCATAAATTCATTACTTGACTAGTTGCATAATTAGATTCATAGCAATCGGATCCTCAATTAGTTGGTCCAGGTCAAATTTGTCGAACGATGCCAGCACACCTAATGTCCCTCTATTTTGCGCCACATTATTCTCCAGGGACACTAACCTTGCATGAGTATATTGCAAATTGACTCCAGTATCTCCTGTTGGATTTAAAGCCTCATTCCAGTCAAATGCAACATCCCGATTTCTTCTCACTTTCAAGGAATTGACAATCAGGGCAGAAATTGCCAGTTGAGTAGGAAGTTGTAAATCTTCTGTATTTCTGACATTTGGAGATTTGATTCTGTTCTCTTGCATTATGGATGAGCCCGTATTGATAACTTCGGAAAGTAGGACAAAATTACCAGACCTGGTTGATTGTCCTTCAACCTTGCCAAATGTAACGTGCCATAACTTTTTCTCCCATCCGTCTTCACTATACTTATTCTTCTGAATTTTGAGCTCTTCTAAAATTCTAAATAAGTTGATAAAATGATGGGCTTGAGTCTTATCCACCACGTAAATCATTCGGTTAAAACTGGATCAAAAAATAAATAAAAAGATTTTCAAAATTATTGCTGAATTATTAGTTTACAAATAAATTTTACTTACTCTAACGTCCTCTTTCTATCTATGGCACAAGCAATATCACGAAGTAAGTATAACGAGCTCCCATCCTTTTTAACTAACGGAATTTTTGCAGGTTTGGCGAATTTAGAATCTGCGGGCAAAACGGCATATACACATTGGTCCTCTGCTATTTCGATTATGCCCAACGTGGTCAACTCCTTCAGTGCCTCCTGAGTTAAATTGTTTTGCATGGTGAACTCAGATTCCCCTTGAATCACGTCGTACTTGACGTCCAACAATGACCAGAAGGATTTCAAATGGTTTATCGTCTTGGTTCGAATCGATTCCCAGACACGAATGCAATCCGCATCTCCCTGTTCTAACGAGGCAGATAATTTCAGGGCTGCAGAGGAAAATTCTGCATTTGTCTCCTTCTCTTGAACTGCTTGGACATAGTACCGTAGTAATTCATCAAGCGTTAATTTATCTACAGTGGACAGGACATTTTGGTTTTCTGGGAGGTACTTGGCTAGTCCAGCCTGCATAGAATATAATTTAATGAATAATACGACAAACAAGTTAAAATTTTTAATTATGACACAGGTACCTGCAAAATTCCAAACTGCGTCCCCCAATCTCCCAGAAAACAAATCGTTGTCACCTCGTGACCAGCCGCTTGACATATCCTTGCGCAAAAGTGCCCCGTGACAAGTGACCTTAAATGGCCCATATGTAAAGGTTTTGCAATATTGGGTGATCCAAATTCTACAATTACTTTATCCTTTGCCAAGTCAGGAACAGTTCTTATAAATCCAGACTTGCCATGCCAGGAATTCTTTAATATTTCGACAAGGATCGTTTTGCTATCTTCTTGGCTAAAATCCGTCTTGTGAAAAGTGTTGCGCCTATTGTCCGTTACGGTCAAGCCAGGAAATGTCATTTTGGAAGTAACTGTAGACGAACTGTCACCCATCAGTCTTATCTGACTCTTGATTCTTCCCTTATCTGAACTCATCTCCCAGGTCACACGAGCCGTACGAGTTTCCATAGATCCACCCAGCGTTTCAGCAATCTAAAATAATTATTTTTATAATAATGCGTCGCGTCATAATTTAATTTAAACTCTAATTTTACTCCATGTCTAAATTCCAGTGAAATACCCACACCATGGATGATGGGGTCAAAATTTCCACATATTCATAAAGAACGTGGGTTTAAAATCACGATAAAATTATAATTACCCAGTTTAAAAATTTATGACGCCCATGATTATGTTTCAGAAGCATTCGGGACGTGGTGGTGGGAGACATGATTATTGAGATTCCAGTGGCTGACTTAATTTCAAATTCTTTGATGGGAAGAAACGTCAAGATCGTTGCTTTCTAGTTGTGGCATAAAATCTTTAACATCAATTTAACTCAAGACACACGAACGTGAAAGTGAAAGTAAAACAGACCTAAAACCTGGCAGCTCGTTGTTCTGCATTTGGACGACTGATCTCATCCAACAATATCTAAAGGTGAAAGTGACGAAATTATTCAGGTAAGATATATTTTAAAACAGTTTTTAGGTTAAGTAATTTTTCGACAAAAAAGGTTTAATTATCATGTAGTAAATAAGACGAACACGTCTCGCACTTTCAGTAATTACCTGGATTGTTCTTGTCTTGAAAAAGTACGATACAAAACAAAACTTTTCGGAAGTCAAGTAGATCTTTTGTTTTGTATGAGAAAAGTTGAAAGTCGGCCGGTTGTCCGAAATCCAGTCTTATTCGCACGTGTTTCGTATTAGAGCGTACATATGCGGCATTTATAAAACCACCCCCACCCCCACCCAAATCCACCCCCACCCCCATCTAAATCCACCCCACCCCCATCAAATCCACCCCCACCCCCACCCTCGTGCTAGCCTAGCTACCCTTGCTACCTAGGTTCTATCTAGCCTAGCTGCCTAGCTTCTAGCTACCCTAGCTACCTAGGTTCTATCTAGCCTAGCTAGCTAGATTTGCTAGCTCAGCCTTCCAGGCTTTCCGCGTACCTAGTTGATCTAACCTAACCTGCTCGCTTCGCTCGCTAATTACGAACGATACCCCAATATGAAATAGAATCTCACTTTTCCCCAAGGTATCTCACGTTGCCCCATAAAAATTGTGGGGGTGGATGGGGGTGGGGGTGGGGGTGGATGGGGGTGGGGGTGGGGGTGGATGAGGGTGGGGGTGGGGGTGGTTTTATAAATGCCGTACCTATGTGGTGGTGGTGGATCTTGGTGTAGTCGAGTGAGTCGAGTTCTGCTCCTGGGGGAAAGTGGTGAAAGTCAGAATTTCCAAGTTTTCCCATCTCCTTTATCAGCAGACTAGTAATTGGAAATAGAACAGGACATCGGGGTTCCCAATTAATGCCTCATTTATTGCAAGTCACTGCAACAAGAAATCATGCCAATTCTACGACTCCTTATTTATTAAGGACATCATTATCATTCATACAGGACAAGCTTCATACTCGTACATACACATACAAAGGTTTTGTCCCCACTCCATCCCTGCTATTAATACATAATAAACAATGACGTAAATCAGGGCTGATCCTTCCTGAGAGAGAGAGTTCAGTTCAGAGCTGAAAAGCACTCCTGTTAAGCACGTCCAAGGTGGACAAAAATAGAAGCCCTAATATGTACAACTAACTAATGACACAACTTTTGTAATTGTATTTATTAATTGTTTTGCTTTAAAAAAGAAGGCGCCTAGTTCCAATTACTTTTCTATCTCCTATAATCACAGGTCATGATGAGGTCTTTGGTATTATTAGCTCTTTTTTTTAAAAAAAGTTCATTACTGAATTTAAGCAGCTTCCTTTCCCTTTCCCCAACTAGAAAGAAGTACAAAAAAGGACCTAAATAAGATAAAATATCCTCTCTGCGGTGCAGAAAAAAAGTGAAGAGCTCGTTATATAAGTACTCGCATCTAAACAAGTGCTTAGCTATACGACTGAAAAAAAGAGAAAGCAGAGAGGAGGATGCTACTCGAAGATGAGAGAAAGAAAGTAAATAGACCGAAATCCCGGCCGACCTTGAACTGGGATTGAGAAAATGTCAGGGAAAACGAACTGGGAAACCACCACCGGTTTCCGAGCTACCTTTTCTCTCTATTCCTACTTTCACCGTAACAACGTACCACCGTCCGTCCTCTTCTACGTAGCTGGATTTCGTGCTCGAGTTTGCTGAGTGAAATGAAATAGAAATATTCCAGATGGGCTTTTCTTTCTTCATCGCAAGTCCAACGCCGACCGGTGGGACCGGTGGAGTGAGGCAGGAAAGAAATGATGGCTCTATTCTAAAGTTTAGGAAGCAAAGTCAAGTTGAAATCAAGGGAAAGTTTTTGAAAAGAGGGAAAGTAAAGTGAAAGCAAAGGAAAGCTTGCACCGCACCGTTCTTTATTAACCAACCACTTTTGGTGTTTACTATGTACTTTGTCAAAAGCTCCTTTGACCATGTGTGTCTTGTCCTTCTTGTCCATTATGATAAAGAATAAGGGTATTTATTTTGTATTGTATAATGCTTGTAAGAGTAGGGTAAATACGATTTGTAAATATCATTCTGGAGAACAAAGTAAAGTCGTGTAGCTTGGTCGGTTGGGCTTTGGTATAATTTTATTACGGTGATGCACTCAAAATTCGTACTCGTGGCAATATATTCACACAGACTGCTAGGCTCTGATGCTGGATTTATATAAATATGTATGTACATTGTACGTATGTATGCAGTAGATGGTCAAGAGATGGACCGAGTTTTTGGCACAGACTAAAAAGCTGCAGTCCTGCTAACGGACGTGAAAATTGGTTCCAGATCGCGTCAGTTTCCACTGCATTAAGCGATCGTACGTACGTGTTAGCCAGTCCAGTAGTTAGTTAGCTGGCATTAGAGATAGGTCCCATGATGATAATTCTTTACGTAAGTATCTGCTTACCGAAGCTGTCTCTTGGTATAAATTGACGCCAAATTAACGATGAGCTAATAACTATGTATGTATGTCCCCAGTTTACGCGTAATCTGTCCACTTCTTATCATCTTCACTGGCCATAAAGCTAAATTAAAAATTAGGAAATGCATGCATATATTCATGCGTTCGATAAGAATTTGGACCTTCTGTTGATACATATCAGTCCAGGAAAACTTTGATTATGAAACGGGCAAAAAACAACAACATTGCAAATATAAATTGCGTGCAATAATATCATTCACTTTTGTTCCACATTATTCCATTACTCTTACTGTAGCTCGACTCAATCACCATTGTGACACACACTTATTTAGTCACTACTTTGTCAAATGGCCTGACATGGTCAACATTGGTGGAGAAATGAGAAAAAATGTAGTTCAGGGAACGCGCAGACCATATCACCACTTAAATGAAATTAATCAGAAAACCAGTGGTGGCTATGCCGCAGTAATAGAACATTTGTATTAATCAAGCCAGCCTGATGATGTAGCCTTGATATTGATGGTGATTTATTATTCAGTTTCACTGCCAAGCTTACTTTTCATCGTTACACACACACGACCAATTGTCCAGCCAAGTAAAAACTCAATCAGACTCGTGCCGCAGCTTAGCGTGGCCTTATGATTGACAGTTAAGGAAAGGTTAGCATTCTTTATTGTGCAAATGCTAAATTGTTTATGGGTGGATTTTCTGCAGCAAACGAGTCATTTTTTTGATAAGGATTTCCTTAAACGGGGGAACGAATTATCCCGTCTTGTCATTTACTTTATTGGAAAAGTGTTTTGTTTTTGTGAGTGAGTGAAACGGATCAGGATTTCGGTCGGCTTTTCTGCTTAGACGAGTAAGGAAGGAGGTTGCAATTTATTGCTGTATGTATTTACAACTCTCTATAAGCTATAATTTAAGAGGTGGGTCAATTGCCTCATATATATTGTGCCGTTTATATGCTAATTCAATCGAATTATGGGGACTAGGCCTGCATCTATGTACTTGCTTCTATTAGTCTGAGAGAACTGATTTACAAATAAATAGCCAGATTATAGTACTTCCCTTTAGTCTCGCTTTCCTTTTCCCCTCCGTCTACACCATGCACACTCCTCACATTCTGGAAGTCTGGGAATGAAAATCAGATTAAAATTGCATTCATGATGGTGGCAGGCAGTAAATAAGACCAAGACTGAGGAGAAAGCAGCATATAGAGCGGAATCAGGCAAATTTGACACGAGTCGGGTCCTGTTATGTGGTTCATAGTCACTTTTGGTCTTGAATCAGCCTACATATTCGCATCAGCATCATGTCATGCATGCCCTTCACTCTGGAGCATTTGCATCCTCATCCATGGTGAAATTAAATGTGGGTAGGCACATAGGGCTCGGAATGAAGGTTGGTTGGTAACTAACTACTACGTGCTATTATTTATTATTACGTATGCATGCATACCAGAGAGTCGAGTGGAGAAAACTATTAGTTAGTTAGTACGCACCACCATGAAACGAAACCCACCAACAATCAGGACAAGGACGAGACTCTACAGGAGAAAGATTCTGATTTGAATCTCTAATAGTCCATGTCCACATAATGAAGCGTTCTACATTCATTCTCAGCCTTGCATATATGTCGACTTTTTATGTACGGACGTCCATAGTCGTAGTAGGAAAATACCCGTCACTCCCATTTGTGAGCAAATCGCTCCTCTGGGTTCATTTTATTACGGACGGAACATTCCATGAGCATGTTCCCTGCAGGAAATTGTTGCTGGATGGATAGTAGTCCTAGGTCGGAGCTTATGATGATGTGCTCATAATGACGAAACTTTGTTTTCCAGCATTTCAGACATGCACGCAAGGATTTTTGCACTCTCTCAAATATTATGGGATGATTTCACGACAAAAAACGTGAGGTTACGGACTTTCTGCACATTTTTGTTTGTATGCATTATTTTATAATGTTGTATTATTAGCAGGCTATTTGTCTTGTATATCGAAATAATATACATCTGCTATGGATGGATTTGGTACAAGTTTCGTCTGGCTTGTCAGAATCAGTATGAAATTGAAATGAGAAATCGTGCGGAAAATGGGAAAAAATATAATTTGGATGAAATTGAATCACATTTTGTGTTCTTGTGTAACACATTAATGGCACGTGGTATAGTGTTTTAGATTTTGCACAGAGTTTAATAATCTGGTTGATTTAATGCCGACTGCAATTTAAAAGGGTTGATGATTGCCATTTTTGGATAAAGCCGACTTTTCTTTCTGAGAATAGTGAGTACATTTGTATTTTACAACAACAATTTGGCTCATTTGTTACAATTCTGCTTGGGAGGTGAGGTTGCGCAGAGTACACATTTTAGCGAGTTATAACCCACAATTATACTAAATATTTATTATTATTAAAGTTGAACGGCATTAAGATGTTCGTGAACGTAGTCAGTGCTGTTGTTCGTTCATTCATTAAATATCAGGTTTTCTTATGATTCTGCCAAAGTTTTGCAATAACGGCTCAGCCAAAGTATGAAAGTTTTGCGAAACTATTAAACTCTGTTTCACCTTACATGGTATTACCGCCACAGGTAAGGAACATGAGAATCCCATGTTATTTTCGTGTGGCGGTAATACCATGTAAGGTGAAACCGAGTTTAGCACAACAACACTATGCACTTCACTAGGGGATGAAATTCGGTTGCGCTGTATCCAGCAAGTCCTGGACAAAATAGTTGGTTGGTTAGTTAGTTAGTCGTCCATGAATGAATAAGACGAGATTAATTCAAGGTTAACTTTTATTCCAATTCCTATAATAATAGCAATAATAAC